ACCTTACGAACACTATATTATCTGCTCTTTATAAGACTTTGTACAAAACACCGGTGTAGAAATTTTTACAATCTAAACTTCAGATGACAAATACCCTAAGAGAAATAGATAATAGAAAGATGCTACCTCATACAATCTGTATTGTGATTGAACGAATCTAGACTAATGTCCGTATATGCAGCACTAAACATCAGTACCTTCGTTTATCCACTATATTTTCCCCACGTACATAATTATACTAACTTATAATTTGTCATCATGAATTAGTCCACAATAATGCTGGCACATTACCCAACTAAATACTTTCTCATTATGACGAGTCTTCAATTCATACAGGTGTAAACATGTGCTCTTGAAATAAATTACTCTAAAGAAAAAACTGTGTCATCTGTATTTAAACACGTGTGGTGAATAAAAATGCGTGGGTGATATTAAAGGAAAGAGTTTTTTTCTCAAAGTAATCAACCCTTATCTCTCCTCTTTTCTATTCTCTCATTCTTTTTTCTCTCTTTGCATATTTAAAATCCAAGCAAACATGTGGAAGGGAAAACAATTGTCGTAATACTCTTGAGATGTACGAAAGGTACATACATTCTTTTCGCGTAAAGTTGATCGCACGCACATGCGTGCCAAGGAAGCGTGACCACAATGCGAAAGTGCTTCTCGATTTAAGGCTGCTGCAAGCAGGGGGTTATCATGGTAACGCTGTCCGCGCTGTCAGTGCAAGCGAGGAAAATCGATACAACCCTCATTTGATATGCCGCGTACTGAGGGCATACTCTATCTATACTGACTTTCTCCTGCAGCATACCAATATGAATGACATTTTTACATTACGTGATCCTGGCATTATCTCCTTCTCAACAAACATGTTCCTTTATGCTTATATTCAATCTCAACAAAACTAAAACAAAAAGTTTCTGCTCTTCGAAACTCGACTAAAAAGTTCACTAAAAAATAACATTAAAAGATCTATTATACTTCTACTATACTACTACTACTTCTATTGCTACTACTATGTCTACTCGATCAAAGATCTAAATCCTGCCGACTTTTAGTATCCATCATGATCGAATCTTCTAGTACATCTAGTACAGAAGATAATACAAATATTTACTGCAACAATAATCGCCAAATGATTGATAAAACTTTATTATTATTTAAAAGACCGAGAGAGAATAATCGCGAGTTTAATGAATAAAGATGAACGCTTGAGTACTCTTCATGTGCGTCTAGACGGTCGCTAATCAAATGCAGCCTGAACGAGTAAATGTGCACGAACCACTCATGTGATAATAAGCCTTCCAGTGATTTACCCCCAGAGATCAATATTGTGATTTTCCGTCATTAGATCCTTGAATCAACAATATATGATGATATTCACTTCCCTAAGCCCTTAAGCATTTCACTTTGCTTATGTATCTTTAAACCTAAAGGTAGACTAAACACCGCCACATTGAGTATCATGTTCTCCCCAGAGTTCATATGCAAACTCAAAAGCGTGAACGTGTTCGTCCCTAATGAGAGCACAAGCCACTTGAGTAAAGTCTTACACTTTTCTTTTCTTCAATACCACATCACATGTCTTCAGAGAGAAAAAAAACCATACACAAGTTTATTGACCGATAAAGATTAGCTCGTCAGAAATAAATTGGATTATAAATTCTAATTAGGCTCGGAAGATAAAGAATTAAAAATATATTTTTTAATGTTAGTAATATTGTGGCTAATTAATTGCGCAAAATATGTTAATGTTGGGATACATAAGGAAATGAGTAGAACTTAGGGTACGAACAGTTCCGCTTTATTTGAATCTATAGATAGTAGTTCTTCAAAGGAATCGATGGTAGAAGTAGGCCATTTCCTTTCTTTCTCCCTTGAAAATTTCGACACGATGTTAGTTTGTCTTTTATATTAAAAAAAAAAAAAAAAAAAAAAAAAAAAAAAAAAAAAAAAAAATGAATGCTTCCGTGGCAAGATGATTTAATACCGCTTTCAATTAATTCCCGGCAATGAGATATAGTCGCAAGGTCACTAGGACACAACCACAAATGCAATAAAGACCAAAATTGCAAAAATCTTTTCATTAAATTAATCTTGATTACACACTTAACCAATAACTTTAAAAATAATTTGATACTTCCACAAGTAATTGAAGAATCTAGTCGACAAAAAATCATGCGGAAGAATTATTGTTATCACAAGAAGAATCAAATCTACTTTTCAGCTCGCTTTCCAGAAATACCTGGTATAGGATTATTAGTATTTAGGATGTGATAACGGTTAAGTGATTACATAAGGAACAAAAAACCGAAATAAAGAGTGATGCAATAGGCGCATGATGATTATTTGAGAACATAAGTGAACAGGTTTCTACGCTCATGATACTCTCGACTGCTCGTAAAAATATACTCACAGTAACAATAACCATTGCGAGAAGTAAAAATATGCAGACGAAAAAAGCAAATTCATATACATATATCCGATAAGAAACTGAAAACCGGTTAGAAGAGCATTTGGTTTAAGTACTTTTGCCACCTTTTATTTTGTCCTCATTTGTAAGCCTTTTAGCTTTTAATGCCTTACGAGAATCGCTGCACACAAATGTTTAATAAATAGTAATTCGTGACATAAGTAGCTTAGCATCTAATCTGTAAATCACTTTTGCAGTTCTACTCAAGTATTTAACCTACAACCATCCAAACTTTTATCTCATTTTATCTATCATCTTCTAACTTTTTATCTATTATCTTTTAACTTTCATCTTGATCTATCAATTTATTTCATTTTTATCTTATCATTAATCCTTTTCCACAATAAAAAGTGATAACAAAATTTCTCAATTTACAATTTTCCTTCTCAAAAATTTAGAACCATTACAAGTGGAAAAATCAAAAGTAAAACATTTTATTTTATACTTTACAATTAAAGGTTTAACCTAGAGAATAGAAACCAATTATCAATAGCTAACTACAAGGGAATTAGTAGTTCACACGTGTATAATTGATTTGCGAATTATCCAAGCGAATAAACAACATCTGTTAGCTCGGGAGAGTTGAAACTATATATATTGATTCAATGACATTAATTCAGCTCATTCAGATAGCTTTCTACATACATCCTCCGCAAAATCAAGTTCATCGAAATGAAACATTTTTTAATGATCTCTTCCTATAAATATATATACATAACATAGGTGTCGGAACTTCGACAATTCAGAAACAAAAGCCTCGCGCATTTCCTCAATGAATGAAAAAACAACAAGCCCTACCGGAAACATTGAAGGGGTAATAAAATTCAGCCAACCAGTAAAAAAATTTACTTGGAAATAAGTGAATTCTTTTTTGCCACTGTCTAATTATCCAATAAACCATCTCTCAGTTCGTCATACTTCAAGCATTCCACAAAAAAAACAAAAATGCTCCGACAAATAAAAGGTGTCAACCATACCCTGATCGAAGTTTGCGGAAACGGATATGCCACCCACGTTTATGTCAATCAGAAATAGGCTTCCTTCCGTGCTACCAAGAAGTAACTGATGACTGAGTCAAGGAATCTATGGGACGTGACACGACCTTGCTATAATATCGTTTCGGATCGCAAATTTTGCATCATGTTCACGAATTATTGTCAAATGCCAATAAGAACGAGAAATGTCAAATTAGGTCCAAAATATATAAAAGTTCTTGTCAAATAATATATATTCCTAAGGATTACTAAACACGGAACAAAATAAATTTCATGAACCAAGGGGGTTCAATGTCTCCGCAAATAAAATTTTATTTCCTCATTCTTATCATATCAACGAAATAATTAAGTTTCGTAAAAAAATATTATTTACACCCTCATATACTTTTTTTCTTGAAATTTTATGCTAATATATCTTTTCGACACGCAACCAACATCTTAATTAAACATGCGACAGCAGAAAGTACAAGTGAATGTATAGAAAAACTGGATTGAATAAGAGTATACAAGAAGTACACCCGCGAGAAAGGGGGAAAAAAGAACAATTTGTACTGTTATATTTTTGCACAGTTCAAGTTCAACAAATGAATTGAATCTCGTAATAAGGTCGAGTTAACCGTACAAGGTTGAGAGAGTATAACATCACAAAAACTCATTTACAGTTATGCAAGATGAATTGCGTGCGAGTATATAAATAAACTTGATAACATTTCTTCCTCTATTATTGAAAAAAATAAAATTCACTAATGCGTACAATTAGTATATTATTCTTTTTCACAAGACTTTATTGGGGGAGAAATTTTCTTTTTCTTTTTTTTCTCAACACGCACGTAAATTTATCAAACTGATAAATCGGCTGGTTTTCTCTATGTATACTAAATACATGTACCTTTCCTAACGGAAGTGCAAGCGCGCGAGAGTGTTTTAGAGAAGGAGATCCTGTTACTTCTAAAGATAATCTTGGACTCAATTAATGTTGAAAATACGTTATGGTCTGTAAGCAGATACAGTATTATCTTTTAAGTCGAGTCATCAACTACCAGGATCTCCTATATACAAGATATAGAAAATGTGACAATAAAGCGTAAATTAATTCGTAATAATAAAACAATATGTATGTTTTTTTGCGCAAAGGAAGAAACAAACAGAAACGAGAGAATGGAATAAAGAAGAGAAAATTGCTAAGTAAAAAAACATGTTAGGATTTTAGATTAAAAATAATTATCCTGCTTTTCCCAGGTAGTATTTATTCTCTTGAGAATTCTATTACAGTTAAGTGATTATTTCTTTACTTTCTAAGGCATTCATCATTTCGTTAAATATAAAATACCAAACATTCCGAATTTAATATTACATTTGAACTCAAATTATGATTAAAGAATATAATAAATTCCGTAACGTCTTGCAGCAACATTATCCTCAGTAATCAAATTAAATGTTTACACATAAACATGTTATTATTTCAGTTTTCCTGAATTGTAAATATTAATTCTTGTACAGTTGAAAAAATTTAATCAAAATTTTTGTTTCAGATGGCGAGGCATCTACCAGCCCTACTATTAGCAATCTCAACTCTCCTACTGTCTGTGTCAGCGGATAGTTCGGTTCATACAATGTCCAAGTATCATCAACTGATCACGTCAACCACTCTAAATTGGTTGCCTCACACTCATTATACAGCCACAAGTGAAGAGATTGTTATTGGCAGTTTTGAAGGTTAGCAACCACAAATAAAAATACATCGAACCCTAAACATTTACTATCATCTGCAATTTGCATTTTTAAATCCTACCATCTTAACTTTTTACCGTTCAAATTTGTAAATTTCATCCATTTTTCTTTTTCAATCTATAAATAATCCGTTTAGCAACCTGAAATCCTCTCAACAACATTATCTTTGTAATTAATAAATAATACATTAAATAGTAAAGTAAATACAGATTGAATTACAAATGGAAAATTTGTAGAAAAAATCAATTAATTTCATTCCATTATCTAACTCCTAATTGAAAATCAAAAAGAACCTGTTGAATGTTACCTAATGAATTTGTAAACAAAGAAAAAATTTAATCAATCAAAAGGAATTCTCACAATTGAAAATATATTTCCAACAATATATCCTTTTCGTATCTATTTCCCACTATATTAAAGAACAAAGTAAAATTCCCTCTATGAAGTTGGAAGTCACCGGACGTTCCACCTTTTTGCACTTAGAACACGATCTGCATGAGGAAACAGAATATCTTCTCAAATATCAGCTTTTGAGGATCTAAGTTTCCAGTTTAGCTTAAAGGAACATCAAGAGGCTTGTAGTAAAAAATAATATACATTCGTAATCACTCTTAGAGACTTAAGGATGTTCCCTAAAATAAAACAATATAAAGAATAGAAGAATATAAATACCCCAAAAATATGTCACAGGAAAATATCCGAAATATCTATTGTCTTTAGCAAAATTTTCTATTTTAAAAAAATGTTTCTTTCAGATTCTTCAAAAACCATTTACGTGTGCAGAGCTTTACATAATGGAATTTATGTGACCGGCAGTATGAAAGAAGGTGAAGAGGGATGCTTGGTTACTTCCCTGAGCATTGTAAAATTGTACAACAAATATGATCTTTTACAAAATATTGACAGTGCAGCTCGCGTCAGTTGGGTATACTGGGATAAATACAAAGAAATTCCAGTTGGCGCAGTTTCACCGTCGAATGCCGAAAATTACTTTGTAGCACGACACATTGTTGATGGAGTAAATTCGCAATTTGATTCCTATGAACAAATGCATTACATTGGAACACTGAATACCAAAGATGGACTTGGAAAAATTACCTACACAAAGAAGGTTAGATACTTGTTTTCTTTTTGAAAAAACTAATTCTTTCTTTTTATAAAAGCAAAAAACGACACCGCCTTTCAAGTACAACTTTTATATCAATCAATTAAAATTTAAAAAGAAGAAACTAATTCCAAATAAAATAATATTTTTGTGTATAAAACTTTTAAAAAATAGATGTATAAAATAATTATTAAAAGAGATGAGCCATCAAAGCAGATTAAAGTGAGACCTTCTACTCGCCACCCACTTTTTCTACCTCGATCAACCCCTCTTTACCTTGAAACAGAAGGAAAACCTGTAATTTATTAAAAATACTAAAAGGATCGACTTTTCCACGCGTCCTTGCAATGCCCTTTTTCAAGACTATATAAACATTTTTTCCCATCTATTAATTTTTTTTCTACACCCCATATCTCTTAATAATAGTTTTCTTCCATTTATTGCATTTTTGAAATTTTGAATTCATTACAACATTCTAGAACTCGACCTAAATTTTACAAATAATAAAACAAATTTTTGTTTTCCAGGATGGTACAGAAGGATCAACGGAAAGTGGTCAAATTCTTGTGGAAACTGAACCATTTAGTTATGCATTAAATTCCGTGAAACTGAATTTTATTAAAAGACGAGAGAAGAAACGTGAAAGAAGAATGTTGGGAACAGCAACCCTAACTAATACCGGCTCAGAACCAGGAAAAGTGGATGAGGCATTCACGTACTCGTACAATTATACACAGTACTGGGGTCAGGGTCACGCTATTCTCAAAGGCCTCAATACTTCAATAACACTTCTAAATAAAACAAAATTACCCGACATTGTTTGGGGTATTCCCGAAAGTAAAGTTCAAGTTGATGTCAAAACGTAAGTACTTTTTTTAAATGTACATTCAATTTAATTAAATTTATATATTTACTATCCCTGAAAGTTAATAATCCTACTAAACTATAAGTCGGAAAAGAAATTATACTATAAAATCAATATAGAACTAAAACTACTTTACCGACTAGAAATATTTCATCTCTTGTAAAATCAATTCTTTTTAGAAATTCTATAATTCGAAATTTTAATTATTATAACTTTGATTTATTTAATTTTTAATCAACAGTGTGGAGTATTATTTGGAACCAGGGACGGGAATTAATGTGACACTACTTGGGAACTACACAGACTTGGAGGTGCCATTCAGTGCAAAATTGGTAGCGGTTTATGACGACGGCGCAGATAAAGTACGTTCAATAAGCGGTGTACGTCAAGAAGAAACAATGCTCGACGTTAGGCCAATATTTAGTCCAGTTTTCTTCCTAAATAATAATAGTCTAGTTCCTACAACTGTACCACCACCAACGACGACGTCGACGACAACAACAACAACCACCACCACAACAACCACGACAACAATTGGTCCAGAATCAATAATAATGACAAAAGATATGCCTAAAATGGAGAGTTCAAATTCGGAAAAAGAAGACGAAAACATGATAATACCACCAAGAAAAGGTGATGGCGCAAATATGCAAAACGATGACGGAGGACCTCTATCATTAAAAAACAAAATAGACGGCGATCATTCAATGTCAAACATATGTCTACCAAATCTCTTAACGATAACGATAACAATAGTCATTTCCTATATTAGAATTACGTGAAGAAACAAATTTCTATTTTTCATTTAATCCTCTAGAATGCATTTTACAATAGCCCTTTATAGCATCGTAGAGTATTGTCAATGAAAAGCAAAAAAAAAAACAAACAAAAAAAGGAAAAAACACAAAGAAATCTATAAATAAATATATATATATATTTACGTATCACTACTTTCAACTATAAGTGATACATCGCAAAATTAAAAGTGACAAACTCTTTGGCTATGTTAATGTATACAGAAATTGTATACCAAAACATAAGCTTGCCTTTTTTAAAAAGAAAAAAAGAATCCTTAAAACACAAAGTATAGTTGTAAAAATTTAGCGTAGAAAAAAATAAGATCTATAAAAAAAATGACAAAGAGCTAGTCTCAAAAGAAGTATTAAGTATACTACATCAGCCAAGACAAAAACAAAAAAATCCCCCAGGATTTAACAAACAAAAAAAAATCGTTACATTCCGTCTTGTGCTAAATTATGACGGTTCTAATGCCTTCTTCGTCAAGATTGTCTTGTCCTCCGGTCTATAGAAGAAAATAATTTTCTTTATATAACCAAATACCTTCTAAATAATATTGCCTTCCTTGAAGGGAGCCTAAAAAAGCACAAAAAAATTCAGATATTGCTTTTTCTCTATAAAAAACAAAACATTCTACTTCATTTGGGAGAAGAAGATGAAAAAAAATAAAGATTCGTAAACTATTATTATAGCCATGCTATATTTTTGAGAATGCAGTATAATTTTAGAAGTTTGTAAGGTTTGTAAAAGTAGCATGTAAGCGACTTGTAGGGCTATAGGGCTTGTAAATTTTTTTTTGTTTTCTAAAAAGATGAAACAGTGCCGGCGCTATAATGAATTTGACGAATATAGCTCAAAATATAGCGCGATATTTGAGATTTGTTGTTGCTTTTCGGTATTTAAATATTTTAGAGGGGGGGAAATAGAGAGAAAAAAGAAGTGAATAAAAAAAAGTTGATACGATATTTTTGACATACTGTCGCGATATGCACGAAGGCACTGATATGTATATACAATGTGACTGAAGAGTCTTAAATAGGTGTATTAAATTGTTAATATATAATTATTTAATGATTTATCGTTTTTTACACAGAGTGTAGATTAAAAAAAGTTGTAATTTGTAATTTTTTTCATTATTATGTTTAAATCTCCTATTAAAATATGTAATATTGTGTTTTTGACTTCCTCGAGAGCAAGTAGGAATTTATATTATTGCGTTAAAATTAATTTATATTAAGTTTTATCATTAAAATGAAAAAAAATAAGGATAACATTCCAATAAGTACCATTTTATCATTAAAAAAAACAACGTGATGCCTTACAAAAAGACATTGCTGCTTTATATCAATTTTTAGCTTGTATAGAAAGAGTAAAATTTTGTGAAGCTAATGAAAATTTACGATATCTTCGAGATAGGTGAAGGATGACCGACGTATTAATAGAAATAAGGTTTCTAAATATTTTTCATATCATTTTACGTATGAGAATTTATTATTATTAATATTATTATTATTAATCGGATCATACCAAGCGTTATTCGTTTCCTCTAATCAATAAGGACGAATAATTTTTGCAAACCTGTAGCAATGGAAATATTAATGAAAAAAAAGAAAACTACCTCTAAACAAAAAACAAATAAGATGATTAAGAAGAAGAAGAAGCGATTCATTTTGCAGCTTTACCGAAGAATTATTAAAATATTGTTCACAAAATGTATATCCAAAGTATCTCTACAACTCTGTAATATAAAATACAAAGACGAAAATAAATAATACAATAGCACCCTTATGCTTTTTCAAAACCAGAAAAATAAAATTGTTTTCATAATTCTAACCAATATTGCAATACTTCAAAACAATTGACTAAATCACATAATTAATTGATTTCTTGGTAATAATATTGCTACAAAGAACCAATCAATCACCTGAGAAGACACTTGAGAAAATTATGAACTTAGAACGACTTTAATTTTAATTCAAACTAATAATCAGAAATAAATTCACTCTACAGACAACATGTTTTAATTGTATTATATATATATTTTAATTTGACATTCGTAAATTTATTCACCACTAACAAACCTTAATTAAAATTTATTTAACATTTGTAAATTTATTCACTACAGACGACCTTAATTTTAATATTAAAAATACCGCTAAACCAACATTTTTCTAAACTTCAATCTTAATCATTTTTTTCAAATTACCAAATCCAATAATTAAAGGTAATTCATAGATTTAAATAAATATAAATAAATTAAAATTTTTATCTTTATTTTTAATGCAAAAAGATATTTAATTTAAAATACTGCTAAAATTTCGAACGTTTCATGAAACAAAATTTATATTAAATCGAAATAAATTTCTATTTCTATTTAAAAGAATTTTTATTTAATCAAAATCAAATTAAAATGAAACTTTATATAATAGATTGTTTATTTTACCAATAAATTTTTATTTACCAAAATTATGATTAAATATTAATTCGATTTAAAAAAATGTAATTTCATTGGCTTACCCAGTACACCATATTGTTGGGGCGTGAGTCGCACATCTCCATCAGGTCCATTAGGTATTGATGAAATTAAAGAAGCTCTATCACTAATATGACTCCGTGTACTGGCTTCACTTCTCCTCGCCCATGAAACTTGAGAAACTGCATCTATCAAATAATGAACATTTTTATTGACTAACGAACATAAAAATCTTTATTTTCAAACTGTAATTTTGTTAACAGCTTTAAATTTTTTTCTAAAATTAAAAGAATTTCGGAAAAAAATGTTAGAAAATTTATTATTACCGAAATTAGAAGCCTTTGAATTCATAAATCTATGCCTAGCATCCCTGATACTTTTACGTGATGAAGGTAAAGGGTGTCTTCTCCTTCTTTTTAAAAACTGCGCCAAACTGCCTAATAATAATGTTCCACCAGTGAAACAAATAATTAATATCTGAAAAAATAGGATTGTTGTATATTTCAAAATCAATACCATATTAATTTATAATAATTCTTATAATCACTGAATCGTATAATAATAACATAATTATTGGAATGTTTTTAATACACAACTTTATTTAAAAACATCATTTTCAACATTATTTTCAGACAATTCAGACGATTCAGACACAAATAAAAACAACATTAACTCATATTTATATATAGAAATTTTTAAATATTCATATAAAAATTGCATTTTCAAGGAAACTTCGAGGACTCGTTGTTTTTATTTATGCCATGTCATAAAAATAATACATTTAACAATAAGAAAATTTAAGTACCACTTCTCATAATAAATAATTACTTACAAAAAATTGTAATGTAATATTAAATAATTTTTCATTACTTACATAAGATGTTTTTTTCTAAAAGATAACCTAAAAATAATTTAGAGGTTAGTTACCTTTTGTGTTTTTGAAAGATTAAACGATGGCAGCGAAATCAAATAACGGGAATACAATTTTCCCAAGACCTCATTTGCTTTGAAGAGTGACATTATTCAAAAAAAAATTTCTTTCTTTCTGGAATAATGTTGAATAACATGGAAAAAGACACTCTAAACACTTTGATTACACCCTCATCTTCATCACAAAACTGATCACAACACAATGCGCTTTCGCGCTGAATAAGGAACGAACCGGAATTATGTTCCTCATTTTACATATGTAATGAAAGAAAAAAACCGCGGGAACGGAATAAAGCACTGAGAGAAATTTTTTTCATTTCCTCAAATGATAAAAAAGGGATCAATAATTTAAATAAAAAACAATAGCCAGGACAAAAACAATAGTAAAATATAAATTTACAATTGTTTAAAAATCTACTTTTATACTGTAAATTAAAAATTGTATAATGTTTTTAAAAACTAATTGTTAAGGAAATATTTTCGAAAAACATGATTTTATCAAAAATATATAACAAAAATTGATACCACTTTTTATAAATAGATTACTTTTGATTTTTTACCAAATAATTTAAAGGATACTTTTATCTGAAAACAAAACACATGGATATACATTTACATATTTTAATTTTAAAAAATATGGTTGTTACTACTATTTCGTGGTAGAGAATAACAATATTTTTTTAAAATTAAATGTAAATGAATTAAAAAAACAAAAATTAATTATTAAGAATAACATAGCAACACACAAAAATCAAAATTTAAATAAAATATAGTAAACACTTTCACACATTCATTCCAAAACAATACTAAACAGTTTTCCTACCTACAATTTCTAATAAAAATATAATCTAAAACCTCATTCATACGTAAGGATCTATCTAAAATCCTACCTGAATCCGCAATCTAAATAAAAGCAAACTAAATTAACTGAATTACTCACAACGCACAATCACTCCACGGTTCTCTCTCATACCGCCCAGGTGCAAAAGACCTACTCTAGGGGTAACGCGCCCCGGGGCGGGTTCCCGTCACCTGAGCTTAAGAATTCTTAAAAACTAAAAAAAACAAAAACAAAAAAAAATCATTCTGATTGTTTTAAGCAAGATACAGTAAAACCTCCCCATTAAAAATTGTCAGTCTTTAAAAAAAATTTCATTTAAATAATGTTTATTTATATTACGCGAGATTTAAAATTTATTTTTGCAAAATACCAAAATGCATTCAATATATAAATAAAAAAAAAGAAATAAATATTATAAAAACTAAAATTAATAAATATTTGAACAATAATCAAATTTACAAAAAGTTTCCATTTGGAATTCTTCAAAAAATTAAATTAATTAAATTATCAATGACTACGTTAAATTTTAATATTTAATTTAAGTTATTCTTATCTTAAAAGTAAAATAAAAAATTTATTATTATTATTTAAATAAATTAATTTTTAATTAAGTAAATTAAATAAGGTAAAATTAAATTGAAATGGGAGATTTTACTGTAAAATAAAAATATATACCTGATGTAAAAATTAAATTTTAAAACGAAATGTTTTTAAAAAATAATAATTCCATCAGTCGTGTCGCCATGTTATTTAATTAAAAATCCACTGACTATTCGATGAATCCCTCGTTGCTGTTAAGGCGCACAGTGGAAACCATCCTTGAATCCATAAAATCCTTGAAGAAGATAAAAATGCCGAAGTCAACAATGAAGACGTGAACGGAAGTACTGATATGGTGTTGAAGAACGATTCCGCCGAAGAAGTAGATCTCGAAGTCTTTGCATATCCAGATATGTACAAATCACGTTGACACAACACTCACACACTTTTTTTCAAAATACGATTAATTTAATCGATTTAGAAAATTTTAACACTTTGACACTATTATTATTATTTATAAACACAGATAATTTTAAACACTTGCTATTCCGATGAGAAGAAAACACTTTTCCAGCAATAATAGAAACTTCAATTATTCTTTAAGTACGCAAACACTCCCAAAAGCATATTTGTTAAAGAAACTTTATTTAATAATCGTTAACTGTCCGCGACTGCAGAACGATCTCCAGACCGAAATATTCATTCGAAAGTAAGAACTCCTAGTAGTAAATATCGAATTATTGATGTAAAATACTTTAAAGGAAAATAAACTACAATATTGCTAACGACTCGACTTGTTACGGTTGCTAATATCAGGAGCTTCCTTAGATGTTAACACTTCGAAGAGCAGAACGATAATGACACGACCGCTGCGACAGTGTCGCCGAATATGCCCCCACTCTATTCCACTCCCACCCTGCTTGCGCGCACGCGAGCTTCTTATTGGCCGAGCGCTAAACAAGACGTGTACTAATTGGTTCGAAACGTTTCTCGTTTTCTTATTCATTTTCTAGTAAATCTTTACGTTTTAATAGCAAAATATTAAGTAAAATTATTAAATATAGTAACTATAACACAAATATATTAATATTAGTACAAACAAAATTAAGAAACTTTAATAATCAATATTAAACGGAATTTAAGAGAATACAGATGTTTCCCGAATTATCGTTTTACACAAAACACTACGAATTCAAAAGAACATAATATTTTTTACACGAACCGGCAAATACAAACTTAATTTTATATTATTCATCTTATTCAGGAAAGGAAGTGTTATAAATACTATTTAACGTATTAGAAAACCTACGTGACGTTGAAGTACTACGATGCGACAGGTACGATTAATTACGATAGGCACTACTAGGAGCTTACCATAGATGTTGACCCTTCGAAGAGCGGAACGATAATGAAGCGACTGCTGTTACACTGCCGCCGACTATACCCCCACTCTCTTACACTCCCACCCCGCTGACGCGCAAGCGAGCTCCTGATTGGCGGCGGGCTAGAGACGGCCACCGTTTGGCTTGAAATATTATTATATTACCATTGCTCCTACTACTAGCTCCCGTAGATGTTGACCCTTCGAAGAGCGGAACTATAATGAAACTACATACTGCCGCAGCGACAATGCCAACGACTATGCCCCCACCCTATTCCACTCCCTCCCTGCTGACTCGGGCGCAAGCCCCCTGATTGGTTGAGACTGAAGATATACGCGATTGGCTACAATTATTTCTCGTTCCTTTTTCATCACTTGTAAACAAAACTTTTAGATTATTTAACAAACTGTTATGCATTTAATTAATAAAAGTATTAATTAATTTAAATAACAAATGTATTAATTAATTTAGATAATAAATGTATTAATGAATTTAAATATAATGTATTTTTCAAGAATCATTTAATGTTAATAAATAAAATAAATAGTTTATCTTTTTCAGAAAATAATTAATGTTATTACTTAATTAAAAGAATTATAAATGCAAAATGAGAAAATAGAAAACAAAAACAAATTAAATATTTTTTTTCAATTATAATTAGGTCCATAATCTCATCCATCAAATGAAAGACAACTAATTTTGTAGTAATTCTTTATTTACTATAAAACTATGCACTGTGCCTTCAACAAATAACTGAGAGAAACTCTCGAGTGCCCAAAAAAGAGGATACTGCACGTGGATGTTGTGAAGTCGACTCAAAAATCGAAAAATAAAATACACGAATGCTACAATTAAGCAAATATTTTCTTTTTCCTACCAAAAAAAAATTCTTTTTTCTCAACGAAAGGCAACAAAAAAATAGTAAAATCAATTTTAAAAAAATATAAAAAAAATTTAATTAAATAACAAGAGAAATCATTGAAAAAAGATATTCCAACACGAATTAGTGTGATTCCCTAGATTTGATACATTAAATCGCTCTTTGATAATAATCTACAGAATAGAGTGGGTATTTTTTGAATTGATTGAAAATCTCAACACGGATATCCGCTTAATACTGCATTTTCCACAATTGAAAATTTTCACTGCGGATTTTTGCTTTTTTCTGTTTTGTATCTTTTTTTTGTTTTGTAGCGTTAACGTGCATTATTATCATGTATATTTCGTTCCGCAAGAGTGTTATGCTCATTATTATTGATAAATCGACGAATGATCCTCAATGGCGAGAAGAGCTTAATACAAAGTACCCGATTAAAGGATTTACAAAAGTTACATTTTCGAAGCTTAACATTAACACTATTATACTCTTATAAATTCATGCAAAAAGGCCACTATATCTACTGCTCCGAACGTTACGATTACAAACCATGACATTTACGCAATAAAAAATCGCTAATAAAAAATAATAAGAAAGGAAAACTTGATTATTTTTATTTTCAAAAATAAAAAAGTTTCCTTAACTTACAATTTTTTTCAAGAGAAACCCAAAGAAAAAATAGACAGAAAAAGTACAATTCTCAACAATACGATTTTGTAATTTCATTTTCGATCGATTTATTAATTATAATCTATTCTTTTTAATTTTTAATTTCAGAATATAAAATTAAGGAAAAAATGGTTCCCTAATAATTAAATTTTTTTGGATATGTTTACAATTCTCTTGGATTTTATCTAAAATAATTTTTTCATTTTTTTTATTTCTTTTTCAAACAATCTTTTACTATTTTTAAAAATATATTTTAGTTGGTTTTTTAATGTAGTATAAACTTTAAATATTTGAAAAAAGTTAACAAAAATAATTAAAAATACCTCCCCGTCAAAAATTTCTTTCTAAATTCATAAAAATATTGATAAAATTTAAAAAATTCAATTGTTTACAAAAAAAAGTTTCGGTAAAAGTGAAATTACATAATCGCTACTCCCTACACATTTTCTCTTTTAGCGGAACAATTGAAAAATTGAAAAATAGGATCACGCATTCTTCTTTCATTTTTTTTTCATATCAAAAAGAAAAATGTTCGTTCGAACGAAGCTGTATTATTTACACAGTATTTACAACTCAAATCGGCTCGATATTGTCGAGAAATATTTCTCTGCTCGCTAACTTAATAAGTTTTTCTATTTAAAAAAGAGAAAAAAATTAATTTCACGAATCAATGGGAACAAAAAGTTAAAATATTAAAAATAGATTTTTTAAGCTTAGAATTAAAATCAAATTTTATTAATAAAAAAAAAAGGGTTTTATTAATAAAAAATAAAAATAATCTACAATGATTAAAAACAATTGAAATAATAAAAATATGACAAAATTAAAAATCAAGGCCATTAATTTTTTTCAAGAAAAATTAATTACATGACAAGGAATGAAAATTTCGGAGAAATTACATTTTTTCAGAAATAGTCAATTTTCATCAAAATCGAATTTTCATTTCGATAAATTAAATTTGCTAATTAAATTTAATTTTCCAAGGAAGAAAATTCAATTCTATAGAAATTGATGTAATTTTATTTCCAAAGAAATTTAATATTAAGTAAATCAAATATTTCACAATATTAAATTTTAAAGAAAATAATAATTTTCCAAAATATTATTTTAACTTATTTGAAAGATATTTAATTTTCAAAGATATTAAATTTTTCTGGAAATAAAAAAATATTTCCAAAATATCTAATTTCAGGGAAAATTGCAAAAAATTTCTAGAAAATAAAAAATTGCCAAAAAAGAGAAATCAGTTTTGCAAGCAGAGTAGATCTGAGAGTGTGAAAAAAAATATTTGTCTTAAACTCTATCGCGCAACGCACGTAAAAACTCTGGCGGTTCGAAGCACAATGACTAAATACAAAGATTTTTTAGGCAGCTTTTGTTTTTTTAGATATTTTTCTGGGAAAGCTTTTTTTTATTAATTAATATCAATTATATATATACTTTGGGGGAATTTAAAAAAAAATGCCAAAGGGGAGCTGCCACACACGACGATTTATTTTTATTTTTCATTTAGCAATTTTAATAAGTCTTGTTGTTTTCTCTTTATATAGTTTTGTTTCTTTGTTTATGTTATATTTTTCTTTTTTTTCTTCTTTTTTCAACTCGATATAAAATGTGACGCATTTAAAGAACGTAGATCCATTTACACCACAACACTATATATATTTATTTAATATAATGACGCGACTCCAGTCAGGTTTAAACTTCTAAAATATTCTAGCTTCTTTTTTCGTGTGTCTATTCATATTAACATTTAATAATATTAATATTTATTCTACTAATAATCAACTCGTAGTGGAGAGATCTATTCATTTTTTTAAGATCCTAGCGAATTGACACAACTTCAATTTTCTAAATTTTAATTTTAAAAATACCAAAAAATTCTTTTCTCTATTCTATTTTTGGATACGAATTTCATTAATTTTAAAACAGATGGAAATCTCTATTTTTTAAATTAAATTATTTCAAAAGAATCGAAAAAAGTAATTTCATTTTCAGAATTTTGCCTTTTTGTGTTTGAACTAAATTAGAAATCTATTTTTTAAGAGTCCGAAATTTGAAATTTGAAAATTCGCTAAGGGGAATGGCTAGTGAACTTTGTAAAACTCTTTTTTACCTCCGTTTTTTGTTATTTTCAATTATCACATTAATTTCTATAGATTTTTTTGCATTCTTGAAAAGATTTTGTTTCTTTATTCTGTAATTATTGCCTACCAGCAGAGCGGAGATTCTCTTTTTTTTACCAAGAAGATTTTTTTTCTACTTGTAAAAGTTAACCAATGAATCAACAACGCTTTGCCACCTAGATTTTTTTTGTTCTTAACCAGAAAATTTATATTCACAATTGTATTTCTTTAGTTATGGAAATGAAACTGACTAATACATTAAAATGGAGGTAGAAACAAGAGAGAGATTAACTATTTTTTTCTTTGCAAATTTGTCATCTAAAAATGTGAGTTAACTACCCTAAGACACATGCAAGCGACTGAAGCACGCCAAGAGTTGGCAATGTATATTCAATTTTTTTTTAATATTATTCTCTAGTTCGTTTCATGTTTAAAATCTATTTTCTTTTCTCAAAAAAACCGCCAGATGTTTTTTTCTTTAAAAAAAAAAAAACTACGTCCAGGAAAACGCTAGAGAGAAATAGAGAAAAGTATCGAATTTTTCGAAAACAATTCCCAGAAGTTCTTTTTTTTAAATAATTTTTCCGGGTTTTTTGTCACTGCCATTGGGTTTTTTTTCTTGGAATGCCGAGGTATGGATAATCGCAAAACACAATGGTCATGCTCGACTGTCCAAAATAAAAGTAAGAGAAAAAAATAGAGAAGATATGATTTTAATTGCTGACACATTATTCCTGCAATTATTATTAATTATTTTTGTTTTTTTGCCTCTGATTCTGGATTCTCTTCTTGCTGATTATATAAGTCGGAAGACGATTTTTGTTTTGTTTTTCTTTTTTTTGCGTACAAGATGTAACTATGCTTACTTTTTATCCAAAAAGCTTTTCTTTTCCTTTAGCTGCTGGTTTCACTTTCCTTTTCGTTTTCTTGAAAGAATTTTCAACTTCCGATGGTGGGACAGCAAAAGAGTGGACGAATCGGAAGGTCATGAGGTAGGGACTAGCAGTTGTTCGGATCTGGAGGTGTCACAAGAAATTCATCTGCACGTTTATGATCAGAAAGCGCTCTCATTGTATAAGAATCCTGCGGCAATTCGCTTTTTCTTCGTAGCAATGGTTTCGATTTGTTTGTATTTGTCATCTTCTTTGCCTAAAGTTTCATTATTTATTATTAATAAATTTTTGTGATAAACATTAATTATTTACTATTATAATTAATTGTTTACTACTTATAATTTATAGCAAAAAGAAAGAAAAAATCTCTATTTAATCTTTTATCTCAATTTTTTTTATTTATTTTTAAAATTAAATTTAAATAAAATTTGAAAATAAACTAAGTTGATTAAAAAAACTTGTTTGTAAATAAATAATAAAGAAAGACCTAAATAAATAAATTACTAGTCTTTTTATTAATATAATTTTTTTTTTGGTTCTAATAGATAATTAATTTCGAAGAATGAAAATTTTACCTCGTTGGCTTTTGCTTCGATTTTCTCTAACGTCAATGGTGATTGATCGTTATCGCCGTCCTCATCAGGTGGTGTATTTTCTTGTTGATTTGCAGGATGAGTTTTAATTTGCATCCCTTTGTTTATCGAATTATAATTGGGATGCCTCATTGCCAGAGACTCGACTTTCGACCACGCTTCGTCCCTCTCTTTAAAAAGTTTCAACTCCTTCTGGCGATCCTTTATACAAGAATAAAAAAAAAATTATAAATAATGTATTTAAAATATTAATTCCTAGCCTGTTAATTAACATAATTAGAAATTAGTATAAATGGTAATAACGTCACTTCTATTATTTTTTTTCACTTATTATCACTTCTATTATTCTGTTATTATAATAAATTCTATATTTTTAGAATTAGGAAATAATTTTATCAAAGCATAAAAAAATTTGTCAAATTAAAAGGAAAATTGAAGAGAAATAAAAATTCAATACCAGGCAGTATTGTTGTGAGCATTCATCAAATACTTTTTGATTCATTTCCATAAAAAGTTTCAAAGCATTATAAATTAGTCCGTGTATTGTTTTGTTCCAATGATTCCGTGAATTTCTGTACAATGCTGGATACATGATCGGCAAAATAACAGAATAATTGTCCGAAATCAAAGACATTATATATTCATTATTCCAATAATAGAGAGCTCTCTCGGCCACCTGAAAAGAAGATAATATTTTCCGTTCAAACTAAAACAAATTGCATTTTAATTATATCGGAATAATGCACTTCATTTTTCTTCATTTTTATCGAATCAGCAAATTTTATTATATTTAATGCAAATTTACCATCTCAGTGATTAATTAAATTTGAACTACATTTTTTTATATTAATTTTTTGTTTGTAATACCGTTTTTACTTCTAATTCAATTTTAATTTGCTTTTCTTTATAATTTTGCAGCATTAATTGCGAATTATAGGAAGAAGAAAAAATTTTGCAATTAAATTAATTGACTGTAAATAGAAAGAAATTTTAAAAATAGAATGAATTTTGTAAGATGTGAAAAAATGAGATAAAATTATTTTACCTGAAAATGTGGTGACGAAACGCATTTGGATAATTGCCTAAAAAGTGGATCCATGACTTTTTGAAATTCGGCCGGTTCTATTACGTCTAAAATCTCTTCGAGTTCATTGAGGAACATCACCTCCTTTGGGGAGTGTGTCTTTGGCCAAAACTTTAAGAGATTTCTTATAACTGGTTCGGTCAACGATGGGTCCTTTTCCAAAAATTGTACAACACAATAAGCTAATTGCGGATGATAAACGGACAATGATTTCGCTTTGTGCAATGGCAATAGGACCTTGAGCAAAAAAACTTTATGTTCCTCCTTCAGAGGTAACGCAAAGCCATTGATAATACTGCAGAAGAAGAGAAATTAATTTTCACTCAGTTTTTTTGTTCTATTAATAAATAATAAAGATATTTTTAAGAAAAATGCTCGTAAAATTTGTACATTTCTTAAAAATCTGAATTTAATGAAAAAAAATGATATTATAGACATTTAAAATTACCTTCCAAGAATTTCAAGTAGCTCCGCAATTCCGTTGTGATGCTCCGTTTCATATATAAATCTATAGAAAACATTGTTTATTTGCTTTCGAATGTGCGCCCGGAGGCCGAGAAATTTTCCATAAATCCTGTGCAATGTTGTTTTCAGAAAATCTCTCTCGCGTGGATCCTCAGAATCAAAAAGTTCGAGAAGTTGAAGAATAAATTTATGATCAATGCAACGTTTTGCAATTGTTGGCTGAAAATCAGGTGACTCGAGAAAATGTAAGAAAAATTCATAAACCAATTGTAAATGTGGCCATGCCGCTTCCAACGTTGGCTCATCCTCCTCGGGATCGAATTCCGCTCCATTTGGATTCGATGACGGTGGCAATGTGCGAAAAAGATTCACCGCAAACTGCAATAAAAATAATACTTTACAAAATGTTATTACGAAAAAAAGAATAAAAATACAAACAGATATTTCATAAAATAAAAAAGGAAATATTGACAAATATAGGAAATAAATATAAAACATACGAATTTTTCGTAAAAGAATATTTTTCTTCTACAAAAAGTGTTTTTATAAAAATACGAACAATTAAATTGAAATTGAAATTTATTATCTCACCATATTCACTGCCTCGGGATATATTGGATCGGTAATGACATTTTTGTTTTCGGTGACGTATTCCACCATCTCGTGGAGTGCTCCTCGCTTTATTTCCTTCCATTTCAAGTCTGACAGGGGATCAGATTCAAAGTCAAAAAGAACACAACACTGCCGAAGCTTTTGAATAAAGAGCTGTTCACTTTCGTTACCCTGTTGCGCTTCTGCAAAAAAAAAGAAGACAAAAATTATGGTACACTTTCTTTTAATATACAAATACATTATTGTACGAATTCGACAATTAAATTGAAATCAAACAATAAAATTGTCTCCTGAATGAGAATATAAAAAGGAGAAATATCCATTTCAATATAGATTCACACAAACAATAATAAAAACTATAAAGCGAAAATGGTAATTCAATGCCTGAGACAATTTTTTAGTTCGTGACAAAAGATTTTATTGTCTTTTGCAGATTGATATCATGCTCAGGAAACATTTTTACTCTCAATTTTAGTTTCGAAAAAATAAAATAAATAACATGCTTTGAGTTTCAGTGATAAAATCCAAATCTAGAACTTTTTCTCTTCATAATAAAAACTTTTCTTCATAACTAAAATAATAAACTTTATTTTAATTTTTCCATTTAATTGGATTAAATTTAATTGAATTGAATTAATTTTTCCCATTTAATTTACAGAATTCTTTTTTTATTTCAATAAATTTAATTTTTTTGAACAATCTTCAATTACGAAAACAATTATTTTAGAAGACAAAAAGAAAATTCATAATGCAAAAGGATTTACGTTTCACAAAGTAAATTCTAATTTAACTGGGTGACTATTTATTGTTTCTTCTCTTTTATTCTAATATTCACGAATATTGTCTCGACATTTGTGATAAATTTATTATTTTCAATTTACTCATCAAATTCAGGTCAACTAAATTTAAATATAAACTCTCTCCAAAGTTCAAAGTATTTAGATGCGGTAAAACCTCAAAATTAAATCACTTTGAAACTGAAAATTCATCGAATTATTGTAGTTTAATATCAAAGTGCCAGTACAAAGTCATTAGATCAAAAATTATTTTCAAAAATTGAAAACAAAAAAATATTCAAAAAAATCTATGAAATTTAGGAAATGCTTCTTTCAAATTCTATAAAATAAAATAATTGAAATTGATTAAAAAAATAAGTATTAGTATAAAAATTTTATAAAAATAATAAAATTAAAAAGAAAATTTAAAAAAAAATTAAAAAATAGAATAAATAAAAAAATAAACAGAAAAATATAAATATCAGAATTTACAATAATCTGTTAAAGGCTAAATAAGTATAAACAATATAATGCAAATAAATGATAAATAAATATAAATCTAAAGTTACAAAAATAAAATTCCAAATAAAATTTATAATTTATTTAAAGAACCTATATTTTGATATCAATTCTCAAAACGCGGGTGAGTCCAAAAAACAATACGAAACCATCAGACATTGAAAATTGTAAATACAATTCAGATATTTAGAAAAAAAGTTAATTAAAATTGTTCCTAACTTTTCTCGAGTATTATTTAAAAGAATTCTGATTTTCTCAAAGTGTTAAAAAAAACAAAAACAAAATCAATATTGAAAAATCGACAATTACCGATTAACAGCGGCTGCAGGGGTTGTTGATAATACAAAGTATTAACGGCAGGATAAAATTTATTAAATTCCTGAGCAGAATAGGCAGCAAATGCCAAATCCTGATGAAAACTAGGACTTTTAGGCAATCCAGTGCTTAAAGTCGGAGTTGTATCGCTCACATGAACCATTTTTTGAATATTATTTATTTACTTCTTAGTCTTATTATTATTCTTTGGTAAAGTAAATTTAGTCTGTCTGTATAGATTCAATATGGAATTACTTTATATTTGACATATATTTATATACAAAAAGTCTATTTGTTTGGCATTAAATTTTTTTTGGCGTGTTCACAGCGAGTGAGAGTAAGAGAAAGAGAGAATCTTGCCAACAATTCTGGCGTAAAATCAACAAAACGCAGTACTTCTTTCTATCCTTGAACTGATCCACAGAACTCGACCAGTTGGATTCTCCCTTCTCGTATATTATACTTTTGCGCGGCAATCTGTTGCTTCGCATCAACCCACAATATTTTAAGAATCAATTTCCTCTCATTAAATTTTCCAAAATTCCATAATACAAAATGGAAAAAATACTTTCTGAAGATGAAAATAAAAGAGGGTTGTGAAAACAAAATATCATCGCGAATTCTCTTTACCCCTTTTTTGAGTTTGAAGAAGAAAAGAGAGAGAATTTTTTTGTTTTCTTCCGAGAGTGAAAAACAAGTCTTTTGAAAGAAGAGAATATCTTTCAAAAAGCACCTTCTGACGAAAATCTTTAAATACACATTATCCTTGAGGATAGAAAGTAGTTTTGGATAAAGAGCTTTGCTTTTCAATAAAAGAAAAAGCTGAGCTTAAAAAGGCTCAGTGGCAGTTGCGAGAGTTCGAAGAGGGCAATGTTCGCGGTTCACGGGATGACTGTTTGGATTGTTTAGAGAGTTTCATCGGCGAAAAGGAGAGGCGAGGGATTATATTTTTGATGGCGCTTGCGCGACCTCGTGGAGCAATCGATATTTCTTGACGTAAAATGGGAATATGTTTTCGCTAAAGCCAATTGACGGGTCGGAGTATATTGAGAAAGGCCAGGAGAAGTCAAGAGACAAGTCATTGAACAGATGACATTTTCCGATGAGAAAACGAGAAAGAAAAAAGAGAAATGAAAACACACAGTCATGCCAAAGAGAGATAAATTGATTAAAATGGCAGTTTGCCAAAAAGTGCGTCTTCAACAAACGATTCAACAGGCATTACTTGTTTGCAATCAATTTACCTATATAAACAACACTGAGGAGGTGGAGAGAAAAGGAAAAAAATATATGTGAAGACCGGCCGGCCTCTGAAAAGCGTAAAATACATTCCGGCATTTCGATTGAAATACCGATGAAATTGTATAAATAGCAACGAGCCAACCGTATCGAAGTTCGGTTTTTATTTTCTTTCTCTCACTCTCAATGTCTCACTTTATCTGTGAAGACGAGACAAGAATAATACTGAATTTCAAGAGAGATTTTAGACGATGCGTTAACTACACCGATTTAGAATATTCAATTGATCTGCAAATTTTCCCCCACTTTCTTCTGTATTTTTCATTTTCATTTTTCAATGTCTGATATAAGTACTTGTTTTTTGGAGTCACTTTGCGAATTCTGAAAAAGAAGAAAACCGATTAATAAACTGATAAATAATAATAAAATCAATATTAAATAATATTTTGATAACATTAAATAATATTATTTCCCTTTGATTTGAAAAACAAATATTCGAACGTTTTGATTTAAATTAAATTTTCTTCAAGATAAAAAAGCAGAAATACAAAATTTTTTACAAATTTATGCTTCTCATAATTTAAAATTTTTCCATTTGAAAAATAGTTCAGAGATGAAAAATTCTCTTGTTGAAGTAATTTTAAAGAAAAGCTGATATTTTAAGATATGTAAAGAAAAATGTACGAACGCACAAAAGATAACGTTTTTCTTTTTCTTTATAATTATGACAAGTTTATTAAAATTATTAGTAAAAAATAAAATATGAGAGAATAAAAGAGAAAATTTTTAAATAATAACCATTACGAGTTTCAATTGAATTTTAACATTAATTTATTTTACTGATTAATAGAAACTTTTTAATGCATCAAGCCTGAGGCGAGTTAATAAGGAATCTGGATTAACTAGATGCGTTTCTAAATCCTTGATCCACTATCCTAAAATGGTGAGGGATTTATTAAGATTTATTGAACGTATCGTTAAACTTTATTTATTTTTATTGTTGATACTAAATTGTACGCGAAATTTTATCATTCCAAATATAAACGAACTTTGGAGAATGGAAAAAATTTAATAAAAACGATAAATTAATAATAAAAATAGAAAAAGGAAATAACAAAATACGAGAATTGAAAAAGTCTATTAGAATTTCTCTTTAGATTTTATTCCGATTTTCAGAAATTTCTTTTTAGTTATTTTTCTGGTTTTTATTATTATTAATTTTACAAACTTATTTAAATAGAAAAATTTGATTTTTTTTTTATTTTTAGCAATAAATCCAGGAAAAAAACGTTTAAATGCAAAAATAAATAATTTAAATTTAACCCAAATCTCAATTTGAAAGCTAATATTTAAATTCTAAAGTTTAATATTTTATCGTTAAAATTAAATTAAATAGAAATAGAAAAATATACTTATATTATTTCTATTTCAATGTAACTGAAAACTAAATATAAAGAAATTGAAGTTTGTTTTTCAAGCTCTTTAAACTCAGTTTTAGAATTTTTCCTGTTTTATTTTTGAATGTGAAAAAATAAAAGTTTAAAAATACTGAAAAAAGCACGAAATATGAATTTTAAAGAAAAAAATTAAATAATTAAAATACGGACCAATTTAACTTAGTATGTCATAAATAAAATATTCTTATTAATTTAAATTCTAAATAAAAAATGTTATCTGATTTCAAAAAATTTAGCTTTAAAATTGAAAAAATCACCGATTAATAAAATGAATAAATTATCTAATTAAAATTTCCATTTCTGCCAAAAGATTAAAAATCATTTCACCTGTTAAAAGCGGTAATTTTTGTAATTCGCGATTCTTCGATATATTGAATCTCGAACTGCTCTGTCGTTTATCCTTTTTGATAACTGGCACTCCTGGTTGATACTTGATTTTATTTATGAGTGTTGGAGGTGGAGGAGCACTGACTGATGGTGGTCCACTCGATGCTTTGTTCGCCTACAAAGAAGAAAGAAAATTATGAGTCACTTTGGAATCAAAAATAAGTTCACAAACAAAATAATATACAGTACATTTTAATCCTTATATTTATTTAAATAAAAATCCCCCAATCTTTTAATTTTACCCTCTTCAAAATTCAAAATTTAGATTTAAATTTTAAACCTGTTTTAAACGTATTTCAAATAAATAATTCATGAAAATTTTTGGAACACATTCAGATGGGACAAATAAAGTTGTCAAGTTCGAAAAAAATGGTCAATTAATAACATTAATAATAATGCCAAGAATTTAAATTCCATTAAACACTTGTTTATTATTTGTCTCGTTAAGTATTTTGCAAACTATGCACATCGTAAATCTGCATAATAAATTTTATCACACGTCTTTTTGCATTATGAGAAAATGTCTTATGGAGTAAACAGATTAGTTTAGAGATCTTATTCCAATTTTGTGTTTTTACAGTGGTTGTAAATTTCTTTTTCTTTCGATAACTGAATTTTGAAAAATATTTGTCTAAAAATATAAAAAGTAACGATTCTTTTTAGAAGTGTTGGAGAATTTAAAAACAATGGAATTGATTTTCATCCCACGTGAAAAAAAACATTTTTTTTATAAACGCGTCACCTGCCTTCTTCTTGAACACGTTTGCAAAGTTTTGCATCTTATTCTGCATTCCAGTTGCCAAAAAAAGGAGACGAATCCACGTCTCCTTTTATTTCTCCTCTATCCGCTGATTTTTCTTTTTTTATTTTTACTGTAAACTCACAGCTTCCTTTATAAGGGTGGATGAGAATTCCTCTCTCATCTGCATATTCTATTATTTTCTCTCCTACACAATGACAATGACACCTGACTGATAAAATACAACACACTCGGAAATAAACACTCGTCGTTATAACTTGCACGTTTATTTTTTTTTCTTCTCCTAATATTCAACTCGTTATTATTGTCACTATCATCGAATACTTCTGCTTTGATTAGCATTTCTTCGTTTCCCTTTTTTTTGACGAATTAATAGTAGAAAGAAAATTTTTTTTGTCTGATAAAGTAAAATATCCATTGGTCACTTCCATTCGCTGCTTATTATTTTTCCTTTCATAAAAGAAAAGATTTTCTTCAATTAGAGAAAAAAAAACGATTTTTGGAAATTTTAATTACACTGAACTTTCTTTTTTTTTTCCTTTCTCGGTCAACTTGAGGAAATTAATATCCAGTAATTATATAATTTTTCAGTTATACTTTCATCTCTCAGGTTGTCCGACAAGGTCATTTACGATGAGCGTCATTAAAAATAATAATAAAAATAAAATGAACACCTCGATTCTACTCGTGATCGCCGAATCAAATCACATAGTTTTCAACTTGCGACATGACTTTTGGCGAGTATAAACTATACACCGACATACTTGTTTGATCTCTTAATTTAGATGAGACTCAACGTGAAGAAGACGGAAATTGCGGCCAAAAATATAATTATAAACGACATTTTTTTTACCCCTAAAGATTCTTTTTATTGCCCAATTTTATTTTCTCTCACGACTCAAAATTTTCTTCCATAAATTCAATCCTGATTCGCGATACTTTTGTTAATTAATATTTCTTACTTTTATTGATACAAAATTTATTTTCATATTCAATAACTTTTTAATAAATGAATAAATGAATTTAATAAATAAATTATAATGTATAAAAAATAAGGAAATAAACAATAAAATAAAAAACGATCGAATTTACAATACATTGAAAAAAAAACAGTACTGTAAAAAATAAAAATATAGTAAATAAAGTAAATAAATGAAAATAAATACGAAAAAATTATTTAAACAAATGTAAATAATAAAAGAATATTCCAGTTTAAAATAATGTAAAAAAAATTATAACAAAGCACAAAATAAAGTTTCATTTTAATGTTATATTTAGAATTATTTTTTTATATTTCCGCATCGCGAGGTCATAATTATTGTTAATATCTAGAGATGCTAATAAAAACAAACAAAAAATTATTCAAATAATTATCATGAAGTGAATAATTTATTTCTTTCGACATTTTAATTTTGAAGTGAAATTTTTTTTCTGAATTTTCTTCTACAAATTTTACATGAAAACTTGAATAAAAATACTGAATGAAAAATAAATCTTGAAAGCGACTTTTAATCAATATCTTTAAAAACGTTATTCGATAAATCTTGTATCAATATAAAAGTGCATGCTGACCTACTAAACAATATTTTAATTTTACACGAGAGAAGTTTATAAATAAAATCATGTTAATAAAAAGTTCGATAAGATTACTATAATACAAACTGGAAAATTCAATTGGACAAAAGTGGAAGAAATTTTTTTTTCCTATATTCTTTCTCTTTTCTTTTTATATATATATAATCAACAAAGTATATATTCCTTATCAGTCAATGAAATGTCCACTTATTCTTATCACCAACTATTTATAACTTCAATCCTCTTTTTTTAAATTAATTTTTAATTATAATTTTCAAATTCTGATCTATTATTTTTCATTCAAAGTTGACAATAAATATTTTCCAATAGAATAGAAGTTAATTTATGCGTCAAAAAAAATTGATTTTTAGAGTGAAAAGATTTTTTTTTTATTTTGATCGCAACTTCCAGTCTTCAAAGCACGTTAGTTTATTTATAAATTTTTAATCACAAGCTCCACGTGTTTTATAAGGTTCAGAAGGTTATTGTCGATTACATAAAAGCCGATTAATTGGCATACATTACAAAATCACGCACGCACAACACACTTTTTTTTTTGAGAAAAAACAAAAAAATTAACTCACAGGAAATAATATTTATTCATTAAAAATTTGCACGGGGAGGAAAACAAATTTTTTTATTCTTGATTTTGAATTTAGGGGAAAATTCTTTTCTTTGAAAAAATTTGCGAACGAATAGAAAGAGTTGTATGTGATTTTTTTTGTAGATTTTTATATAAAATAGTGATGTGCGTGGCACCCACGAAAACTGAGACTGCGTTCCTCGAGGAGAGTTAGGTTTCTTCAACCTGTTCTCACATTGCCCCCTTCCCCACTTCCTTGTCGAACTCCAACAATTCCTCCTACCCTCGTTTTCCTCCTCCCTGTCTCCTCATCCACCCACATATTAATTACGACGTTATAAACAAATCAGCTCAGGGATATGTTGCTACTTCGCAGTAATTTTTTTCTATTTTTTTTTGTTCGAAATTTCTTTCTTTTTCGGAGCTTGTACTGTCAAATTTTTATTTTTCTTCCTCTGGCAAAATTTTATCAATCTTAAAATCCAGGAAACAAGATTTCCTCCTCTGATCTTTTTTCTCCCTTTTTGTCTCAGTTTAAATATTTTTGTATCTATTTCCATTTTTGATCTTTTTTGTTTCTTTGTCATGTTCACGATTTTGTTTTTCTCCAATGAAGTGGATTACAATAGAAGAATAGTAAATATTGTTAATTTGTTTCTAAATTGTAAATTAATTCCTTAACGTTAATAACAATGTCTATAAATAAGCGAGATTTTAATGTAATGCAAAAGGAATCAATCATTTTGTCACCTAGAGTGAAATATACTCTGACCACTTGACAATTACATCCTTTTTGTATCTCAGTGTTTCTACGTGATCAGTAATAATTCCAATCACTTATGTAACCGTTCATGACAGTAGGTCATAAAAGAATATATATATATATATACATATATAAAAGGAAGATGCGCATTTTCTGACGCTATTAAATTATATTTATTTCTCTGTTGACATGAGGTCCTTGGCAAATACAGGAATTTATTCAAGTAACCAACAGGTTTCTCAGGACAATACCTTCAAGAGAATTCGAAAAAAATTTTTTCCCCATTTTCCTCTATTCTAAAAAGCCATGGAGTAAAAATCTAAAAATCAAAACAAGTTTGCAAATTTGAAAAAAAAAAAAAATTCATTACAAGATTCATGTTATTTTCTCTTTCTGCATTTATTATTATTTATTATTTATAAACTGAAAATCATTTTCTTTAAATGACAGGAAATTTTTGTTTATTTTTGCCATTTAAAAATTTACTCGAATACAAAAAAATTTAAATAAATAAAAGTCTTCTCTTTTTTTTTGTTTCTAATTTTAAGACAGAAAATAAAAAAAAAATTTATTCAGAGAAGATTTTTATCGAATGTTTATGATAAAAAGTACTCTTTGGCAGTATGGACTGTCACATGAAATAAAAATCACAAGGTTATCAGAGAGAGAAAGAGAGAGAGAAAATGTATATGATTTAACATAGTTTATAAAAATTACATAACTTTTGGCTAACGATTAGTAGAAGTAACTTTTTTATTACTTGAGCAATATTCCGATAGCTATCAATTTGTCATTTCCTTCGAGATGAGTTGTTTTTTTTTCTTTTTTGTCAAAGGACATTAAAAATAATATTTAAAATTACTCCGCGACTATTTACAATTGTCACGCACGTGGCAGATCCTCAACTTTTGGCTTGATTCCAAAACTCTTTTGTGATCAATAGCCTTAAACGAATGTAAATAAAGAGAATCTCAATTATTTCAAAATTTCAAATGCACTCGAAAAAAATTATTTGCAAAAATAAATTTTTAATATTTCACAGTTTTTTTTCGACTAATAAAAATCCCTTTCGAAAAAATAAAATAACTATAAAATAAATAATAAATAAATATTAAAATTTAGATATTAATGATTAAATAAGTATTTTTAATGTATTTCTATAATTTGCAGGAAGTTTGATCAACAAGTTTAGTAAAATAACTGCGAAAAAAATGGTAATGCAATAAATGAAGATATTTTTTTCTCCTTTAAACTTCATTGACAGATTGACATTAGTTTGTCCATTAAGTTTTTTTGTTACGAATGAACATTTGTACTTTGAAAAGTCTGAATCTCTTTATCTCTATCATAACAATTCTCCACGTGTTCGTACTTAATGGTTGAAAAATGTATTTTAGTGTGAAATATAAAGGCGCGAGTATAAAAGCACGACAAACATTATTTCTTATGCAGCAGGTACAATTTGCTCTTGTGTTAACGTATTCCTTCTGCGAGTCTTTTGTTTTCATCAGTGCAAACGCTTTATGTATTGTCGCGATACATAACAAAAGACAAAGGAAAACGCAAGCTACATTTCTCTCTCTCTCCCCATCTCTATCATCACTGTATATACTTAAATTAAAAAATCAATTGTTTAGATTAAAAGTAAATTTTTTTTTTATTTTTCCAGAATTTGGAAATATATCACTATTTCATTCTACTACTTTCACTTTTATTTAATTCTAAACTATTCCTAAACAATTGCAAAATAGCAAATATCTAATATAAGAATTCTTAATTTTGAGGTTAGGAAACTCACGATTGTTAAAAGTGACAAAATTGTTTGCAAATTCAACAAAAATCTTGCAATGAAACGAAGAATTTCAATATTAGCTATTTACTTCTAAAACCTAACGAGAGCAAACTTAATAAGTAAAAATGAAACCTGAATTGTTGATATTAGAACTTGAGTTGATTATCCTGTTAAATAATTAAAAGTGGAAAATTGAATTTGTTGCTTAATAGTGTCAGGCGTGTAACTGACAAGTTGGAACTATAACCTCACCTCATCACCCGGTTCACTGTCCTTGCCATTCTTTCCCTTGTCCTTACTGCTCTTGGCCGGTTCCTGGAACAAAACGTACACCAAATTATATTAAGCACAATTTGTTGACAATGATAAATTGACGATTTAAAGACGGCAGAGTGCGAAAAATGATTTCTTAAAAAAAAATAATGTATTAATAGTGAGATGCAAGAAAAATAGGGTAGGAATAGAGTACCATTGTAATTTATTCACGCGCTTCAAGAAAGGGGTTACGTTTAAGAGTAACGGGTGATTCGTGTGGTCGCTTTGGTTGAATTCGCGAGGTCACGGTTGATCACGAAACACGTTTAATGTTGGAAAACTTAATTTCTGACTTTGTTTATGGCTGGACATCGGCGATCAGGCGATTAGGGGAATTAATTCCCTATTTCCCTGTTGGCCGTCATCTATACCATTTCACTTAGAAAGAGAGAGAAAAAAACACCGCAAGCATTTTTTGATATATAAGAGTATATGTATAGTGTTAACGGACAGAGTAAAGTAGACACAAGAGAATTTTTTTTCTTCCCCTCACTATCATATGGCACGCACCTTGTCTTTCTTTTGCCTGTTAGGCATTTTATCGAGCACTCGGCCGTCGACGACGTTTCATACGATAAACCGACGGGCACACTTTTTAACGTTTCTATCTAATATGTACATCAATTAACATCAATCAAAAGCAACGAAAGCAACCAGCCGAAACACGGCAAAAAAAACGGCGGCCATCGACGACTCTTTCGATAATCGATTGTTGCGCATCGTTAAAATTTGCTGCTACCTTCACATCAGCGGGAAATTTAAATCTTTTTTTAAACAAAATTAAATTGTTAATACGGAAATTTGCAAAAATATTCTTAATTATTAGTCAACTTTATGGAATTTTAATTTTTTGAAAGCTTGGAAATCAAAATAAAAACATTTCTGTTAAGCATATAAAAACTGTATTCTATACTTATATGTATTATTATTTATTTATCAATATAAATAAACATTAAGTATATATTTTAAAAATATTTATTACTTTTTATATACGTATAATTTTTAAATATAAAGAATATTAACGAAGATTTAATTTTCAGTACTTTTTAATGAAATTTAATATTTTTTTTTAAAAATAGTTTTAACAAAATTTCTAATAATTTCCAACGTACGAATTGTATTTTCAAGAAATTAAATTAAATTTTTCAACATTTACAAAAATTATATTTTGAATTTGTTATTCAAATTATTTACAAATTTAATAAATTAAGAAGAATTGTTTTTTCCGTACGCAGTCTTAGAAATTTTGAAAATTTCCTTTGGAATGAAATCGTAATTTGATTTTTCGTTGAATGTAGACTCACAAATATTTTTGATGAAACTTGAAAAATTTGCGATTAACAAATTGAAGGAATATTTCCACGAATTTCGGCAATTGCTTGAGAAAGTAGTGGTATTACATTTTTCGTCAAGACCGAATGATTTTCACCATGAGTGATTAATAAAATAGAACGAGATGTTTTTAAAGTCTCATAAGCAATTTTGATTTTGCCCAAATGCATTTGAATTTTTCCTAGTAGAAGATACAAAAGACCCGTTAAAGGATGCATTTGCTCGTAGTAATGTCTGAAAACAAAATTAAAAAATAGATTATTTATTTAAAATTTGAAATCTGATAAAATTTGTATTTCAAAAAAATGACTTACAAATATCCTGGAATTAATTGCAGAGCGTAGAATTCAGCGTCTTCCCAATATGATAATGTCACAGAAGCATCAAATGCTGACTCTAATGCTCGAACGTGTTGCAAATTAAGAGGATGAAAAACTCCTTTTTGTTTCTTTAAACACATTTTACTGATATCGATATCTATTTTTGTTCTCAGCTAAGGATTAAAATAAACTCAAAAAATTCCCTTAAATTTTAATTAAAACGTAATTATTAAATTAACAATTTAATGAGTTCATTGAGAAATTTTTGATAAAAAGGATACAAGCCATACTCTTCATTCTTTGTAAATGATTTTCAGTAAAGTCTCTCGCATCCTCGAATTTCTCGCGTAGTTCGTTGGAAACTTCTTTTCCACAATGGGAGCAATTATCATCACTAATATCACAATATTTTGAACATGAAATTTCTTGACAAATCGCTGATTCAGTTAATGGCTCAGGTTCCTTACATTTTTCACAATCACACAAAAAATAATAAGTGCTCATCAATTCCGCTTGTCTCGAATCTCTCGAATTCATTAAATCGATATAGGAAATTTTTATCTGGAAAATTAACGCACTCATCATTTTTAAAAATTATTAATAATAATATTTGAATAAAAGTATTAAATGAATAAAGTTAGAAAAAAATACCTGTGACCACTCGAAACGAGGAACATCGACAATTGTACGAATAATAATTTTCGTCCCTTCAAAAACAGCGACTGCATTTGGTTTACAACTGTGATCGAGAATAGAAGGCGACAAATAAATGCCAACTCCAATACTATTCATATCACTGTCCAATATATTGAATGAATTAACGCAAATTTTCCCATAAATTCCCATTAATTCCGCTGGATTAGGAAGTTCGGATTTTCCCATAAATTCGAATAAAACTCCACAAAGAGACGTGAAGTGTTCCATTCGCTTCTTGTCTTCCTTTATATCCGTATAATCTACAAGATGAAAATTTCAAAAAATACTTTCTTTTTGTTTAATAATTATTAAATACTATAAACTATAGTAAAACGTAAAAACAATCTTACGTGACATTAAATCTTTGAATTTTCGAAAACTGTGATCGGAATAATATCCCTTTTCCTCTCCTCCACCGCTATTGAGTTTGACAATTATTCTCGCCATTAAACGAGCAGCGTCCGGAATAACTCGAGGAGCAATTCTTTTCAAATTTATACATTCTTGTTTGTGAATATTCCAAGCGTCCCTCTGACAATCGCGATTGCAATATTGAACATAGTGACAACCGGAACATTTTAAAAGCTTGCCACTGTAAATAAATTTAAAAAAACGAAGATTATTAGCTGTACAATCATTAATTTCAATAAAAGTTCATTACAATTTACAATAATCTTTGTTACTTATTTTACGAAAAAAGGAAAAACAAATTTAAAAAATAATAAAACAAAACACAAATAAAAAATACAGGTAAAACAAATGATAAATTATGCAAGCAAAGGATATAACAAATGATAATAAAATAATGTCTTAACAATAAAATAACAGCAACAACAATTAAAAATGTATTTAAAATATATAACTGAAAAGTGAGGTTAGAACGTAAATTCGCACAAGTTTTAAGCAAACATTTTAATAACAATTCAATTACACGTTATTTAAAGGTGAAAAATTTGCAAAATAGATCAAATTAAATTTAGCGAAAGGAGAAGGAAAAAGAAAAGTGTAACGAAAACAAAAATTATTATATACCTTTCAAGACAATTGTCACATCTATTATTTATTTGCTTTGAACTCAAAATATAAGCAAAAGGTTTGGTTGTTAAAATAGTAGTTCCTTTTTTAATTGATTGTCCTTTTTCATTCATTTTGTAAAGTGTCTCACAACAAAATTTCAAACGAAATTAAACGAATTAACAATAATGAATGACGTTCAATTACTTTTTGTAAACATTTCAATTTCAACAATTGCAATTTATTTATTGAAACAAATCTTTTCAACAATTGACACAAACAAAGACGTTGCACGACAATGTTTAATTAATTCTTCCCTTTTTTGTTTTTAAACATTTTTTTAAAAGAATAACGAGAATAACACAAAGGCTGTCACCGGCACTTTACAAACATAACCTCTAAATTTCTTACGGTACATTTCACAATTTGGTTTTGCTCACATAAATTACACTCATTGATTGGTTACTTCTTGGACAAATGATGAAATCGACCAACCAAATTTTGCGAAACAGCGAAATTGGGAAATTTGCAAAATATCTAGTCTGTGATTGAACCTTTACGATTTATATAAATAAATCAATGTATAGATTTATAGATATAATTAAACCAATCATTTCGAATATTTCAAGGGCGTGATCTCGACATAAATTCAAATAGTGATTAATCGATTGCAATATTGTTTTTATTTAATATATATATATATACTCTAATAATAATTATTTAATTCAATGTTTTCGAAAAAATTGGGAAAAAAATTTTAAATTAAAGGTATTTCTATATTTAATACACTTGATAAAATAGTTCAGTTTCATTTAGAAATTTTCTAAAAATAAGGAAACAAAAAACCGCTCAAATAAATGTTTAAAAAATTAAATTTCTTGTAAAATATTTCAAAAATTTGAGAAAAAAATTATTTATCAGGTGGAAAATATGAATAAAGTACTTACTTATCGAAACAATAATCGCATCGCTCGGAATGTAAAATAGATTTCAAAATGTAGGCAAAAGGTTGTGCTTTCAAAACATTTGTTCCCTTACTCACGCTTGGCCAATAACCGTTTTTTATTTTCATGATGACTAAAGAATTATTTTTCAATTTAAATTTGAATTTTTTTTTAAATAAGAAACACTTTCCCAATGTAACAATCCTTATTATAACTTGTCTCTGACAGAATAATTCTATTTTCAGATAGCAAATTAATTTCGGACGTTAGCATCAGATTATTATTAGAAAGTTTAGAAGTGGGGTCTCAGTTTTGAACCGTGGTTATTTCATTTCGTCAAAAAAGAAAAGAAAAGAAAGTAAATTATTTCGAAAACTTAATGACTTTTAGTTTTTTTTAAAAAAAAGCACCTTGGAAAAAAAAGTCAAAATTCAAAGTTGAAATCGAACATTTATTTACAGTCACTTCAACGATATTAATTATAAACTATTTTTTTGAAATTATCATGTAAAAGGTAATATAATAGTAAAAAGTGAGAATTAACTTTTACGGAAGAATTTGATTTGTTTCATAGGAAAATAAAATTAAAAAAACAATAATAATAATACAAACTAAGAAAATAAAGCACAGAAACTAAAAAAAGCTAAAAAAAAAAGTGTACAAGAAATTAAAAAACACCGAAAAAAATATATATTTTTTGTTTGTAATAAAAGTACTGCCCATATGTACAATGCGAATTATTTCATAATATAGTATAAATTAGTCTTCGTATGTTGCTTTGTAATTTTTTTTCTGTAAATATGTCTTAAAATGCTGTACTTCTTAAGGCATTTTCTTTTTTTGTTTTTTCTTAACAAAGTCATATGTCTGACGATTGTTGAGAATTTTATAACCGAATCGGTAGTGTTCAATTAAAAAACACTACGTATCAGTATTTTTTACCGAGCAATTTTTTCGCCCGTGTTTTTCATTCACTTCACTAAAAAATATAATCTAAATTAACGTACTTATGCGCAACATTTGTTGCGTTCAATCACATGAAATGATTTTTCAATGCTGCCCCACAAGCATTTTGAATTGGACGAAAATATTTTTTTTGAATTTACAGATGAAAGTGATTTAATGATGATTTTTCTTCTTTTCATTAATTTAGTATTTCTTTTTATGTTCGTCCATTGATACACCTCCTGGTCCTAATGATACGATCATTAACAAACCTCCAACTACTGATAGAGTCTGCAAAAAAATAGTAATTTAATTAATTGAAATTATTAAAATTAAAATTTAATATTTTGAATTTAGTAAATTAGAAAAGTTTATTACCTGGAAGAAGTCATATTTGAGAAAATCTCTTAGTGGTTTATAGTCAGGAATTGTCCACCATGCATTATGATAAAAGTTGAGGCAAGACAATAGTAAAACGAGTAATAATGCACTGAGCTTCGTCTTATATCCAATACAAACTAATAACATAAGGATACTGCCAACAATATCCAGGAAGATTTGCATGAATGCAATTTCAAAACGTAATAATGTTATAAACATAAATGCCAAAAGAATTCTCCCAGCGAGTTGTAGAAAATTTTTCGGCTTATTTTCACCGAGTGTTGGAACGCCGGCAAATAATGATCTTCCCTCTTCACGTGATTCAGCTAAAACCAATAGTAATGCACCAATAAGTGCTAAATTTCTAAATAGAAAATGCATGTCCCAAAGGATGCTGTAGGCGAATGTTTGTAGGACAACAATAAAGAAAAGTACGCCACAAGCGATGCTCACTTTAAAACGTCCAATAACCATAACACAACCACCTAATTGACCAATTAAATTCACCAGGACAAATATTGTCGCAAGAAATTTCCCACAACCCCATGACATATCCATATATTCCCTCTGTTCATTCCATTGAAACCACATTCTTAATCCATCCTCTAAAAATGTCGCTATCAAACACACCCTCGCCATCGTCGGCAATATGTACTTCCCATTGCGGATTACCTGAAAAAATAAACAGTAAATAAATACTCCGAATATCAAAAAAATTGATTCATTTAGAAAAATTTATTACTTTCAAAAATAAAAATTGATTACAAGGATTACAAGTATTGAATAAAATTTGACGTTGATAATTTCCAAATATATTATATGTATACCAAATATTATTTCGAAAACTTTACATTCTTTCATAAAGTAGGTTTGTGAAAGTGATCGAACAAGATTCTGAATTCGATCAACACACTTACGAAACAATACACAAGTGAAGAAATTAAAAAATTAGTTATACAAACAATATGGTATATAATATATTACACACTTGAAAATAGAAAATACAAAAAATATAACACGATTCATAAATGAAATTAATGTCACCAGGTCATTGTCTAAATAAGTCGGTCAGAAAATTCAATATTTAACCAGATGTAAAATTCAAATCCAAAGCAAATTTTTTTTCTCATGAATAACTATTCCCACAAATATATGTTAAAATTTATGCCAAAATTTTTAACTAACATTTTTAAAATGTTTTTTTAACTAATATTCATATTGTTAGAACAATTTTATGCTACAATGTGGATAAAATTTTAGTAAACATAATTGAAGATTTCAATTAGGGTGGTAAAAGTCAACAAGAGTGTATTTAATGAAAAAGGGGTAATTTATTAGAGAAGATGCAAAATATGTGCATAAACTTTAATACAGGTTAGGGTGACGTTGACAGAAAATTTTATGATTTAATCATTACGTGGAATCTAGTTGTTCTTTGCGATGAAAAATTTTTCTAGTTGATAATTTTTCAATATTGGATGTAAAAAATTGTTTTTATTTGTAATATTTGTTTATTTATTCTTTACCTGATCCGCAATATCCTCCGCTTTGGAAAGTACCTCCTGCTGCTGGATCATCGTGCTTTATTTGAAAAACCAAAACCCATGCACTCATATACACACACTCACGTGTCACTCTGGCTTCGCGCATACGAATATACCGACCAAAAAGATTATTTTACATGAAATTTTCGTTATATATTTGATGTGAAGATGTGGAGTTTACGCACTTCCGGTTGCAGGGATGTATATTTCGTTTTGGTAATTAAATTTTTAAATTCTCATCTTATTTTTGATTTTTAAAAGCGTGTAAACAAAACAAATATTCTCTTCCACACGTTATTTAAATAACAAATACAACAATTTGTGTTATTTTAATTATTTAATTGTGTTATTTTTGTTTTAAAATACACTTTTACGGTAGAAATGTATGCTCAAGGTACCGGAAGTACTCGCTACAGTTCTGAAGAAACAAATTAAATTTATTTTCCAAATGACGTGGTTCATAAATTCATAAACAAAGCAAATTTACCATTTTTCACGACTTAGGATAAAAAATTATTCATTTCTTCATGTTTAAAATCAATTGTACTTATTTAAATGTACATAAAATAATATTTTTTATTAAATAAACGGTAAATTATTATGTTAAATTTACATTTAAATTGGAGTAATTTTAAATTTCGCGCGTTATTTAGTCAGTTGACTAGAGTATTTTTTATCGCACCTGCGCTCGTAAATACTTCCGGTTACTATTTTGTTTACTGTGTAAACTGTGTTGATTGTCCTCGTAACAAAATAATAAATAAATAAAGTCTCGAGTGTTGTTTTTCGTTAAAACATTTAAAAATGCCAAAAGTAAGACGTAGTAAAAAATCTCCACCCGAAGGTTGGGAATTAATTGAACCCACTTTAGAAGAATTAGAGCAAAAAATGCGTGAAGGTAATTTTTGAGGTTATGTGTGTTTGTTGAAACTGTCACTAAATTTAATTGTTTTTAATACTTTTATAATCGATTAAGTGTTTACAGACAAAATAATTTGTAATAATTGTTACAGTCCTAATAGTTCTAAAATTGTAAAAATGTTTCATTATTTGCTTTAGTGTAATTTTGTACATATTAACGTACAGGAAACGTTAGTTCTATTTGTCGTCTCTTTTTTTCTCAAAAATAGTTAAATTAAATTTTTTATTTTTTAGCTCAAACTGAACCACATGAAGGAAAAAGAAAGCACGAATCATTGTGGCCGATTTTTAAAGTCCATCATCAAAAATCACGTTACATTTATGATTTGTTTTACCGAAGAAAAGCTATCAGTCGAGGTAAATATATAATTTTTTATAAGTTTAATAATTTTTAAAAGTATTTTTTTACAATGATAATAATAATAATAATATTCCTTTTTATTAGAACTCTATGAATATTGTCTGAATGAAAAGATAGCGGACCCGAATTTAATTGCAAAATGGAAGAAAGTTGGTTATGAAAATCTTTGCTGTTTACGATGCATACAAACTCGGGACACGAGTTTTGGTACAAATTGTATTTGTCGAGTACCGAAAGGCAAATTAGAAGAAGGAAGAATTGTCGAATGTATTCACTGCGGTTGTAGAGGATGTTCCGGTTAATTATTTAAAAAGAATGACAATTAGCTTTAATAATTGAAAAAGAAATAATGTACATATTTAATGATTAGTAACACTAAGTTAAATTGTAAAAATTTTTTAATACTTTTACAATCTCAAATTGCATTAAAAAAATGTAAGAATGCAATGAATTTGTTGTCAACATTTTTTGTTTTATAAACGAACAAATCACAAAATTAGAAAGAAAATCATGAAGCTTGTATTTACAAAAGTATATAAATAAATTGAAAAAATGAATTTTGTATTTTTAAATATTTACATTATCCTTATATAAAATTTCTTTTTGTTACTATAAAAATAATAACTAAAATATTAAATTAATTTTAAAAAATCAAAATTATAGTTAATCACCACTTTTCAATCTACTAGGTATAATTTAAAAAAAATTCTATAAATTATAAATTTTCTAATTATTTTATTTTTAAATTATTAATTGTGGCGCAAGCGTACTATTCAGAGTGGTGGGGGCAAAAAAGTATGACATTTGTTTTGTACTTCATGTTCATAATAAATATTTGTAAGTGTCCAAAACAATAATTGTTTTTAATTCACGAATGTGTTTATTGCGAAATAGAATAAGTTTTTATATTTACCGACGAATAGAGGACAATTATATTAATTAAATTAAATCGGAATTTACAACGTTCAGATTGAGGCGCTCGAGGGTAAAAGATAAAATTAAAAAAACTTCTTATAAGTAAGTAAAAAAGCAGCATTTTAACATTATAAATGTAGAAATAGAATCTACAAATCATAATTTTTAATAATTAACAACTTTTTAGTTTCAAATGCCAGTGAATTTTAATTATAAACAAAAACAATGAAACCTAACCTCAAAATATATTGTAAAATTATAAAAATCAAAAAAAGACTCCTAAAAACTAATAATGAATAAACAATGTTTAATTATTACAATTATATATTATAGTAAGTTAAATTTCAATAATTACTTAACTTATTCTTGCAAATTTATATGAAATATTTCGAATTTTTCGTTGTGTAAACGTTTAATTTATTTATGCCTTTCTTTTTTATTATAATTATAGTATTTAAACTATATTAAAACATATTTACTCGATAATTTGTTAAACTAATTAAAATTGATCTTATTCGTAAGAACAAAAAAATTTATACATGAAAAAAGCTTTCTTTTTTAGTTACGGAAAAATAATTGAGGCCTTGGATCCAATAACTCGCCCGACGCTCGGAGGAACGCGCAACTGCCAGTCAGTGAGCAGTGAGCGCCTCTGGGCCACTCACTGCTACCCGACTGGTATTAGCGCGTGTCTTCGAGCGTCGGGCGAGTTATTGGATCCAAGGCCTCAATTGTACTTTTTTTGCAGGCAAACAAAGGGAAAATGTTGGAAGTAACTTGTAACGATCGTTTAGGAAAAAAAGTTCGCGTCAAATGTAATGGCACCGACACAATAGGAGATTTAAAAAAATTAATTGCTGCACAAACTGGCACACGATGGGACAAAATTGTACTCAAAAAATGGTACACAATATTCAAAGATCATATTCAACTTCAAGACTGTATCCTTTATAAAAAAAAATTTGTTCGCTAATTTTTAATAATTGGAATTTTGCTATTGGATTATTAATAATTAACTTTTGTAAAAGTAAAGATATTGAATTTTAACTATTAGTTATCTACAGTTAAATGAGTAATTGAAAAAGTAATTTATTTATTAATTAGTTGTACAATCGTCTGTTTTTATAAAATAATAATTAAATTAATTTAATGAACCATTATCACAGATTATCAAAAAAATAAATTCCTTAACGTTTTTTTCAATAGATGAAATTCACGACGGAATGAATTTGGAGTTGTATTATCAATAAATCGCTATATCTAAGAAATTAAATATATTTTATTCTTACTTATAATTTCTTACTGTTTTTTCTTCTTCTTTAATTTAATATACACTGAAACTAGAATCTCTGGTATTTTTTTCAATGTTTTGGTGTATATGTATGAAATTCATCAGAGAAATTAATATGTGATTGGACAGATTTGATTGAAAATTAATACAAATAAGCAGTCTAAAATCACACAGCGCACTGATTTTTCTAGACATTTTTTTTATATTGTTATATAAACTATAAACATCACTCTAAATGCTTTTTTACTTTTTGTTTTTCTTTTTTCAAACAAATATCATTTGTACCACATCAACATTTTGAACTCTGATACTGACATACACATTTTTCATAAAATATATTATTCTCCTCGCTTCATAAAATATATTTTTATGTATATATACAATATATAAATAATATTCTATTAACAAACATACTTTTAACATTTTGGCAGAGCGCATTATTAGTCTTTAAGAATTCTATTTTCCTATTATTTTTAAATTCGAATAATTTAGAATTTTACTTCAATAATTTGAACTAACTATTAATTTATAATTAAGTTTATCAACATTGTAATTATTAAATTAATAATCATTTTTACAAATTATTTTTATATTAGATAATTTTCTCTATGTTATATTTTTTTGAGAATATTTTCTCTTATACGATTATTCAAATTTTAAATTAGGAAATAAGAACAATAAGAAATGACAGAAATAATCATCCGCCATACCAATATTTAACTTATTAAAAACCAAATTTGTCAGTAAATTCAACTATAAATCTCCAAATATTTTCATTAAATTTGGTTAAATTATAATCTCTAATAGTTTTAATAGCAGATAAAAAATATGACAGACACGCTTTTAAAAAAAGACGTTTTTTCAATTTTGTTTTTTAGAAAAACGTTATAATAAACATTTAATAATCTCTGTGCTCTTGTCAGAAAATTTGCTTAACAGTAATTAAAATTGGCGTTTTCTTATAAGAGGCTTTTGATTTGACTCTCGGTTTTTTTTTTTTTTTTTGTTATTTCGAGGCAAATGAGCATTTTAAAGAAAAATATCAATAATAGAAAGAAAAATTAAGAAAAAAAGTAAATAAACAAACTTGTTAATGTCAGTGTGGCCTCTTGAAGGACTTTTTGATTGAAGGCAGCGGACTTTCAGCTTCTACGATTTCTCTTTTATTCCGTTTGAGAAGAATGTCTTTTATATGCTGAACAATCAAGTCAATTGCAACTGAAACAAAAAGAAAATTGAAATAGATAAAAACTTTCTATATTAACCAAATATTTCAACTATTATTTAAAATAATTTTTGGCAAAATTAAAAATTCTTGCATTTTAACACGTATTTCTAATCATAGAATTGTTTTTAAAAAAAATGAAAATTCCATTGTTCCATATAGTTTTCATAACATGTCCAAAATGTTTTTAAAAGTAAAATTAATTCCTTTTATTTATTTCTCAATAAAATTATTTAAAAAATTTTTAATATTATTTATCATTACTATATTTATTTAACAATTTACATTTTATTTAATTTTAATTAATATTTTAATTAGTAATTAAAAATAATTTCTCAATCATTAGCAAAAAATAGTAAAATTAAAGTCATAAATCATGTTTTCTTTCGTCAAGAGTCAGGTTATCGGAAAATTATTTTTCTGATTGTTTTACTTTTTTGCAGATAAAAATAATTGAAAGCTTTGAGCGTAAATATTTTTATTTATCCATCTATTACAGATTTATTTCTCCAGTGTATAATAATATTATGCTGCCTTAATACTTCATTGTTGCTCTTAATACAAAATGTTTAAAAAAAACTCAATTTATATTTCGTATTGACAAACATATATAATAAGGAAAAATATATTTTTTTCTATATTGACAAAAACAGTGGGAATTAATAATAGTATGAGATTTGATTAAAAATTGAACATTTCCCTAATAAAATATCCTGTCGACACATTTTCACGATTCATAAAAAAAAGTCGATAACAAGAATCGTTTTTTTTCTTCAATATATTAATTTTTTCATTAAACCACATTATATAAAAAATGCATTACAATTTATTTTATTCTAGGAAGACGGCAAAATTTTTTTGAAATAAATTTATAAACAATATGTTTTTAACAAATGTATTAAAAAAAATTCTAAGTGTTTTAACGGTGTTTCTTTTTTGTGCAAAAATGTAATAATTTCTCTTTATAATTATAAATTGTGTAGAAAAAAATTGTTTTTGTTAAAAAAATGATTGCAAGTTAAATGTATTATTGATTGTAAACATATTGTAATAATTATTTAGTATATATAGTTTTGATAACATCATAATAAGAATATAATTATATAAAATAACATGGAAAGTAAGTACCGAAGATTACTACTAAAAGTTAAAGATAGAAACAAAATTTTTTAAATAAACTATTCGAAATTTGCATTGGCTGATAGACAAAAAAAAAAAAAAAAGATTCATCAGCTTATTTGTCCGACAGTTTAGTTATATAATTTTAGTCACAAAAAAATTACAAATTAAAAATGCTCACAATATCTATGAAAATGCGATAATTTTAAAAGTTCATGTTTTTCTAAAATTTGTTAAACTTTCCGTCCTTATTTCTTATTCTTCGAATTTAAATTAGTTTGTAAAAAAATCATTTAATTTGTGGAAAACTTTTTTCTCATTTATATTTTACAAAATTCATTTCAATTTTATGAAACAATTATTTCCTTTCAAAGTTATGGAAATTAGTTTCAACTCTCATCAATATTAGTTTACAAGAAAAAAATTCATTTTAATTAGTTTGGAATCTAATTATGGAATGTAACACCCTATAAAAAACTTGAAAAATAAAATCCTCATTTTTTTCAAAACGCGAAAAAACGGATATTTCAAAATAAAAAGGAAAAAAAATATTATTTCAGAAATAAACGTTTCACTTAAAAATCATAATAACAAGATAAATTTTATTAGCTAATTATTTGATAACGAAAAAAATAAATAAAAATAAAAACGCTCGCGAGAATCGAATCTACGCAATTTTTTTATTGCGAAATTTGAAATATTTTCATTTCAAGAATTTCAAATTGATTATTTATAAAAAAAGAAATGGTTTACAAAAGAAAAAAAAAGAAAAATTACTCTTTATAATAGAAAAGAGTTTTGTTTTATCACCTCGTAAATTTTTTAGCGAGTTTTCGGAATGCAAAAAATTGCAGATACAAAGTCGTCGGACAAATAGCTGCGGACTAATAAACACAAGAGAGAGAAAAAAAAGAAAAATTGTCTTGTAAAAAGACACAGTGTAAAAACATCCCTACAAATGAATCAGTCTGAATACATTGTAAAACTGTAGAGAAATACTTTCGACTAAAGTAGGCATTGCAAAATCGATAGCATCTTCGCCGAGGAACAATTTTTCAGGAAATCAATTTTAAAATATAAAAAATTTTAATTATACGACTATTTTTACTGTTATAATATACAATTATTATTTTTAACACTATATTCATTATTATTGAATATTATTGAATTATTTTCATTGATATTGTTCAATTTTTATTATCATTATTATCAAAAATTATTTTCCACTACTATTTATTATTAACAATAGTTACGATTGTAAAATTGTATACAAAATGCCGGCAGTTTTCGAGCAGTATTTTTTTTGTTCTATCTATCTTTCTCTTTTTTATGTTTACTGAATAAAAATGTCATGCTTCTTTTTCATTCTGAAATGAAGAAAAATGTTTGTGTCGACGAAGATGCGATCGTGAAATTAATATTAATGCAAGGACGACTTTTTTTAAGCCTTGATATTTTTTTTGGCTTAAGTTAGTCATCTGCTGAGGGTGTCAGATGATGTTGATGTACGCCTGTGCTGGTAGATGTATGGATGCTGCCCGGACGATGGATCAGCCTTTTTGAAACGCAAAATGTCCAAGATGTGATGAACTATAAGGTCTATCGCCACTGAAAACATACAACAACCAAACCATGTATGTTTTTTTGTTAAGAAACGAAATTCATGGCTCACTTGTCACGTGTTAACTTGATAAACGTCAGTGCTCTCGTAGATTAAGAAGAAATTTAAACCTCAACCACCGGGCAGCACCCATTAAGGAACAGCAATATTAGATTATACATAATTATGATATTTTTCCTCTGTTGAAATTGAATTAATTTTCCGAAAGAAAATAAAAATTACAACTTCACTTTTTTTTGCTTTATGTAAATTTAGTCTTTTACAAAAATCTTCCTAGTTTTTTCAATTAAAATAAAAAGAATCGTTAAATTTTTTTTATTCTCTACTTTTTAGAGTAGAAAAAAATTTTATTATTAAAAGAAAAAAAATTTATTTCCAAATAGAATCAAGTTCAAAGAATTAACATATTTTACATCGACGATAACTTTTCAAAAAGTAATAAAAGGAAACTTGCATTTTTTACGAATTCTGATTAGTTGGAAGAATCATTTCAGATATTTTTATTTAATTTGAAAAATTAATTCAAAGACAGAAGTGTGTAATTTAAAAGTTAGTTTCTATAGAAATTATAGCCATGGGTAAGTTATATTTAAAATATAGTTACTTTCTTCTATAAATATACATATTTTTACATTATTAATGAAAATAATTTTTTTACTTAACAAGAGTTAAGTAAAAAAAGTAACTAAGCGTTTTAATTATTTATTTCCATGACAAGTATATCTTTTATGCAGAATGATTCAGTGACGACAGGATATACGAATAGTTTTTATACTTTTTAAACATTTTAAAGCTTTCGCTGTAAATGATAAACAAAATTTTGCGCGTGAATTTTTTATGACGCATCATAAAAATTAATTTCTGTTTGAAATAGAAAAAAATTGTTAATGTTAAAAAAACGCCAAATATGAACAAAATACTGAAGCAAAATTAAAATATTGCCAATAATTAATTATTATCTAATTACGATATCAGTAATTAATTTTGAATAAATAATATTTCGTTTAAAAACGAAAGCTATGGATGTTATGTAAATTAATAATTTTGAATTATAAAAAGAAAATGAAAAAAAATTACTCTTGTCGAACACCTTAAAAATCTATTCTAAAATTTCAAAAATTAATGTTCCTGAAATTTTAAGCACAAACGAATTTTTTTTTTGTGATTCATGGAAATCAATTATTTTACTAATTAACATTTTTATAAAAATAATTTTTTAAAAACGAGACGAAAAATTTCAGTTACATTAATATTTTTTAGGAATTATCTACAATATTACGTAAATAATAATATAATACAATAATATGTACAATATACTATAGGATAAATAATATAAATTAAAAAATAAAATAAAAAATTATATAGTAATAAATAATATTAAAAAGTATCAAATTAAATTATACTGCAAAAGTATATATAATTTAATTTAATAAGAAGTTGAAAATTTTCTAAAAAAATGAAAAAAAATTGATTTAAAAAGAAAATGTATAAAAATAATAATTTACCTGTATTATCAGCACCACGGGGTATTATCACGTCGGCAAACTTTTTTGTAGGTAAACAAAATTCTTCAAATGCTGGTTTCACGTAATTCATGTACTGATTCAAGACAAATTCTAAATCTCGCCCCCTTTCTTTAATATCTCTTGGCACTGGAAAAATATTTTCAAATAAAAAAAGAAATATTAATAATAAATATTTTATTAAATAAGAAGAGAAATTAAAAATTAATCTTTTCCTTATGTTACCTCTTCTCGCTAATCTTGTGTCAGAATCTGTATCGACAAATAATTTCATGTGAAACAAGTCCCTTATTTTTTGATGATAAAACACGAGAATTCCCTCAAATAGAACAACGTCAGCAGGATATATTGTCGTGATCTGATCCTTAATTCTGTAGAACGAACAAAATTTATTTAATATTTAATAAAACATTGAATTTAACGATTAATTTTGCAATAAGAAAAAAATTATAAAACAAGTATTTTTTTATTTGAATTAAATTTCTGAAAATTCTCAATTCAATATTTAAAAAAAATAAATTGTAAACATTTTCAAAAATATGCGAAATAAATACAAAAAGGCAAAAAAATTTGTTAATAAATATTTCTTGAATTTTCATCTTTCAAGAATTTTATTTCTTCAAAACAAAAACCGGAAGGAAACAAAAGTAAATTTAAAATAAAACAAACGTATTTTTCAATAATAATGCGTTTCATTGTAATATTTTGTTTATTGTTTAACTTTCTGTTTACGCTAAAGAATGCATGTCACAAGCATTGGCATATATAATAATTTTTCATTTGTTTCAATTCGTCATTTGAACTGAATTCAAAGTACAATTTTGTTCGATTAGTGCAGAAAAAATAATTCTCTTTCTCTCTAAATAAATTCTTTTAAATACGAAATTCTTTTTGAGTAAAAAATACAAAATTCAAAAAAAGAAATTATAGAATGTAAAAATATTTAAAATGAATAAAAAATACTTTTGTTTCTTATTGGCGATTATTTCAATTGTGATATCAGAGAAAAAATTGGAAGCTTTTGGAAAATTTGGTTCTTCTCCTCCTGATTTTAGAACAAGATTGAAAAATTTTTTCTCGGGAAATACAAAAAAAAATGGACAATTAAAATCATTTTTTGAAAGATTGAAAAAGTTTTTTAAAAATTCGGAAGAAAATTCTGCTTATCCTCCTTTTCCAGTGATTATGCCTGTTTTTATTTCACAACCCCTGGAAAATTCACCCCGACGAAAGTTTTCTAAAAGGCGAAAAAATAAATCATCACGAGTAAGTTTTTAATTTCTTTCTTTGATTACTATTACTACTATTATTTTTACTATTTTGTGATAATTTATATTTTTTTGGAAAACAAAAACTTTCCCTTGTTTTGAATTTTCAATATTATTTCTTTTAAGTTCAAAATATTTTTCTTTCAACAAAAAATTCAACTTTTTGTTTGTTTAATTAAAACTTCTGAAATATTTTCCCTTTCTTTCACGAAAAAAATAATAAAAAAAACTTTATTTTTAGCAGGTTCCTGTCTCTAATCGGAATATTGGAAATTATTGTGCTTGTTCGTATTGTATGCCAAGACCTTGTTGTAATGCCTATAGAAATTAAAAATAATTTACAAAAAAATGTATTTTTTAATTATCAGAAATAAATTGAATAAAAGCAAAAGGATCAGGACAGAAATAAAAAAATTAATAAATACGAATAAAAAAATTCAATTGAAAGAGAATAAAATGAAAGTAAACTTACAAACTGTTAGTTCTGTAGTCATAGGCAGGAATTTCGCACTTAACACCGGCGCGAATATCCTCCAAAGTTCGAAGAATAAAACTATCATCAAATGCGTCTGGATGATCGAAATTAAATTGTCCCTTTTCGGCCTTCAATTTATCCTCAGGCGATAAGTCTTTGTAAAAACTGTCTTGCGATATGCAAACAACTTGCCGTTGATCATGATCTTTATCAACTTGCCCCAATTTTTCCATTATACGTTTACAGACCGTCGACTACATAACAAATAATCAAAACAAAATTAATTTTATCATAAATACCAAGAAGCGTTCAGTTTATACAACGTGTAATATTTCAAACTATAATCTTTTTATAAACATGAATCATACTTTGTATACTCTAAAAAAATAAACTTTCTCTCTCTACATAAAAAAATACGTTTGCAACAAAAAAAAGTTAAAAATTGAATTAATTAAAATCTTTAATTTGTTACGTAATGAGGAAATGATAATTAGAAAATCGATTGATAAAATTAGAAAAATACGGAAATGGATGAGATGCAATGTTGCGAGAAATGGCAGAAATGGTAGAAATTTACATTTATTGAAAAAAAGAAAGAAAAGATTATTTTGTTGAAACTTTTCTTTCTTTTTTTAGAGAGAAAATTATTGGGTGTCATTTTGTTTTTAATTTCTAAGGATCAATGATGAGAAATTTTGTTATGAGTCTGAGAAAATAGACTCACCTTGCCACTGGCTGTACCTCCGGAAACTCCGATTAAAAACGGAGTTTTACTCTCGATTCCAGACATTTTTCCATTATACGATCCGTATGAGGATCTACGTGGATTACCCATATGCAGGGGTACATCTGCCATTATCAAAATTCCACTGCGTTTTTTATTCAATGAAGTTGATGAAGTTAAAATGAACTGTTTCTCTTTGCAAAACACCGTAGCACTGTTGGCTCTTCTAGGAATTGACCAGAAATTAATAGCCACACGCGCGCGCACGTTGAGATTTTTCACTACCACGTGCATACAAACGGTTTTCTTTTTTTTCTCTTTGTAGAATTTAAAACAATCGTAAAGATTATAAATAATGAAATTATTAAGTTTTGAAAAAAAATGTTTGTTATTAAAAATTCTTTCTCGAACAATTAATAATAAAATATCCCACAAACAGTAAGGAAAAAAGTGTTTTAATTAAATTAAAATCACAGAATTAAAAGTCGCCAATTTTTAATTATCTCATCTCGAGTCTATCTTGAAAATTTTTAATTTATCTTTTTTTTGCAAAAAATAAAGCACACTGATTGGCAGATTTCGGGTTACTGAGAGGTTATGTCATAATAAAGTCAGTTTCACATTGAAATCATATTGAATATGTCGAATACTTGTGGATGCGCCTTTAGTTACAAATGGGACAGGACAGTTACCGACCGACAACAATAAAGACTGTCTTACCGGTCGATCAAAAGGAAAATTACGCATGTTTTCCGAAAGATGGTGGTAGTAAAAAACACCAGTGCGCATGTGCGTCGTTCAGGGAACTACATGTCCGTTTTTTTTAGAAATCAAAACTTTTGGTATTATTTTGTAAATTGTGCAATTAAACTGACTGTGTATTGTCACTAAACCTGCCAGTGGGGATTTGTCTATTGAATCTGTTATTTATTTCAAAGTGAACGAATTACAGGTGATAATTTAAAATCGGATTCTGTGGATTGAAAAACGTTAATTCATATCGACATCGTTGGTTTGAAAAAAAAGAAAAAAAGAAAATTTCTCCTAAGAGCGTAAGCGTGTTATATTAAAAACTTGCAAAAAGTTGAAGTAAACAATGATTCCGTGATAGAGAGAATAGTTCGTTGTTTTTCTCAGGCTTTCTCTTCTTTTCTACTAAAGAAAAAAAATAAACTCATATGTCAAAAAGTTTCGAATAATGATAATTGAAAAACAAGTGTTGAAACTGTCAATAAGTGAAAAAAGTGATGTCAATAATAATGAGACTATAAGAAATTCATTGCTGTTATTGTGAGGCCTTGAATTTGAGGCGTCTCCGCAGAGTGCATCTTTGGAAAAGGAGCAAAACGCGACACGCCATTTTGGGTTTTGGAGCGGAACTCCTTGGAACTGTCGGTGTGTTGCTGATTTAACACGAGTGCATGTGTGTGTTATTCTCAATGCATGTGTAAAAGTGTGTGCACGCGTGTCGCTTGTGCACTTGTGTTTTATTATTTTTTTTTTCTCAACGACGACGACGACGAAGACGAAGACGACAACGGTGTTTGGTGATGGTGATATTGTTTCGAGAGTAAAGAAAAAAAGAAGGAGAGGAGGTGCGCCTCTTTTTCCCTCTGATACAAAAGTGTTAAAAAGCTACCTGACTTTTTTTTTCTCTCTTTTTCTCTGATATGGTGATGGTGTTTGTGTGTATATATGTTGTCTCTGTATAAATCTGAAAGTGTGTTTGTTATTTCGTGTCGTGTCTGTGTCTTTTTAAGAATTTTCGTGTCTACATCCCGAGCGCGCGCATCAACAGGAATTCACAATCAGTGACGAAGAAGACTATCCAACAAATGTTTAAATGGACGCATCGTCCATTATCACCCAAGTGTCACGAGATGACGAGCTAGGGCAGTTTAATAACGAGAAAGGTAAGGTGCTCCGTTTGAGCTAACTTCCAGATGCTGGGATCAATTTTGCAATAATGTGTCCACACCTGTTACGGGACTGCAATTATTTTTATCCTTTTTACAACTAATTTTATCACTTTTCCACACCTTCTAATACGAAATTAGTTCTTCTGTTTCATGGATGGGGAATTGTTTGGTTATTTGTATTCTCTTAATTCCATTTATACCTTCTGACATGACTGCACCTTGCTTTAGTTTTCAGCTGAAATTCTAACATATTATCTTACATTCACTATCTCTGCGAGAACCGTTTCTGAGTGTAATTTTCTTTCTAACCTTTTTAACGTGTTTTTAGAAACTTTCTAGTAGTTTTTTCTATTTATATATCTGGTGTCTATATTTAAACTATTTTACTTGTCCCTTTAGGTACTTGATTCGGTGTTTTTTTACAAGCTTCTCTCTTTCTTTTTTTCTTCTTTTTTTTTGTTTTTTCACCACGACTGACTTCGGCTGATCTCTGGGGTTTAGTTGTCGAGAAATAATAAAATTATTCGACGTGTGTTGAAAAACAAAAATGATTCAACTTATTCGAGGCACCGTGTCAATTTACTCCGATTTTTATTCACTTTCTACTCGTTTTGTTCGAAATGTTTACTTCCGCGATCTACGAACAACGAATATTCCCCGGATGAAATTGCTGACAAATCATGTTAAACCATTCTCAATTACCAGTGGATTTTACAAGGAATTTTATGATAAATGTTAGTATTGATTTGTATTGGAAATTTTGATTTTTTACTCTTCATTCTTTGTAACTTACTCATTCATTGTTTTTTTCTATTTACATTTCTAATTTCATGGTCAAAAAAATTTTCTTTCTTTTTCAAATAAATTTTTCTCTGTAATTTCGAATTCCATATTTTAAATTTCACATTGTGAAATTTTTTTTATCTAGGTACCTAGGTATAAAATATTTCAATTGTGAAATTTTTATTTATTCTTCTCTTATTCAATTGTGAAATTCTTATACATAAAAAAAAATTCATGAATTGTGAAACGTTTTCTAATATTCATTTATGACTAAAAATTCTAATTGAAAATTTAATTACACTGTCAAGTAATCGATTGTCACATTCATTGTAATTGAAAAAATGTTATAATTACATTTTTTTTGTTAGTGTTGACTAGCTTCTGTTTTACTCGTTTTCGCAATAGTAATTAAAAAAAGAACTGTTGAATCTATTGTTTTCTCAAAACGTTTTAAAAAACTATTGTTCCCTTAAGTGTGAATCGACTTTTTTTCTGTAAAAAAAAGTTAATAATTCTAAATTGTTCTATGACCTATTTTTCATCTTTTATAATTATTACGATCGTAGGCGACCTTGTCAACGAGTTTAAAAAATCAAATCTTTAATTGAATCAAGTGAGGTAATAAGCAGTGAAATTCCTTTCTTTATTAATTCAAAACAATATTTTTTCTTCTGCATAATTTCCTTGTAATTTCATTAAAAACTCCGTACAATTATTAAACATTAATGATTAATATTAAAAATTTAATTTGACTGCTAATTGAAAAATAAAATTTGTTGATAAAAATAATATTAATCGTTAGTATTCATAATATTAACAAAATAATAATTAATATTATTAATAATAGTAGTAATAATTAATTATTAATTAAATTTAGGCAATAACAGTTAACGTTACATTTTTTTTGACAAAATTGGGTCGAAATTTGAATATAGAAAAAGAATTGACTTTCGATGATTTTTATTGAATGAGAAAAAAGGGTAAATGTCAAATTAATTATGGAGTTTATTAACTTTCGAGGAGCACGTGTAATTATAAATTGTCCCTTTAACTTGTTAGAATTTTACATGCTTTAATGACAATTATCGATTGTAATATCTATTCATAGTTTCGTGGCATTGGCTTTGTGATGCAGTCCCGTTGCCGCACACCTAAACCTTGTGAACATAATTTGTAATTTATTTTCAGTCATCGTTAATTTCTAATTTTTCATACCATAAAGTATTTTTCCGAGTTAATTTAAATAAGTAAAATTTCTCATTTTTAGCAGGTGAAAATTAATTTTCGCTATTATAAAAAAATTATTATACAAATAAGAGAAAATATACTATATATCGATTAATAAAATGAATCATTTCATCAATTATTATCAATTTGAATAAATTAAAAATTAATTGATTCAATTTACTAAATTAGTACCTAATAATTAAATTTGTTTTTAATTAAATTTACAATTATTTTAATTATTAATAATTGTATTTTTTAATTTCGGAGAAAAAATGTATTTTTTCCGTGAGTTTAAAATTAATAAAAATTGAAAAAAGAAGAAATCACTTGGTACTGTGTGTAATAAGAATATTGTTATTCAGGATCTTATTACGTAACAGTAACGTAACAACAATTATAGATTATTTAATGAGATGGTGTGTTTGTGTATTATGTAATAGTTTTTTTTCTCTGTTGTCATTTAAATAGAAAGATATATGTAGTGGAAAATAATAATAAAGATGTTTTAAATTTTTTTCTACAGCACAAATACCAAGGGAGAATGAGACAACCACGAATGGTTCAGCGACTGGAAGTAAGAAGCCACGAGGTCGGGGCTTTTTGCGTTCCTTGCTCTGTTGCCTTGGCCGAGGACGTGGTGGCAGTTCGAAAAGTTCGAAAGCAAGCTCATTGCAAACAGATGGACGTGGTTCACCGCCACCGGGTGTTGGCTCGCCGAGATTTTTATTACCGCCAGTACGTCATCAGGATATGCACAAAAAGTGCATGGTGATTGATTTGGATGAGACTTTAGTGCATAGTTCATTTAAGCCGATCAACAACGCGGACTTTGTTGTTCCGGTTGAAATCGATGGAACTGTACACCAAGTGTACGTTTTAAAGAGGCCTTATGTCGATGAATTTTTACAGAGAATGGGCGAATTGTACGAATGTGTTTTGTTTACTGCAAGTTTAGCAAAGGTGAGAAATAACCAAAGTATTTTTTTTCGAAAAAGAGAATTATTAAAATTTCTTATTAAAATTCCTTTAAAATTTCTTGAAAATTTCGAAACGAAATTCTTTACCTCGTAAGAGAATTTTGTTTGGAAAATTTTTTCTAAGAACACCTTTTTCAAGATAATAAACAAAACAGTGACGAAGAACTTTTTTTACGAACGAGAAATAAACAAAAATATAATTGCATTTGCTCTAAGTAGATAAATGACGAAAAATGTTGATAAACAAATGGGTAATTACCGCAAGGAAAAAAGGAAACATTACGTAAATATTGTAGACAATGGATTAAAAAAAAAAAATAATTTACGGAAGTCAAATAAAAAAATTCCTAAAATGCATACCTATAATTTTTGCCTTAGAATTTTATTCGCAAATATTTATTTTCAATTTCGTTTCTTAAGGGCGAAGAGAGTAAATATTTTCATAAAATAATTATTTATTTCTGTCAATTAAAAGCTGTTTACCTAAAAGATACATTATTGATTTCAAATAAAGTTTCGTTTATATAAAAATTGATTCAAGTAAATATTTATTACTTTCTATTTATTCTCGTTTTGTTTTTTTTTCTTCTATCTATTTCTTTGTCAAGACAATTATTTTTTTAATAAAATATTTTTTTCTTTCGAAAAAACTATTTAATTATTTTATTATTTGCAAATATTATTATTATTATTTATAAAAATTTTAATGTAATATTTTTTTTCAGTATGCAGATCCGGTGGCAGATTTACTCGATAGATGGGGAGTGTTTAGAGCAAGATTATTTAGAGAATCGTGTGTTTTTCACAGAGGAAATTACGTCAAAGACTTAAATAAATTAGGCCGGGATTTACAGCAAATCATTATTGTCGATAACAGTCCTGCCAGTTACATTTTTCATCCTGATAATGCTGTAAGTTTGTCACGTTCTCTATTATATGCCTCTATCTTTTGTTCTCGAATCTAATATTTTATATCCATTGTTGATTTTCCTTTTTACTATTATTTTATGTTCTATTCTTTTTATGCTTTTCATTTACTGAAATTATGACAATATGTCGTATTAAATTATTATTGAATTATATTTATTAAGTAGAACATTTAATCATTATTTTTTACCTTTATTTATTAATTATTAATAAAATTACCTTTATTAATTTTCGAAAAATTTTATCGAAATCATAAATGAAACTAATTTTCATTTAATATTCTTAAATTAAAATTAATTCAATTTAGTAGAATTTATATTTTTTTGCTATTTTTGGAATTTTTGGTATTTATATTTCGTACGATTTTTATTTAAGATTGCTTTTACTCGATATAATATTTATTTGCTGGAATATTCAGTAAAAGTATGTAATTTAAATTTAAGAATCAATTTTATTCAGTACGATTTTAGTCTGTATTATTTTAATTTAACATTGTTTTTACTTGGTATAGTATTTATTCAGTGGAATATTTAGTAAAAACTTGTTTTTTGGTAATTTTCAATTTCTTACATATAAATTTTTAAGGTTAATTATTTTCCAAAAATTATTAATTTTAGAAAATGATGTCAGTAAAAATCTCGTACATTTATTTTTTTTCCTCTGCATTGAAAATTGAATTATGAAATTAATCAACAGGTGCCAGTGGCTTCGTGGTTCGACGACATGACGGATTCAGAATTATTGGATTTAATTCCATTCTTCGAGAAGCTTAGTAATGTGGAGAACATTTATACAGTGATGTGCAACAGTAATCATCCGTACAATCAAATGCTATCATCGGTACCGAATAACCCCAGCCCCGGTTCAGGTTCAATGGGCGCCTCCTAGCCCCAGCGAAATTCTGGTCACAAGACCAGCCTTGTCATCATACCACGATGTATCTTAGGGAGAGCTCTCAATGGGCTTTTCGACATCGCTCATCTTTCCTGCTGTTCTAAACGTTCGAATACGTCTTATTGAACAATTTAAAAAAAAAGTAAGAAAAAAAACGAAAAGAAAAAAATAAAACCTCTTTATCATCGAGGGACAAGAAAGGAGGATGAAGCGCAAAAGACGATTATCTTCCCGAGAGGTCAAAGTAGAATAGCAATCGAAATCGAAAAAAAACGCGAACTAAATATTCCTAAACTAATTTTTTTCTTAATCATAATTTCCAATCGAATTTTTTTCACATTTTCGCAAGGGAAATATTGATTGGATAAAAAATTAGCAGGAATTAGATACACTCATGCACTGATTTTAATTACTAGAGAGAAAAAAAATCAGCTTCCACTTTGCTTGTGTGTGAATGAGAATCGGGAGTAAATGAATACACGGAGTGGACCATCTAGATTCACACGGGAAATGCCGAGAGAGAGAGAGAGAGAAAGAGAAAGAGAAAGAAACCTGGAGAGATATTTTAAAAGAAAACATTTTTCAAAAAGGAAAAAAAGAAAAATGGTTGGAAACCATCCTTTGGCTATATTAGAGAATTTTTTTAAAAAAAACTTTCACAAATTGCATATCAATTCTCATCCCTCCAGGAAAATCGTACGGAATCTTGAAGATCCTACTTTTTTTTGAATCATTCAAAATAATTAATAAATAATAACTAACGATTTAAGATTATTTACGAATAGCCTTTCTAAACGATAGGTTTCGACCTACGTTTTTTTACACCTACTAACGAATAATTATCGGTATTAGCAGCTTTTTTTTGTCAGTGATTTACGCGGAGTACGGATTACAATTTACAATATTTAGGTACACTCGACAACTTATTTTCTCTCTAACTCCCAAACAGTTTTTAAATATACATATATATGTATATATGCGTGTATGTGTGTGTGACGAAATCAAATATGGAATTTGAGGTCAAGAGAAATTTTCACCTTCAACCTTTTCTTTGCCTGATGTTTATATCAGGGACGCATAAATTCTCATCACAGTCAATAATAATTGTCAAAATTTCAAATAAATTTCAAAACAATTTTTATTTTCACAGGCAAAGAAGAGAAAAGGAGGGAATTTTAAAGATTAGGATTGAAAATTTCAATATTGTACTTATTGGGAGGTGATAGAAAATTCTTTTTTTTGTTTGTCTTTTATATTGACTGCCGCCGCTCTTTTCAAACTTTGTGACTCTTGATGTTTATTTTAGTTTCCTTGTGTTCTAGATAATATCAATTTAGCTTTTTTGAATCTTTGATGAATTTTTACCTGAAAAACGCTTGCGTCATTATTGTCACTTGGTTTTTGCCCAGCAATTTTCCTTTGTTGTTATTATGAGAGGGGAAAAAAATTTATATCTCGCACACATTAACATTTCCAGTTTATCCGACCTTGAAATGAAAATAACTCGACATTATAATATATGACCGTGTTTTATATGTAAAACTCCGTGTCGATAATGTGTTTTTATTTTTTTTCTATCGTTTGTTCTTCAATAACCGTATAGATATTGTGTGGAGGAGACCATAATTATCGGAACGTGTGGTTCTTTATAGAAAAAAAAAAAATACAATACTGTGTCAAAAGCAAAGGAAAGTAGCTGTCGCGTGTTTTAAACAAAGTTTCATAATAATACAAGAGCAAAAATGTACTTTTACAATCGCAATTCACGTGCCTGTGACATAAGCGTAAGGTGCAAGCACACACAAACGCTTTCGATACTTTTTCACATGAAAAAGGAAAAGAAAAAACAAAATCAGAACACAAAAAATATATTAGAAAATACTCCGTCAACTACATTCTTTTAAACTTTTTATCCAGGGTGAATCGGAACTTGAAATCATGACTTAAAATGTCAAGTTTCTATTTTAGAATTATTTTCAACGCTCTATATTTATTTACAAAAGTTGATTATATTTTACTTCAATTATTATAAATACACTTTTTAAAAGTTGATTATTTCAACGAAGGAAAATATTTTAAAAAGAATAAAATTAGTAATAACAAATTTTATTGAAAAGGATAAGAAGTTTATTCCAAAAAGAATAATAACTCTTTTTAAAAAATGATTTTCACCCTTTTTTACACGAGAAACAAAAAATGTTTCCTGAGAACAATTTTTTACTTAACATTTTTATAAGAATAGATAAAAAAAATTTCGTCAACAAAATTTTAGCTTTTTATACATTACATATTACAATATTTAGAACAAATATTTCTTCTGAACAAAAAGAATAAAAATAATCAAAAATATTGTACAGTGATCAAACTGTTTATAGACGAAATATTTACATTTTTTAATAAAAATCTTTTTTTCTTTCTTTATTAATAAAGAAAAACTCTTCTCTGTGAAAAGAGTTTAAAAGAAAGTGGTTTTGATACGGAATATTCGTGCCAGCATTTTTTTTTTAAACAAATATTTCGACATTTACAATATTTTATTGCAATAAGTAAATAGCATTTTAATGCACAGATTGGTGCTTCCTTAATTAAATAAAAAAAAAGAAAAAAAAATATATAGAATTTCGATTTTTTTACGAAAAAAAAAAACTGTGAGATAAGAATAAAATCGAATTTTTATCATTAACCGGCGAAGGATAATGAAATAAAAATATTGTTAAAAAATGAATTTGACTCAATCGCTCAGTGAAACATTGTTTGCTCATCTGAAAGCGAGAATACAATTATTATTGTAAATTAAAGGAAAACAATTTTTAGATTTATTTTTTTCGTTTGTTATATTTGAATCGAAATCGCCGATTAATTATTGTATACATAAACGCGATATATTTTATTCTTGTTAAAAAGTGAAAAATTTTTGTCACTTTTTTTCTTTTTTTTCTACTTCCTCCTAGAGGATGAAACAATTTTTTTTTAATCAATAGGTTTGATAAGAAAAATTTTGATTTGAATGAAAAAATATGTATAGAAGAGAAAGAGAGAACAATAAAAGCCATTCGCGAAAACTTTTTTATAAATACAAAAGCGATTTCGTAGATAATAATTGAAGTTTATTAGATTGGCTTAAAGCGAAATATCGATTTAATGCAGCGAGTAACTCGAGAGAAGATATTAATTTTTATTATTATCATCATTATTATTATTATTATATTGTACAAAATTTGTCACAAATGGTTAAAAAAATAATGGAGTTCAGAGTGTTGGACACGCGAGTTACGCATATGTAGAAATAATTATAACGATAATGCCTTGATTTGTAAATAAACTTAAAACTTCCACTAATAATCCTTCTTCTGCGGATAAAAATGAAAACAAAAATTAAAAGTGATCAGTGCTTCGATTTACGAAGTAGCGACATTTTCGTACGGTTTTTATAACTCGATGATTTTTTTTATCTTAGAGTGATTTTGTACAATAAACAGAGCGCGATATCGTGAATCGAAAAGCGTCACTGGAGTATGTAACATCCCTTGCCCTTTTCCCAAAAAAAACAACCCCAATGTCCAGTTTGCTCTGTGATTCTGTGTTTAATAAAAAAAAGTATATATATAAATATATATATGTTTGATAATCTGCAAGGTTTTTGATATTTTCTTTCAAAATATCCTAACCTTTAGACTTTAAGAACTTATCAATTCATTTAACGGCAAAACTACATTTTATTTATATAAAAATATATAATTTTTTCTGCTTGTATATATAGAACTAAAAACTAAAAGATTTTTATAACCTCAAAAAGTTCGAAACTAAACGTGAACTTTCAATAATGTGATAGTAATTTATTATAATAATATCATGAACATATTTACTAGCATAATTTAATTTAACTATTTATTTATAAAACAAGTACTATTATTAAAAGTGAATAAAAACGTTAACAAGGTACAATATAACACTTTTTATAAACTCACCGTTTATCATTTGCATCTGTTGTAGTTTTGTAATTTTTGATAGTCACACTCTTTAAACTGATAAATATTCACATAAAACTTTAGCTTTTAGTAAAATATTTATAATTGAAAGAAACTCAAGAAGATATGGATATGATTTGAATTTCTAACAAAAACAAAAACATTGTGCGCAGTATGAAAACTTATGCGCCAAATGCTAAGAATTTCGTCTGCTATGAAGGTAAACAACTCGCGAATATTTAACAAAAATTGACGATATAGCTAATTTTGTTGATTAATATGTTAACAGTAGCGATATAAATTATTTAGAATTATGTTCTAATAATAAAAGGAATTAATGACTGTTTTTCGTAGTTTGTGGGATTTCCATGTAATTCACTGTCATCGAAGCTAGCCCTCTCATTGGCTGCATTTAAATTTGCGCGGGGATTCAGCAGGCCAATGAGACTGTTATAAATATTAAAGGCACATTTACAATATTTATATTTTTCATATGAAATGTCAATTTGGACAAGTTTGGATCTGACGTTTATTATTAATTAAGAACGTTTTTAATTTATTTTATTGTTGTAAAGCAGTTTACATATATTTACTCGATTAAAATTAAAATTTATGTTAAAGAAATTTAAAAAAAATTACAAAAATATAATGTTAAAAATTGTACAAAAATGACAATTTCAGCTCTCTATCACTATAGAGGTTATTTTACATGGAAAAGTAAACAAGTAATTTAAATAATTTAATAATTAAATACTATTTTTCAATTTTATTTAAATAAAATTTAAGTTGTTGAGAAAATATTGAGAAAATGGAGAAAATCAAGAATTTGAAGAAAATATCGATAATTTATACGGGACCAACTTCAGGGATTTGGGTGAAAATGTGAAAATGGCGACGGTGAGTGACTCAAGTACAATTGTACAAAGGTCGTCTGTTTTTTTTTCTTTTAATTACGCGTAGATAAGAAGTGACAGATTATAGTGGATTACATGCCCAAAGAATTCATCTCACGATTCTACTATAACCTTCTCGTAAGACTGCCCTAGAAAAAGAACCTTTTAAAGAAGAAATGAACGCCCATCATGGAGTTTGTAAGTGTTTTACTATTTTGTTAATAATTCTTCTATTTTTTTTTGGTAATTCTATTTTAATTAAAATTAAATATCTAAAAGAAAAATTGAATTTTATTTATTAAATGACAATTGGATGAGGCAATGTCATTTAATTATTTCCTCATTTATTTAAAATTTGAAACAGGTGGAAAAGTTTTTTAAATGATTGAAATTATTTTGACCTTGTGTATATAGTTATATATTTTTTATTGGCATATCTATAAATGTTTTGTTTACTTGTTCTTAAGTCAATCATTTAATATTTAACTATTTTTTTCCGCTTTTTATAATGTGGATTTTATTTTATAATAAATAATTATGTTTATTTTGTCAATGTTCAAAAAGGGCGATAAAATAATTTTTTAATTGTAAATAATTTTTTTCATTGTAAAAATCATGAATAGATTAAAATTCATGAATTCTGAAGTTAAAAATAATTTGTTTTTTCGATTCTGTTTACTTAATTATTATTCGTAAATTCTTTGTCTATTTTTTTCTTATTAGCATACGAACTGTTGAAATGTAATCGCACTTATTGATTCACTTCTCGAGTTTCATATTCTCTTGGAAGGAATGTTATGAAATAATATTAATTTTTCGAATTTTTATTTAATAACCCGTTTTACATAATTCTTTTTGAAAAATAGTAACTTGAACATTCTAATACCTTTCCCTTTAGTTTTGTATTCTCTTTATATTTTATTTTTGTAATTTATAGTTATTTATATTATTTTCTGAATGTTTTTTTTTATTTTATTTCAGATTTTAGATGTGATTAAGAGCATTAGTAATTTTGCTCTAACTTGCACATTGTCACAATGGATTGGCCAAGTGATTGGAGACTATCAATATTCATTTTTACACATAATTTATCTGATTGTTTTTGTATTAATACTCGTCCTCATCGGAATGTTTGTCGTGAGAAAATGGAAGTACAAAGAATTTCTTCCGGAAGTAAAGGAATTTGTCGGTGTTGGAAGTGGCAGGCCACGTTTCCGAAAGCGAGACAAAGTGCTATTTTATGGGCGAAAAATGTTAAGAAAAGTAAAGTCTATAAGCGGACAGGCCGGGGGCCAAGGCAAAAAAAGAAGAGCTGTGATGAGATTTGCTAGACGATTACTACAACTCAAGAAGGAAACAGTTCCTCAACAATTGAAGGTAGAAAAAAATGTTTGTTTCCTTCTTTTTTTCTTGATTTACAACTTTTTTTTCTTTTTCTAAAGGTCCTGGAACCACCAGCCGAATATCTCGAGGAAGATTTAGGTCCAGGTGATAGAGTTCCTCCAGATGCGTTGTACATTCTCCAGAATATTCGCGTGTTTGGACATTTTGAGAAGCCGGTCTTTTTAAAATTGTGCAAGCACACTGAAATAATGAATCTCCCTGCTGGCACTTCTCTTTTTAAAATCGGCGATCCCGATGAAAATGTGTTCATTGTCCAACAGGGTTTAGTCAATGTTTATATTACCGGATCCGATGGATCTCAAATTTCTCTAAAATTAGTTAAAACTGGAGAATCAGTGACCAGTTTGCTTAGTTTTACGGATGTGCTCACTGGACATACGAGTACATATAAAACCGTTTCAGCGCGTGCTGTTGAGAATTCGGTTGTTGTCAAGCTGCCAATGAGCGCTTTTCAAGAGGTAAATTAGTATTAAATTAGTATAAAAAGATGGAAATTAATTTCTATTGTTGAAAATTGATAATTTTTTTTTCGAACAGGTCTTTCAAGATCATCCAGATGCGTTTATTCGAGTCATTCAGGTTATCATGGTGAGATTGCAGAGGGTGACTTTCACGGCATTGCATCAGTATCTCGGCTTATCGGCTGAATTAGTTAATCAAGGAAGTTATAAAAAGAAGCACAGTCCTTTCTCTGGATCGCCGGTTAGATCCAGAACGCGTGAGAATTTTGCTAATCAAACAGCAGAAACGAATATTGGTTCCGAATTGGCGGAGAATTTGGAATCGTTGCAAAAGGAATTGAATAATATTTCGATTACACAACCAATTCCAATTATTGTCAGCAGAAGGTAGGTTCTTTTTTCCACTTCTTCAAATTATATATATATATTCATTTATTTGTACTTCTTCAAATTATGAAACAAATTATATTTCTTCTTTTCGTTAGGTCGAGAAATAATTTGGATTTGAAGAATTCGTACACGAGTTCGCAATTCAGTCAAACATCGGAAACGGTTTCTGAATCCGATTCGCCTTGGCCGAAAGCATCGTCATCTAATGTTCAGTCACAACAAACTTCTTCGTCGGATCAACAGTTGCCGAGTGCGGCAAGTAGAAAAGTATCGAGAAATGAGGGACTTTTTCAACTCGATGAAGCACAAGTTATTCAAATTGCAATTGAGGCTTTCGTCAGGGAACTTGGTCTGGAGGATGATTCCGTACTTCAGGGTGGCAAGGTTCAAATTCGAGACGTACCGACAGGCACTTATCTCATGAAGGAAGAATCTCACAAGGTAAAAAATTTCTTTTTTCTAAAGAAACAGGAATTACATACTTTTATTTTTCACAGGATGTAGCTTTAGTTTATGTTGTTACGGGTTCGTTGATTATAAGTCAACGAGTGACGGAGGGTGCGGATTCTGGAGAGGAAGTACACATGTTTAGTGCTCATCAGGGAGAAATTGTTGGCGGTTTAGCTGTACTGACAGGAGAACCCTCCTTTTATACAATCCGAGCGAAACATTTGAGCCGCATTGCATTATTAAGTAAACAAACATTTTTCGCAATTATGCGAGAAAGACCCACTGTTGTTTTGCATGTTGCAAATACAGTTGTTCAAAGACTGAGCCCTTTCGTTAGACAAGTAAGTTTACAATTGAAATCGTAATCAAACATTTAATTTCAATAAAATATATTTTCTTTTTCTTCTTCTTTTCTTTCAGGTCGACTTTGCATTAGACTGGTTATTCCTGGAAAGTGGCAGAGCCGTTTATCGTCAGGGCGATGAATCAGATTCGACATTCATTGTTTTAAGCGGTCGATTAAGATCAGTAATAACTTATGAGAATGGAAAAAAGGAATGTGTCACCGAATATGGTAAAGGTGATTTAGTTGGAATTGTTGAAATGGTGACGCAAACTCCAAGATCAACGACTGTTATGGCCGTACGTGATTCGGAACTTGCGAAATTACCTGAAGGCTTATTTAATGTTATTAAGTTACGTTATCCAATCGTTGTCACGAGATTGATCAATTTACTTGGACATCGTATCCTTGGCACTTGGAAACAGGCGCCAAAAACTGGAAATCAGTGAGTTTTCTTTACAATATTAATTTTGTAAACTTGTGTTTTGTAGCATTTTTTTAATTTCTTCTTTGATTAGGAAATCAAAGATTTTCCAATGAAAATCAATTTCAATCAAAGTTCTTTCTAACTTGATTGTTATTGAATGAGAATTAGGATTATTTTTAACGTTTCTGTTTTTTAGCAGAAGAGCGACAGTGGACGCAAGACCATCGCAAATTAATTTCTCCACGGTTGCCATTGTTCCAGTCTCCGATGACGTTCCATTAACTGCGTTTACATACGAACTTTATCATTCTCTCTGCGCAATTGGGCCTTGTCTGAGACTAACGTCCGATGTTGTTCGAAAAGTGAATATTTTCCCCTTAAAAGAAATTAAAAAAAAAAAATTAGTGTTTAAAGTAATGGAATAAATTTCGTGATTTTGCAGACTCTGGGAAGTGCGATATTGGAGCCAATGAATGAATATCGATTGACATCGTGGCTGGCACAGCAGGAAGATCAACATCGAATCTCGTTGTATCAATGCGACACAACGTACACTTTATGGACACAACGATGCGTGCGACAGGCGGATTGTATTTTAATAGTCGGTTTGGGCGATCGTCCACCGACATTGGGAAGAACTGAGCGTGAAGTTGAACGATTAGCAATGAGGACACAAAAGGAATTGGTATTATTGCACAAAGAACAAAGCGGTCAACGACCAACGAACACTGTCCAATGGCTTAATATGAGATCCTGGGTTTCATGTCATCATCACATACAATGTCCCAAACGAATGTTCTCCCGAAAGTCGCAATATCGAATCGTAAGTTGGAAAATCTTTCTTTGAAATTATTTTCTAAACGTTAAATTTAATTTTATCTTTGATATTGAATTTTTTAGAATGAATTGTACTCGAAAGTTCTGATGTCGGAGCCGAACGTTCACAGCGATTTTAGTAGACTTGCGCGATGGTTGACAGGCACATCGGTTGGTTTAGTTCTTGGAGGCGGTGGAGCTAGAGGAGCGGCCCATATTGGAATGTTAAAAGCAATTCTGGAAGCTGGAATTCCGATAGATATGGTCGGCGGTGTTAGCATTGGCGCTTTCATGGGCGCTCTTTGGTGTATGGAGAAAAATATCGTCACTGTTACACAAAAAGCTCGAGAATGGTCGATGGTAAATAATAAATTTATTTATTTCCCCCCGAAAGGGAAAGAAGTTTCATATTTTGAAACCTATTGCATCATAATTGATATAATTTCCTAAGTATAATATAATCCTTAATAATTTGATATTATTCGAACTTTAATTTTAAAATAATTAATTCGAAAAAAATTTCCCTTCAGAAAATGACTCAATGGTGGCGACAGATTTTGGATTTAACATATCCAATGACTTCGATGTTCTCCGGGAAGGATTTCAATAAAACGATACAAGCGACATTTGGTGACACGTACATCGAGGATCTTTGGCTTCCTTATTTTACATTAACGACTGATATAACGGCATCGTGTATGAGAATTCATAGACACGGTCTGTATACGATTTCGTGTTTTTTCGAGTTGAATTTCTTTGCGCAAAGTTTGCTGAAAAAACAATTTTTTTGCAAACTTTGCAAAAAAGTGTGTGATTTCTATAATTTCAAGATTTTTTTTTTCATTTTTTTTTATCATCTTTGTTTTCAAATGAAAATTTTTTAGCATTTGCACTGTAGATAAATTTTTTTACTGACATTAGAATTAATGCTTCATTAGCGGGAGTGAGCTGAGTTGGAAACTCGTTGTTGACGTACTCTCCGTTTTAAAAAACAAAAGAAAAATCTCACCAAGTGGAAGGGCAAAGACTTTCGTGGTTTTTGTTTCGCGATAGAATTTAGTTTATTCTCGTCACTTTCAATCTTTCTCCACTCTTTGCTGAGAAAAATTTATTTTTTATTTTTTCTATTAAAAAACAATTTTTAAAAACTTGATTTATATAACTTTAATATTATTTTCATTTTTAAGTATTTCTTTTCGCTAGTTTTTTTATTCGTTTGCTAGTTGAATCGTGTTTTATTTTTAATTCTTCTTTTCTAGTTTCATAAATTTAACTGAAATCGATTGATTTTCATTATTTTCATTTGAAAAGAAAGAAAATTGTTTTTTTTTTAATTTAAAAAAATTAAATTTAAAGAATAATTTATTTTTTCTCAAAAGAAGGAGTGCAGAAAAGAAAAATGTAAAATTTCAATGTTTAATGGAGAATAATTTTGTTAAGATAAGAAACTGATAATAAGGTATAATCGTGTTTAGGATCGATGTGGCGATATATTCGGGGTTCGATGTCATTGTCTGGTTATATGCCTCCCATGTGCGATCCCGCCGATGGTCACCTGCTCCTAGACGGCGGGTACGTCAATAACCTTCCAGGTAATTTTTAATTGTACACAACAAAAAACCTTTTTTTTCTCAAGATTTTATATAATTAGGCTAATTCTCCTTTTTTACTCTTCGATTGTGCAAATTTCTCAATCACTTCATTTTTATCATTTTTTTCTCCAAAATAACATCCTTGACTGTTTTTTTTTACATTTTTCTCCAATGTTTATTCTGTAAATATTTGAAATAGAAATTTAATTTTACTTTACAGAACAAAATTATATAATTTATACTTCCTTATGGAAATAAATTATTATAATTCACAGTAAATTCATAAAATATTTTAGGAAAAAATTTATCTTAAAAGATGTGATTGTAGTGTTTGCATGATTGGAGAATAAATTTTTAATGTATATGTGGCTATGCAAAATCGCACGATTGTAAGAATCACATTGCCGTTATTTATTTTTTATATAAAAGAAATGTTTAAGAAATATTTTTTTTATTATATTATTGTGGGTCGGTATACAAGTTTGCACAAGTTTTTTTTCTAATTGTTATGATCGTTAGTATTTAAATTGTTTTTTTCTATAAATGTTTATTAAAAAAATGAAATAATCGGTGAAAAAGATTTTTGATCTTGCTAGTTCTTGCACCGATTTCTATATTAAAGCTCGCTCCCGTTGATAAAAAGATGCTTGATTTTATTAAAAAAAAGAAAAAAGAAAATTTTTTTGAACGGTTCAGTTTCTCTGAACCAGGTATTCTCTGGAAGTATAGTCGGGCGAGTATGACATTTGCCGGAGTCTTTCCACCTGTTTGCGATCCAGTTGATGGGCATCTTTTAGTCGACGGGTGTTATGTTAATAATGTTCCAGGTATAAGCTTTGCATTAATTGTTTCACAATTCAATTTTTCAAAAATACCTGCTTTTTCTACACTGTTCCCAATTTTTTCAATTTATCCTTTTGTGCTTTATTCAGAGCATGTTGAATTTATATTATTTTTTTTAGCACTAGATAAAAGTCATTGTAGTTTTTTTATTATAAATAAAATATTTAATTTAAGGTGAAAATTTTTAATTAAATGTTTTTTGAATGGGAAAGGGAAAAGTAATAGTACTCGGTCATATTTTGTTTGTTTTTGTTTAAGCTGACGAGATGTTAAGACAAGGAGCTCATCATATTTTGGCTATTGACGTTGGATCTCAAGATGATACTGATTTGACGAATTATGGAGATTCCTTGTCAGGATGGTGGTTACTTTGGAAAAGGTGGAATCCATTTGCAGAACCCGTGAAAGTTCCTAATTTGCCTGATATTCAGTCGCGATTGGCGTACGTCAGCTGTGTTCGACAATTGGAGGAAGTAAAAAATTCGGATTATTGCGAATACATACGACCACCGATTGATAAATTTAAAACACTGCAATTCGCTAATTTCGATGAAATCAAAGACGTTGGATATCATCATGGTATTATTTATTCCTTACATTATTCGGAATTTATTCTAAATTTTTTTCTCTTCAAGTAATAATATTTATTGTATTTAGTTATTATTACTAAAATTATTTATTTTTGCGCAAAGAATTTGAATTGAAAGAAAATGAATTGAAAATTGAAAGAAAAGAATTATCTGGTTTTTTATTAATAACTATAAATAATTATTTTGTTCCCTTAGGTAAAACTTATTTTGAGGGACAGCAGAAAGTTGGAATTTTGCCACGATTTAATGCCGATAGAGAGAATGCAAAAATACTTCGAGCAAAGACTCAAGCTGCTTGTCAGCAAACATCTTCCTACACTTTTACTGATCTCGCACAAATGGTTTGCAAGGTATCGCGAGGAAGTCGATACTTAAATGTAGATATGGATTCTGATTCTGAAATCGAAGAATACGAGGCTGATTTAGAGGAAGACGCACATGAAGTCGGATACGCCTCCGAGCCATCAGTGGGAATTTTGGATCAGGTAATTTATTCTTTACTTTTTAACTAATTTTTACTATTATAAATTATTTCTTCTTTACTAAAGAATAATTTTTTTTAATGCAGAGTCCCGACGACAATCGTTTACGAAGAAGAACGGGAACATCTTTAAGTTTATCCGATGCAGAGGCCGAGTCAGAACCTGAGTATCACTCAAAATTATTCTGAACTTTGTCTCTTTGTACATTTTTAATTGACGACTGGCTTGTAATTTTTTACAACAAAACAAAAAAAAAATGTAAATATGTATAGGAATGTAAAAAAAGGAAACGTGAGTATTCGTATTTTCAAGTACATCATTTTAATTTCGTTGCATCAACAAAAAATGCTTTTAATATCGTTGCAGTCTCTTCAGTAAAAACAATAATTTCTGTTACCATTACTATCACTGTTGTAGCAAAATAAAACTATTATATCATTTGTAAATTTGGAATTTCTCTGATTTATCAGTTTTTTGTTTCACACCAAGGATTAAAAAAAACAAAAGTCAGAAACATTCTTTTGGGTTAGGAACAAAAATTTTGTCATTGATTCAGTCATTCAGTATAAAAAACAATCAAAATGAAATGTTTACAAATTTTATTAAAATGTAACTGAAATAATTAAATTTCAAAAAATTTAAAAAAAATGGAAAAAAATAAAAAATCTGTGGGAAAAAATAACAATGGACAAAAAACGATAGCAACGATAGGTTTCTTTCCAAAACCAAGGGGGCGATATTAGTAAGGAAATTATTTGATTTTTAGTTAATTCAAAATTATGAAATTTTTTGTTTAGTTTTTGTTTGTTTTTAGTTAGTCTAATATCAACGAATTAATTAAAATATATTTTTCTAGCAATTTGGTAACAAGTCTAGATCAATTACCCTGCCCATCATGTGTTGTAAAAAAATATTCTTGCATTCCTGCGATTAAAATGACGCCTTATTATTGTTTTCCACCACCAACTTCTTCAGAACGAAAAAACCAAAAATAGTAAACTTTGCTTTTTTAATCAATAAACACTCACTGTAAGGCAAAAAATATTTTTATTTAATTTTACGAGCGAAATTCGAATTTAGTTTCTATTTACAAAAATAATACTTATTTAAATTTTTTTTAATCACACAAATCGCAAATCATTTTTTTTTTCTTTTAAAATTTAGTTGTCATTGTAAGATTAGAATCAATAATAGAAAGTAGAGCTCCAACTAAATGAAGTGAACCCGTGACAAGAACTTTTGGTTTTGTTATACATTCTTGATTTTCGAAATTTAAAATTTCATTAATTGCACTCTTGACGTTTTCAACGAAAATTCCATCTTCGCCCCAAAAATTGCAATTATTTTTACATTTCAATTCCATTTCTTCGGTAAATTGTTGACTATTATTTATTCCAGAAATATTTGGCGAGAAGAATGCTTTGAGAAATTTTAATTTCTTCAATTTTGTCATTAATAATTCTGAATTTCGATATCCAGTCGTATTGAAAATTAAATATCTATTTCCTGTCTCATTTTTAATGGAATTCTTAAACCAAGTCGCGCAATTATTAATACTTTCCAAAGTGTGAGCACCGTCAATGAAAAAATCGATTTTTTCACCTCTTAAAATTTGTGTTCTTCCGGGCCATTTACAGGAAGTTATTCCCAATTCAACTTTTTGTAATGAAAATACATTCGAAGAGAAATTATTTCTATTATCGTTGGTATTGTTATTAATTTGTTTATTTATTTTTTCTACAGAATTGATGAATGAAAGAGCGAGTTGAATGGCCAAAGATGCGTTGTAATTTTGAATTTCCGCCGGAATTCCCAATAGTGGAGTTCTCGATGTCCAGGAATAATTTTCTAAGCTTGGAACAATTTTTAGTGTGCAATTTTTTTCTAGTGCACGATTTTTTAATACAATCATTGCCTCATTTATTTGTGGAACTGTGAATGCCGGTACGTTTAACTTGAAAATTCCGGATTTATGAAAAGCAATTTTGTCGATAGTTTCACCTAAAATTGTCGTATGATCGAGTGCAAGACTCGTGATACCGGTGCAAATTGGATTTTCAATGATATTTGTGCAATCATTTTCGCCACCAATTCCAACTTCAACAATTGCAACGTCTACTTGGAATGTGAGGAAAATGTGAAACATCATTACTGTGAGAAATTTGAAATACTGCGGCATATCGCGCTCGTGCTCCATTGCGGAGTGAAGAATTTTATATAATCGCCAAAACTGCTGAGAAAATATTGATTCACTTATTGGCTTACCATTCAATCGAAATCGTTCACGTACCGAGACCAAATGTGGCGAACTATAAAATCCCGTTGAATATCCATGATTGCGAAGAATTGATTCAGTGAATGCGCAAGTTGAACCTTTTCCCTTGGTACCGGCGATGTGAATTATCCGGAGCCTGTTCACTTGGTCCATTGTTAATCCCGATCTGAAAAGAAGGTATTTTTGTATAAATATTTATTTTTCAATTTACTCTTCTTTCATTTAGTTGATTTATGAGAAATTAAAGAGTCGGAAAATTTTTAAATTGCTTTCAATTGGAAAATTAATTTTATTACCAATTTAAACGCGCGAGTTAATTTCAAATTAATGAGAACTTACATAAATCAAAATACAAACTAACATTTTTTTCCTTCAAAATTTAATTTATTTCTAATATTCTAATTAATTCTAATTAATTAATATAGTAGGAATTTTACCGTAATAAAAATTTTTTAGTATCTTCTAATTTACCATCGCTGTAACTCCTTATTTCTTTATTCAGATCAGATTTCTTGTCAACTTTCTTCGTTTGAAGGCTATTCAAGACAATGATTGCATTCTGCAAATAAATATTTATTAATACAAATAAAAACAAAATAATAATAATATAAAAATTTACTTATTTATTTAAAAATTTAATCATCAAGTATTCGTTAATATAAGAATTTTAAAGAAGATTTTCGATAAGAATTTTAAATTGAAAACGAAACTAAATAAACTTTAATTTTGATTCTGATATATATCTGAAATAAAACTAAATATTGACTATTGATTTTGATGTTCGAAACAAAATTAAGCAAACGGTGCAAATATAAAGTTGAAATTTATTCGAAGAATAGAACTTAAAAAATATTTAAATAAAAAAAATAATTGACAATTTTGCCCTTTTGTAGTAAAAATAATTCTAGAAATGTAAGTGAAATATTTTGTTCACAAAAGTGGAAATTTGACGGAAATAATGCGAATTTTCCCACAACAATTGATTTTACATAAAGAACGATCGATTTTCAAACTAAAAATAGAATTTAAAAGAACTGAAAAGCGAAAATGGGGAAAATGTTTTTAACAATATTTTTCTTATCTGATAAGATGAATTATTATCATTTTTCTTTGTTTTAAATCAAATTTTTCAAGTTTGGCAAAGTGCGAAACAAAAAATAAATGTCAAAAAAAGCGTGAAAGAAAATAATTCAAAATATTTGTATTTTCATACCATCGAATTTTATTATAATAATTATAAACAAACTATTAAAAATTGAATTGATAAAAATACCTCAAATGTCTCGGATGTAATATGATCTATTGTGAATCGTGACTGTATCATTATTCCAACTGGCAAGATAAATTGCAACTTGTTAACTGAGAATGATTGTAAACATTCTACACTTCCACGCAAGCTTGAAGGAGTGGTATTTTACTGTAAGGAAAATAAACCTTTTTTCAATGACAAGGAAAATTGAAATAGAAGAAAATTTTCAGAAAAAAAACTCACGTTAACTTTTAAAAAATAATTTTATTAAATTTCTTTTGTTTTATTAATTCTAGTCAACAATAAAGAAATTTAATTTCTTCAATTCTTCAAATATAAAAATACACATTACAACACTAGTTCTACAACTACAACAACAAACTAGTTTGATAACTATTTCTATTAAATATAATTTTCTTTTAAATACTAATTTTTTTTCCTTTATTAAAAATACTGTAGAAAAAATTCTGTAAATTACATTTTAAAATTTAAATCAAGATGTTAAAATGATAAAAAATTTTTTTAGAACTTTGTGGTCATTTCAAAATTTGGATCGAGAATAGAAAGCGCAGCTCCCACGAGATGTAAAGATCCGGTTATTAAAATTTGAGCTCTCTGATTTTCGAGATTTTCTTGACAAATTTCTCTAATTAATTCGAATGCTTCGTTTACATTTTCCACAATTAATCCATTGGTTTTCCAAATATTGAGATGCTTTTCACATCTATTTTTCTGTTCAATGGTTCCTGTGGTAAAATTCTCTTGATCTAAGATATTTGTTACACCCGCGATATTTGGTGTGAAGAAACATTTTTCGAAATTTATGGGTTTTAGTAAATTTAATAATATCGCTGGATCTCGATCACCGGTTGAGTTAAAAATTAAAAAACGTTTAGCATTCTTTTTTCCCACTGTTTCACTGAACCAGTTAACACAACATTCCATACTTTCTAAAGTATGAGCGCCATCAATGAAAAAATCCATATTTTTGCCCTGTAAAATTTGTGTTCTTCCCGGCCATTTACATTTTGATATGGCAATTTCTGTTTTCTCGAGGGAAAGTTTTTTCTCCTTTGATGGTAATTTTGATTTTCGATATAAATTTTGATTTATTGTTAATTCCTCTGTTTGGGTTAATTCAATCCAAGTGGTCGCCAATTGAATCGCTAGTGACAAATTATAATTGTGTATATTCTGGGAGATTTTCCATTTTGGCAGACCGTTGGGCCATTTGTAATTTTCCACATTTGGCACTGTGTTTAGGGAACAATTTCTTTCGTTTGCACGTTTCTCCAAACAATTCATTACATTAATTGGTTGCGGTACGGAAAATGCCGGTGAATTTGATTTAAATATACCGGATTTCTGAAAAGTAATTTCCTCTATTGTTTCGCCGAGTAATGATGTGTGATCGAGGCCAAGACTCGTTATTCCGGTGCAAATTGGATTTTTTATTATATTCGTGCAATCGTGTTCGCCACCAATTCCCACCTCAAGAATGGCAACGTCAACTTTTGCCTCGAGAAACACGTGAAACATCATAACAGTCAGAAATTTAAAATATTGCGGCATATCGCACTCATGATCTTTATTTCTATCAAGGAGATCGAAACATTTCCAAAAAAAATTTGTGAATGTCGATTTATTTATCGGTTGGCCATTAATGCGAAAACGTTCACGAACTGAAATTAAGTGCGGCGAACTGTAGAATCCAGTTTGAAAACCATGATTTCGAAGAATTGATTCTGTAAAGGCACATGTCGATCCTTTTCCTTTAGTACCAGCCACGTGAATTATTCGCAGAGAATCCAATTCATCTAGAGTTAAACCCGTTCTAAAAAATTAAATCAAAATCGCCGATTAAATCAAAATAAAATTAACATTAGAAGAAATTGTAATTATAGTCAAAAATTTTATTCTATTTATTTTATTTTATATTAATTTATAGTAAAAAAAACGAAAAATCGTAGAAATTTAAAAACTTCTATTTACCTCAAAAGATATTTCTTTGTATCTTCGATACTTGTATTAGTTCCAGAGTTATGTTTCTTTACAGCTCGAATATATGCCGCATTACTTTGCAATTTATTCAAAGTCCTAATTGCATCCTGTTTTAAAAAGATTTTACAAAAAGTTAATAAAATATATAAAAATAGTTTATCAAATTAATTTTTAATATTAAATTTTAATATTAAAATTTTCATCATGAACATAAATTTTACAGATTAGAAAAACATTTGAATAAACAATTTCTTTATCGGCTTTCTAGAAATTTGATTAATTCTGAGATATGTTACATTTTTTTAATAGAACGTTGCACAATATATTCAAGAATGTCTATATTCAATCAATAAACTATAAATATTGTTAAATTAATAAAGTTATATGTTTATTATTTAAAATTTATTGTTGAAATTTCAAATTGTAAAAAGTAAATTCAAATCAAGTTCTATAATTTTTGGTTAGTAATTAATCAATTTTAAAGTTAAAAAACATAGAAGTTTATTTAATTTGTTAACTTTACAATAGCATAAAAATTTAAATTCAAAATTTTTTAAATTTCAAAAGTGGATTCGAACTTATTCTATTATAATAGAAATTTTGAAAATGTTTTAATTTTTGTTTTCAAACTTTTTGAAACATGATTTCAAATCGATTAATAAATAGTAAACTCAAAATATGCGTACTTAATTATTCAAGGTTATTTATTTAGAAATAAATAGTGATAGAAACTTACCTCGTAACTTTCTGAGGAACACATCGTTCGCAGCCCAATCGTGTTCTGAGTCATTCTCTTAACTAAGCAAATCATTTTAATCCAATTTGATATTAAATAACGCAACCACGCATGATTTATCTTCTAAAGCACCGGAGCCAAAGGTTAATAAAAATATTCGGTATATGGAAAATACAACCAGAAATCTCCAGTAATATTTGATTTCAGGTTAAATTCGTTTGCATTTATGTACTTTTAATATACATATGTAATAATGAAACATAGAATTTTTATTTTTATTCCAAAATATATTCAGGAATGTTTCATTTTATTTTTATTCTTCTTGTACATCTTTGATGTAATCTTTTTGTTTTTAAAAATAAATTTTTAATTGTAAAATTGAATGTGACAGTTAGAATTTTTACCGGTATACTAATGTTTATAATAGTAGTTCGAAGCATCACTGATACAAGTAATTATTCGAAACGTTCTAATTATGACGTCTGTGAAATAATTATTGACATAAACTGTTAATTATTTTAGTATAAAACAATAATAGTTTAAAATACTTGCGATACTTGCAAACAATGGCAACGTGGTTTGAAGCAGACGACATTGTTGACCTTGACGACTTTAGTCAAAACAAGTCTGTTATGATTTAATTAGTTGTTGGACAAAATTAAAACCAATTGGAATTCGAGAAAAGTAAGCTTTTATTGTATTTTAAGAAAATATTTCAATGTAAACATAATTTAGAAGTATTTGTAATTTTTCTTAATTATTGAAATTACTTTTTTTTATTTTTAAACAGTTGTTGCTTTGACATCGAAAAAATTCAAAATGGCGGCTTATGTTAACATCAACACGTGTTGACATTTGTAGACGAGAATAAAGTTTACTTGGTTTATTTACTTTATTTTCATTTGTATTTTAATAATAGTTGTGTTACAAAGGACAAAAAATGAAGCGTAAGTATACTATACTTTTGTGTCAAACTATTAAAATAGTAAATAGTTATTAACAATCGATTCATTCCTGTTTTTAATATGTCAGCCCTTTTAACTTTTACTATTTTTTGTTTTTTAATCATTTTATTACACTTATCACGTAGTAGTAACCACACTCAATAAACGGAATATAATTTTATTAGGTAGTTAATTTCCTTACATTGTGATTTAATTTTACTTTTTATTAAAAATTTGCGACTTGTCAAATTTTTAGGTTAGGTCCGAATGTATTTTCTTCTTCTTCTTAGATGACTTCTGGCTCAGCCAGAATTAATTTATGAAAAGCATTAATTTATTTATATGTTGTATAATTTTTTACAGCTGGAAGTCGTTCGAAATATCCTGGTAAACCTCCAGTGAATAAAAAAATATTACTGAAATATTCACACGGCGATGGTGTGGATTTAAATCCAAAAACGACAAGAATAAAAAATAAATATCACAGACAAAGAATACGAAATAAGGAGCAAGTAATAAATCATGTCGCTGAGGATACAGCACGAACGGAAATGCTCCTTACTGAGGATTATGGTTTTTTGGAGGCCGATACTGGGGAGACGACAACACAATTTAAACAATCACAACTCGCTGCCAATGTTGATATAACAAGTGCCTCAAAGCATTTTAAACTTAATCTCGAATTTGGTCCCTATTCTATGAGATATACGAGAAATGGCAGGCATTTATTGATAGGCGGCAAGAAAGGACATATTGCCGCATTCGATTGGGTTACAAAAAAATTATCATGCGAATTGAATGCCATGGAATCAGTTCATGATGTCGCTTGGCTTCATGTTGAAACAATGTTTGCAGTGGCGCAAAAAAATTGGGTTCACATTTACGATAATCAAGGAATTGAAATTCATTGCTTAAAAAGAATGCACGAGATTAATCGATTGGAATTTTTGCCCTATCATTTTTTACTTGCGAGCGGTTCGAAAAGTGGATTTCTCAGTTGGTTGGATGTTTCTATCGGACAAATGATTTCTAGTTATAATTCAAGATTAGGTAGAATTGCGGTAAGAATCTTAATTATTATACCTAGGATATAATTGAAAATAAGATGGTTTTTAAATTAAATTTAATTAATTGTGATTAAATTATTATTATCAATTTTATCAAGGTGATGACTCAAAATCCTAGTAATGCAATTTTGTGCGTTGGAGGTGGAAAAGGAGTGGTTTCAATGTGGTCGCCAAATTCTAAACAACCTTTGGCAAAAATGCTTTGCCACACACAATCAGTTAGTAGTATTGCTATTCATCCTTATGGTCTTTATATGGCAACGAGTTCTCCCGATCGTTCCTTAAAAATTTGGGATATTAGACAACTATCTGGACCATTGCAGAGTGCAAAATTACGACATCCTGCGACTCAGTTGACTTACAGTCAACGTGGATTATTAGGAGTTGGAATGGGAAATGTTATTGAAGTTTACAGGTAATTAATGTTATTTTAACAATAATAATAGAGATATTGATTAATCAATAATAGTAATAAATAATTAATAAATATAAATAATAAATAAATCATTGCAGAGATACTACGACAGATATTAAGAGTTACATGCGTCACAAAGAAAATTGGAATGTCTCGGGAATGCAGTTTTGTCCTTTCGAAGATGTTTTGGGCGTTGCAACTGATAAAGGATTTACATCAGTTTTGATACCAGGCAGTGCTGAGGCGAATTTCGATGCCCTTGAGATCAATCCGTTCCAGACGAAATCCCAGAGGAAGGAGGCTGAAGTTAAAGCTCTTTTGGACAAAATTCAACCTGATTTGATTACATTAGACTCAGGTGTTATTAACGAAGTTGATGTTCCTACTTTGCAAGATCAAAATGAAGCGAAGAAAAAATTACTGGTATGATTAAAAATATTTATACTTTTTTGTTCTCTTTCTCATTTCTTTCGTTATTTTTAATCGATTCGAATTATTTAAATAGTCATTCAAATTTTCTTTAAGAAATACTTATTTAAGAAAATAAGTGTAAATAAGTGACAATTATTTTCAGTTTATTAAGCCGAAGAAGATTGATTTTACTCCAAGGAAGACGAAATCAAAGGGCAAAGGAGGCACCGCAAAAGTCATTAAATCTCGGAAAATTCTTAAACAGCTGGCTAAACAAGTTCGTAACTTTTTGAATTATTCATTAATTAGATATTATTTATTAATATTTATATTTTTTATTTGCATTCTATTTGTTTACTATTTGATTTGTTTACTTAATTGAATAAATAGAAAATAGATAATCAAAATAGAAAACTAAAATAGAAAAATAGAAAATTAAAATAAAAAAGAAGATACTGATAAAGGTAATATTTCAATTTCAGGATGCTATCAAAGCTATGCGCGAGGCTGAGGTTTTAATAGACGTGAAGAAACCAACATTGAAACAGAAGAATTACGGTGTTTTGAATAGATTTTTACCAAAATCTTAAAAAAATTTGAAACAACTTGTACATAGGAATTTGTTTATTAAATACAATTTCATATTTAACATGAAATTAAATCTTTTTAAATGGGAAATTAATTTTTAATTTAATTGTTCTTTAATTAAATGATTAAGATTTCAGAAACATATTTCGGTAGTTATTTTATGATTCATTGACTTACATTTGTACATTTCTTGAAAGAACTCTCGATTTTATCGTTTAAAATGATTAATCAGATAAGCTTTATCAGGAAAGGCTTATATTTTGATTCTTATCAAAATGGTTTCCTAGAGGCATTATCGTCTCCCTTTTTATAATTAATTGATTATTGTGTTTTTTTCTCTCAAACTTAGCTCGTGTACTTTTTTTTGTAATTTGTCATAAATGTGAATATAATTTTATAAAAAGATATTAATAATGGAGGACAAATTTGGTGAGTAACCATAAATTCAATTCCATAATATATTTTACAACATACTTGAAGTAAAAATAAATATAATCTTTTTTTTAAATTCAAATTACAGGGAAAAAATTAGCATTCGATCCAGAATGGAGAGGCCCTTTACGAAAACGATCTTGTACCGATCTTCCGTGTCTTTTTATTTTCCTTATCTTTCTTTTCTGCTGGGGTGGCATTGGATATTATGGTAAGAAATTTGAACAAAAATTAAATCAATCATCTGAATAATATTAATTTAGTGTGAATATTAAAATAAATTTTAATCTCAACAGCCTTAAGCTACGGGGACATTGAGAGATTAATGGTGCCAACTGATAGTGAAGGAAGAAAATGTGGAATTGACAGTGAAGTTGAAAGTATGCCGTATTTAGTATTTTTTGATTTAACGAAATGCATTTCCGTTTCAACTTCATGCAATACGCCACAAGTTTGTCGAGAGAAATGTCCTAGTGAAAATTTTATTTATTCATCGATGAGTCTACCAATTGAGGAAATGAAATCAAAACTTATTTGCACTATGGATGTTAATTTAACTGTCATTGAAAATTGGAATGAAATGGATAGTCTTGTTTCCAATGGAAAGTGTGCGCGATGGTATTTGGATAGTAATTCAATAACCGGACGATGTCTTCCATTAAAACCATTCGAAGGTTTCGTCAATACTACAATTAACGAGAATAATTTAAATTTAGCGAAAAAAGCGATTGCCGTGTTGGCCGAAATTGAACGTGTTTTGAGAAATATTTACGATGATCTTGAGAAAACCAAGTGAGTGATTTCTAAACTCAATTTTAAATGATCTGTAAAATTTGTAACTTAAATAATCTGGGATTTTTTTAGATATGTTATTCCATTATTCATCCTTGGAAGTGCAATAGTGACGATAATTTACATTTTCCTTCTGAGATGGTTTACAACACCTTTCGTTTGGGTCACGATTTTTGGAATTTGTGCAGCACTCGCTGCAGGGACTTATATTTCTTGTCAATTATATTATTCAACAGCAGTTGATGGTGGGAAAAATTGGTGGCTTGCCCTGACAATTATTTGTGGAATTTCCCTGGGAATTGTTGTTTTAATAACAATTTGTCTTAGAAAAAGAATTTATTTGGCCTGTCAACTTATTGAAGAATCGAGCAAGTAAAAATTTATATACTTAATAATTTCACTTTCCTTAAAGTTAATTTTTCCGTTTTTTATTTTCTCTTCAATTTTTATTCTTTTTATTTTTTTTTTCAGGGCTGTTGTTTCTGTTCTCTCAAGTCTTGTATTTCCAATTTTCCCCTGGATTTTGAAAATTCTGGTTCTACTATTTGCAATTGCTGTTGCATTTCATTTGATTTCATTCAATGAACCGTCATTTAAATTAAAAATGAATGATGATAATTGTATTTGCCCGAGTGAATTGAATTATAAAAATAATTCCTTCTGCGATCCGAAAATATTCAATGACAAATGTCAGGAAAATAACAAAACTTGCATTTCTGCACAATGTCAATTTGATGGGAATCATATACCGACATTGGCAATTTATCTATTGATTTATAATGCTATTGGATTTATTTGGCTGACATTTTTTATCACCGATTTGGGAAAAATGGTTTTATCGGCTACATTTGCAACCTGGTATTGGACTTTTAGGAAAGAGGATGTTCCATTTTTTACCGTCACCGTCAGTATTTGGCGAACTTTCAGGTATTTTGAGTAAAAAATAAATAAAATAAATAAAAAATAACGAAGTTAAGAAGTTGAAAATAATGTATTTTTTAAATTTAGATATCATCTCGGAACATTGGCTTTCGGCTCGTTGATAATAACTATCTGCAATGTAATTCGTGCGATTTTGGAAGTTATTAACAAAAAATTAAGGTCGTACAATAATGAGGTTGCCGATTTTGCTATAAGTTGCTGCAGATGGAGTTTTTGGCTCTTGGACAAGTTTTTCAAATTTATCAATTCTAATGCTTACATTATGTGCGCTGTTCACGGTAAAGGATTTTATTCCTCGGCAAAGGAATCTTTTCATCTTCTAATGAGAAACATTATTCGAGTATTTTTACTCAGTAAGGTAAAAATATTTTCAATTTTAATACGTTTATTAATTTTTTAATTATTTTATTTAACCTTTAGCTTCATTTTTTATTAATTAATTTCTGTTAACTATTTTAATTATTTTACTTGTCATTATTAATTATTAAATCGAATTTGTTATTTAATTATTGAAGACAAATTTTTTTTTATTCAATATTATTACAATTTTATTTTATCAGGAGAATTTACACACTTTATTTTAGATTACAGATTGGATTTTAACTGTGGGTAAAATATTTATAATTGCTCTCAGCATTTTTGCTACATGGTGGTATTATACGCATAGGGAGAATTCTCTTAATTATTGGATCGTTCCAGTTATTATAGTTGGTATTGGGGCTTATATGCTCACGACATCATTTTTCCACGTTCAAACGGCAGCAATTGATACTCTTTTTCTTTGCTTTCTCGAAGACACCGAGCGCAATGATGGTTCTTATGAAAAGCCTTATTTCATGAGTCGATCTCTTAAAAAAGTATTACATCGACATTAATTATTTCCAGATAAATTTTCATACTAAATTTTAATTTTCTTTCTTTTCTTTCCAAAGAGGAATTATAATTTTTCAATCTAGATTTTTTTGCTTTCCATAGAAAAACGATATTATAAATTATTTATTGAATAGTTAGTTAAAAACATTAATTACATATAAATAATTGCTTCTATTTTTTTAATTGCAAATAAAAATTACAAGTAAATTCTAATATAAAATATAATAATTAATAGTTAATAAATAATAAAATTAAAAGAAACAAATTAAAAATATGTTCAAATAAATTCAATTAATATAAACAATTTGTTAATAAATTTTGAATCAAAATAAAAAAAGCCATTCTTGAAATAATTTATATAAAAGTAATACCTAATAATTATTTATAAATAAAATTGAGTATTGAATAAATAAGTATTAAAAAAATAACTGTAAATGTGGAAAACTAATAAATAGAACAAACAGTCGAGATTATTGGATATCAAATATTCGTAAAAATACTTGATATTAAATATAATTCATAGATAAAGTTCGGTATCAATTAGGAGGAATTTGGTGCTCTAAAATGACGTACTATTTATTTAATAATACTGTAGTAATATACTCGTAATTTATTACCTTTAGTCATAGCTAAAAATAGATCACAAATACCGCAGTGTCTTTAAATTACCGTTCTTCATAATATTTTACAATATTTCCCTATTTTTACACCCATTTGTCCAAAATTATTAATACATACTATTCAAAAAAATTCCTAAAATCCTTTTTTAAGAAGAAATCAATATAATTTTGCATTTGCAACTCGAAAATTAAGTTATTTTTCCAATTTTCAATAATAAAATTCAAATATTCGCGGTAATTATTGGCTAAAGTGATGCACATTGCGCGTGCGTAGCGAGTGAAAAAAGTCAGTCGAAAAAAAATGAACGGGACCGGTGCACACAAACATTGCTTAGTGCTTGAATTTTATTAAAAAAAATCTATTATTATGCACACTTTTTGAATATTCATTTGTTAACAAGTGAAGTGATAGTTGTTGGGAATATACGAACATTATTGTTGATTGAAAAAACAATTGAATTTAGTGAATAAAGTGAATTATTGATTGTCGTGAGCATATCTTTGCCACACCCCACCAGCCATTTTGATAAACGGGAAGAGATTTTCTTTTAATATACTGTTAGAAATAAATCGGAGTGTTGTTTTTAATTGAAAAAAAGCAATGGATCAAATAACACCGAAGGAGGTGAAAATCCTCGAGAATCCTGAGGATATTCAGGAAAGGCGTGATCAAGTTCTTGGACGTTATGCCAATTTTAAATCCGAAGCACGAAGCAAACGAGATAAACTCGAGGACTCCCGTCGCTTTCAGGTATATTATTTCCGTTATTTAATTATCTCCTATTGTACTTCTTTTTTATTGTCGATCGTTCGATCGTTGTTACGCAATGAAGTTTTGCTTCTTTTAACATTTAGTCACCGATGTTAAAATTTTGTGATTAAATTTGTAGGTTAGAATTTCATGTTTATTTATAAAGTTTATAAATATAATTAAAACCAAAGAGAAACTTTAAAACATTGTTTTTCTTTCCAACAATTTTGGAAAGGAAAAATATTACAAGAGTTGGAAAATATTTTTTGGAGTTGAGCCCAAAATTACTTATACAGTAAGAAAAGCTATCCGTCAGTCATAGGAAAGTATGGGAATCGCATAAGTCTGTCTCACTCCCACTCATGGGATATGACTGACGTGGTAGGTTTTCGTACTGTATATGTTTTTTCTATTGCAGTATTTTAAGCGAGATGCGGATGAACTCGAGGGATGGATTTACGAGAAGTTACAAGCAGCTTCCGACGAAAGCTACAAAGATCCTACGAATCTGCAGGCCAAGATTCAGAAACATCAGGCTTTCGAGGCAGAAGTTTCTGCACATTCCAATGCAATTGTTTTGCTCGATAACACCGGTCAGGAGATGATTGCTCAACATCATTTCTCCAGCGATGTTATCAACAAAAGATGTGGTAAATACGCAATTTTATTCTACGACAAGATTTTAAAAAAAATTTCAATTTACTAAAGTCGGAGTTTCTTAATTACATTCGGAATTTGATCATTAAACTAATTGTATATTAATAACGTACATTAGTAATCTATTATTTCGTCACTAAAACTTTTTTTTGATAATTGTAATTATATTTTTGAAAATATTTGATGTTTATTAAAAGGAATAAATTTTTTTTGCAGAGGAATTACATCGTCTTTGGGAACTTTTGCTATCTCGTTTGGCGGATAAAGGTCTCAAATTGCAACAGGCTTTGGTTCTAGTTCAATTTCTTCGTCACTGCGAAGAAGTGATGTTCTGGATCAAAGATAAAGAGGCATTCGTGACAAATGAGGATTTTGGTCAGGATTTAGAGCACGTTGAGGTGCTTCAACGGAAATTTGATGAATTTCAAAAGGACATGGCTAGCCAAGAATATCGTGTGACAGAAGTTAATGAACTTGCCGATAAACTGCTTCTTAATGGTCATCCAGAGCGTGATACGATTCTTCGCAATAAGGAAGAACTTAATGAATCATGGCAGCGTTTGAAACAATTGGCAATTCTTCGTCAGGAGAAACTTTTCGGTGCACTTGAAATTCAACGTTTCAATCGTGACGCTGATGAAACAATGGCATGGATCGCTGAGAAAGATGTCGTCCTCTCGTCCGATGATTTTGGTCGTGACCTCGCTAGTGTACAAATTCTCCAACGCAAACACGAGGGTATTGAACGTGATTTAGCAGCACTCGATGATAAAGTAACGACATTGAGTACCGAGGCTAACAGATTGGCGGCAATTCATCAGGCCGATCATGCGCAACAAATAAAAGCGAAACAGATTGAAATTTCCCAATCGTGGGAGAGTCTCACTGGAAAGGCTAAGGAGAGACGATTGAAATTGGACGAGTCGTATGCTTTACATCGTTTTTTGGCTGATTATCGCGATTTGGTGTCTTGGATGAATGACATGAAGGCGATTATTTCGGCTGATGAGTTGGCGAAGGATGTCGCTGGCGCTGAATCACTTTTGGAGAGACATCAGGAGCATAAGGGCGAAATTGACGCGAGAACTGATAGTTTTGATTCGACGACATTGGCCGGTAATCAACTGGTTGAAAAGAAGCACTATGCCGCCGAGGAAGTGGCAAGGAAATTGGAATCATTGGCTGATGATAAGACGGCGCTTTTGAGTCTTTGGGAGAAGAGGAGAATTCTTTATGAACAATGTATGGATCTACAGCTCTTTTATCGTGATACTGAGCAAGCTGATGCTTGGATGGCGAAACAGGAAGCTTTTCTCGCCAATGAAGATCTTGGCGATTCTTTGGACAGTGTCGAAGCTCTGAGTAAGAAACACGAGGATTTCGACAAGAGTCTAGCGGCACAGGATGAGAAAATTAAGGCTCTTGATGAATTTGCCGGAAAATTGGTCGAAGGTGAACATTACGCCGCCGATGACGTCGCGCAGAGACGACAAATGCTTTTGGAGCGCCGATCGGTTCTTTTAGACAGATCCGCACATCGTCGGCAACGCTTGGAAGATGCTTACAGGTAAGACAAATTCCTTTTTAATTTTTGCTTCTAAAATTTACATTTTTTTATTTTTACATTATTTACATTTTTTTTCAAATTTATCAGGTTACAACAGTTCGAGAGAGATTGCGACGAGACAAAGGGTTGGATTTTCGAAAAATTGAAGTTCGCTACAGATGACAGTTATTTGGATCCAACAAATTTGAACGGAAAAGTGCAAAAACATCAGAATTTCGAACAAGAGTTGAATGCGAATAAAACCCGAATGGATGAACTTGTTTCGACCGGACAGGAATTAATTGAAAGTGAACATTACGCGAGCGATCGTATTCGTTCGAGAACAGATGAAATAATTTCTCTTTGGGAAAGTTTGGCTCATGCTTCAGATAAAAAAGGAGCGAAGCTGCAAGAGGCTTCACAGCAACAGCAATTTAATCGCACTGTCGAGGATATCGAACTTTGGCTCTCGGAAGTTGAGGGTCAATTAATGTCGGAAGATTACGGTAAAGATTTGACGAGTGTTCAAAATTTGCAGAAGAAACACGCATTACTTGAAGCTGATGTTGGATCACATTCAGATCGTATCGAAGCCATTAATCAAGCAGCTGAGAATTTCATCAGTTCGGGACATTTCGATGCCGATAATATTAAAACAAAACAAGATCAGCTACAAAATCGTTATTCCGCTCTACAAAAGCCGATGAGTATTCGTAAACAGAGATTACTCGATTCACTGCAAGTGCAACAATTGTTCCGCGATATTGAGGATGAGGAGGCTTGGATCAGAGAAAAGGAACCAGTGGCGGCGAGCACAAATCGTGGACGTGATCTCATTGGTGTTCAGAATTTGCAAAAGAAACATCAAGCTGTTTTGGCGGAAATCAATAATCATGAGCCTAGAGTTGCGGCTGTTTGTCAAGCTGGTAATAAAATGTTGCAGGATGGTCACTTCGCCGCCGATGAGATATCACTGCGTCTCACTGCCTTGGACGAACATTGGGGACAATTGAAAGAGAAGGCGCGTCAACGTAAACAGGATTTGGATGATTCATTGCAGGCTCATCAGTACTTTGCTGACGCGAACGAAGCCGAATCGTGGATGAAGGAGAAACGACCAATTGTCATGAATCCTGATTATGGAAAGGATGAGGATAGTTCGGAGGCTTTACTCAAGAAGCATGAAGCACTTGTCAGTGATTTGGAGGCATTCGCGAGTACAATTCAATCTGTCAGGGAACAAGCGGCCGCCTGCAGACAACAAGAAACACCGACAATCGACATCGCTGGTAAGGAATGTGTCGTAGCTCTCTACGACTATGCGGAAAAATCCCCGAGAGAAGTATCGATGAAGAAGGGCGACACACTGACTCTACTGAATTCGAATAACAAAGATTGGTGGAAGGTCGAGGTGAACGATCGTCAAGGTTTCGTTCCAGCCGCCTACGTGAAGCGTGTCGAACCCGAAGCTGGATTGACAGCCTCCCAGCAGAATCTCGCCCGCGAACAGAGTTCGATTGCAGCCCGACAGTCGCAAATCGAGGCCCAGTACGACGATCTGATCGAATTGGCCAAGGAGAGGCAGAATAAATTGAACGAAACAGCGAAGGCCTACGTTCTCGTGAGGGAGGCCGCGGAACTCGCCACCTGGATCAAAGACAAGGAGAATCACGCTCAAGTTCAAGACGTTGGCGAAGATCTCGAACAAGTTGAAGTCATGCAAAAGAAATTCGACGATTTCCAAGCCGATCTGAAGGCAAACGAAGTTCGTCTCGCCGAAATGAATGAAATTGCTGTCCAATTAATGAGCCTTGGACAAACCGAGGCGGCGCTGAAAATTCACACTCAAATTCAGGATTTGAATGAAAAATGGACGAGTCTACAGACATTGACTGCGGAGAAGGCGAGTCAACTTGGATCAGCGCATGAGGTGCAAAGATTCCATCGTGACGTCGATGAGACTAAGGATTGGATTCGTGAGAAGGACGCTGCATTGAATAACGATGATCTTGGTAAAGATTTGCGTAGCGTTCAGGCATTACAACGTAAACATGAGGGACTTGAGAGAGATTTAGCTGCACTTGGTGACAAAATAAAGCAACTTGACGAAACGGCTAATCGTTTAATGCAATCGCATCCCGATACTGCAGAACAAACTTATGCGAAACAGAAGGAAATCAACGAAGAATGGACACAGCTAACCGCAAAGGCCAATAATCGAAAGGAAAAATTGTTAGATTCTTATGATCTTCAGAGATTCTTGAGTGACTATCGTGATTTGATGGCTTGGATTAATTCAATGATGGGTCTTGTTGCTTCCGAGGAACTCGCTTCCGACGTCACTGGCGCCGAGGCTTTGCTTGAACGTCATCAGGTATTTATTTTAATTTCAATATTAATCACTCCTTTTAATAAAACTATTTATTCCAGAATTTTTTCTTTTCTATAAAAAATATTTGAGCATAAAATTTTTTTTTATTTCAAAATACCAGTTAAATAAAAGTTAAACTGAAACTAAAAGACAGTTTTGGGGGTTTGATTGTCAAATTCTTCAATTAAAACTTCGTTTTGGCTACTTTTTCCTTTTTTCATCCTTAACAGTATTTTGTTTAATGGGCATTAAGAATTTATTAATTAAATTTAAATTTAAATTTAAATTTAAATTAAAGCTCTTTAAATTGTAGAACCTGAGGGCCGAGATAGATGCACGTTACGGAATCATTCGAGAGGTATCCAAACGTGTTTGCGTTACACTTGTGTCGCGACTAATTTTGCAAAATTAAAAATTCAGCAGAATTGCTTAGAAATGAGCGAGAGAGACAAGGAATTGTTTTTTTTATCAAATTAACGCATGTTTTTTTATATTAATTTTGTTTTATTTTTGAGATTTTTATTTACAGGGTTGCCACAGGCCAGGGAAATCTGTGAATTTAGGAAAAAGTCAGGGATTTTTATTAAAAGTACTGAATAAAATTTTATTTTTCTATTTCTGACCAGAATGGATTTTTTAATATTGTTTAATTATTTCAAAAGTTTTAAACGCAATTATCTTGATAAATAACAAAATTTTTCACAAAAATTCAATTATTTTTAGGAATTTTTATAAAAATCTTTGCAAAATTTTGAAAAACAAAATTAAATTTTTGTGGCAATCCTGATTTAGCTGAATATTATTTTTTAACATAATGTGCCTCTTAATATTTTTATATTATTATTTTATTTTCCAATGAAGTAGTAATTAAAAAGTATTTTAATTTAATTTCTTTCTATTTTCATTTTTTTAAAATATATTAAGAAAATTGCTTTTTTTCCTGCTTAACGCTTCTTCGGAGTGTTAAACTAAATAATTGGTTTGCATTTGAGAAACAAATCTTTATTTTTTGTTTGTTTTCACTTGGTTGAATTAATTTCAATATTTTTAATTTAATTCACCATTCTTGAATTATTTGTATTTGAAAATTTAATTTAATCAATGTCGATTAATATTCTCATCATTCTTTTAAGTCTGCACTATATCAAAAATTGTTCAAGTTACATACCTATTTTCTGAAAAATAAGATTTTTGATTGATATAATTTTGTTCTTATTTAAATTACATCTACATTTAATATATTTTATATAATAGATTTATTATATTGTAAAAATTTTAGAATTATATTTAAATTGTATTTAAAATGTATTTAAAATGAGAATTAAATTGTGAATATTTTTGTACAGGAACACCGAATGGAAATTGATGCGAGAGCCGGAACATTCCAGGCTTTTGAATTATTTGGTCAGCAATTGTTGCAATCGAGTCATTATGCGAGTGTGGAGATACAAGAAAAATTGGAATCAATGGCCGAGGCTCGCCAGGAATTGGAGAAAGCGTGGATCCAACGTCGCATGCAACTCGATCAGAACCTTGAATTACAACTTTTCTGTCGTGATTGTGAACAGGCGGAGAATTGGATGAGTGCCCGCGAGGCATTCCTGAGTAGCGCCGACACTGTTGACAGTAGTGACAATGTCGAGGCACTCATCAAGAAACACGAGGATTTCGACAAAGCAATTAATGCCCACGAGGAGAAAATTGCTGCACTACAAACATTAGCCGATCAATTGATAGCCGCCGAGCATTACGCTTCAAAACCAATTGACGATAGACGCTGTCAAGTATTGGATCGTTGGCGACACTTGAAAGACGCACTCATTGAGAAACGTTCGAAACTCGGTGAATCACAGACTCTGCAACAATTTTCCCGCGACGCTGACGAAATGGAGAATTGGATTGCTGAGAAATTACAACTTGCCACTGAGGAGAATTATAAGGATCCGGCGAATATTCAGTCGAAGCATCAGAAACATCAGGCGTTCGAGGCTGAACTAGCGGCGAATGCGGATAGAATTCAGTCGGTGCTGGCGATGGGTGGGAATCTTATCGAGAAGAGACAGTGCGCTGGTTCGGAGGACGCGGTGCAGAAGAGACTTGCCTCTATTGCCGATCAGTGGGAATATCTCACTCAAAAGACGACCGAGAAATCGATGAAATTGAAGGAGGCGAATAAGCAACGGACTTATATTGCAGCGGTGAAGGACTTAGATTTCTGGTTAGGCGAGGTTGAGAGTCTGTTGACGTCGGAAGATGCCGGTAAAGATTTAGCGTCGGTGCAGAATTTAATGAAGAAACATCAGCTAGTCGAGGCTGATATACAAGCACATGAGGAGAGGATTAAGGATATGAATGCACAGGCAGATTCGTTGATTGAGAGTGGACAGTTCGATGCCGCGGGTATTCAGGAGAAGCGACAGAGTATCAATGAAAGATACGAGAGGATTCGTAATCTTGCTGCACATAGACAAGCGCGATTGAATGAGGCGAATACGCTTCATCAGTTCTTCCGGGATATTGCCGACGAGGAGTCATGGATCAAGGAGAAGAAGCTTCTTGTCGGTTCTGATGATTATGGTCGCGATCTCACAGGTGTGCAGAATTTGAAGAAGAAACACAAGCGTCTAGAGGCGGAACTCGCGAGTCATGAACCTGCAATCCAGGCTGTACAAGAAGCCGGGGAGAAGTTGATCAACGTTTCGAATCTAGGAGTTCCGGAGATTGAGCAACGTTTGAAGTTGTTGAATCAAGCTTGGGCGGAATTGAAACAGCTGGCTGCGAATCGAGGACAGAAACTTGATGAGTCTTTGACCTATCAGCAATTTTTGGCTAAGGTGGAAGAAGAAGAGGCTTGGATCACTGAGAAGCAGCAATTGCTCTCTGTTGAGGATTATGGTGATACGATGGCGGCGGTTCAGGGTCTTTTGAAGAAACACGATGCATTTGAGACTGATTTCGCAGCTCATGGAGAGCGCTGTAAGGATATTTGCGAAGATGGGGAGAAATTGATCAAGGATGGAAATCATCGTGCCGAATCGATTGATCAACGTTGCAATCAGTTGAGAAATAAGTTGGAGCAACTTGGAGCACTTGCTGATAGAAGAAAGACACGTTTGAATGATAATTCGGCGTACTTGCAATTTATGTGGAAGGCGGACGTTGTCGAGTCTTGGATCGCCGATAAGGAGACTCATGTACGCTCGGAAGAATTTGGTCGCGATTTATCAACAGTGCAGACATTGTTGACTAAACAGGAGACTTTCGATGCGGGTCTTCACGCTTTCGAGCACGAGGGGATTCAAAATATTACCAGTTTGAAGGAAATGCTTGTGGATGCTGGTCATGATCAGACACCAAGTATTCAGAAACGTCACGCTGACGTGATTGCCCGCTGGCAGAAATTGTTGGCCGACTCCGAAGCGAGAAAACAACGACTCCTGAGAATGCAGGATCAATTCCGACAAATTGAAGAACTTTACCTGACATTCGCGAAGAAGGCCTCGGCATTCAATTCATGGTTCGAGAACGCAGAGGAAGATTTGACAGATCCGGTTCGTTGTAACAGTATCGAGGAAATCCGTGCATTACGTGAAGCGCACGCACAATTCCAAGCGAGTCTCTCATCAGCCGAAGCTGATTTCCAAGCACTCGCCGCACTCGATCGACAGATTAAGAGTTTCAACGTGGGACCAAATCCGTACACTTGGTTCACAATGGAAGCTTTGGAAGACACATGGAGAAATCTGCAGAAGATCATCAAAGAAAGAGATGTTGAACTCGCGAAGGAGGCGCAACGACAGGAGGAAAATGATAAATTGCGAAAGGAGTTTGCAAAACACGCGAACGCTTTCCATTTGTGGTTGGCTGACACAAGAACGTCAATGATGGAAGGTTCGGGTTCATTGGAACAACAGTTGGAGGCAACGAAGAGAAAGACACAGGAGGTGCGCGCAAGAAGGCAAGATCTGAAGAAAATTGAGGATCTTGGAGCAATATTGGAGGAGCATTTGATTCTCGATAATAGATACACGGAGCACAGTACTGTTGGATTGGCGCAGCAATGGGATCAACTTGATCAGCTCGGCATGAGAATGCAACACAATTTAGAACAACAAATTCAAGCACGTAATCAATCCGGTGTCAGTGAGGATGCACTCAAGGAATTCTCCATGATGTTCAAGCACTTTGACAAAGATAAGAGTGGACGATTAAATCACCAGGAGTTCAAGTCCTGTCTCAGGGCCTTGGGCTACGATCTTCCGATGGTCGAGGAAGGACAACCTGATCCTGAATTCGAAAATATTCTAGGTAAATAATTTTAATCCTTTCAAAATTCAATACTTAATTTAAAAATCGAGTCATAGAATCATTATTTTCTCAGAGGTAAAAAATTGTAAATTCACACTTTTCAGTTTTATTATTTTATTAAATTTTCAAATACAAATTTATTTACTTTTCTTGTTTCTGTGTTTCAGATATCGTTGATCCGAATAGAGACGGTTTTGTCTCCCTTCAAGAATACATGGCGTTCATGATTAGTAAGGAAACTGAAAATGTCCAAAGTTCCGAAGAAATTGAGAATGCATTCCGTGCCATCACAGCAGCAGATCGTCCTTACGTCACCAAGGAAGAATTATATGCTGTGAGTTAAAATAAAATATTTATTTTAATTCTATTAAAGTTAATTAAATTCATAATGATTATTATAAAAATGAAATTGTAAAATTTTTTGAAATTTGATTTTAATAAGACAATTTTTTTTTTCAGAATCTTACAAAAGAAATGGCGGACTACTGCGTGGCAAGAATGAAATCTTACGTGGATCCAAAAACAGAACGACCAATTACTGGAGCTTTGGATTATATAGAATTTACTCATACCCTCTTCCAAAATTAATAATCAACAAGACAAATTTAGATATTAGAGCTTTCGTATTGATAGTATTATCAAATTCTTCAACACACTGCATTATTATATAGAGATTCTATTTAAAGGTATAAATTTTTAAGAGTTCAATTACTGCAGCTATATATTTTTTTCTTTTTCTCATAAAATAGTATTTGCTATATGTACTAAAACAATTGTGTAGTTTATTATATTTATATTAAATTATAAACAGTTCTTTATTGAAATTATTAAAATAGAAAATATATATGAAAAAATATTTTGGGCTTTTTAGAATTAAAGTGAAATTATTTGAAAATAGTATTCTATTTTTTTTGTGGAAAAATAAAATTATTAAATCAACTACCTATCTTCGAAAAGTTATTAATATAAATGAATGTAGATTTACGCTTGGTTACACTGGCTTAATAAAGAACAAATATAAATAAATTCTTTTATCTTATTTTATTCCCTGAGTGCCATTCAATTTTATAATTATTTTTTTAAATACATTTTTTAGTTTTTTTAGTAATTTTTACTAATTTTTTTTAGTAATTTAAGAAATAGAATTAATATATTTTATAAAATAAAAATTTATGGTTGAAATTCGATTTCATAATGAAATTAAGAAAAAAAATGTTTTGGTAAAACAATTTATTGTGGATTAAAAGGAAAATTGATGAGGGAAATTTAGAAACAGTAACATTTAAATTTTTATGATACATTATTCTTTTTAATTAATTTCACCTACAAACAACGAATCACAGAACGTTACATTCGAGTTCCTTATGTCAATCCATCGTATTTCATATACTTTACAAGTAAATAATCATATATTTATCCCTATTACAGTAGTCTTATCTGTTAAAATATTGGGTTGTGTAGTCAAATTGTTATGTATGCATTATGTAAATTGGATTTACCTAAAAATAACATTTTTTTTTTGCCATAATGTGTTTTATTGATTGTGTACAAGTGTTCATTTTTTTTCGCATAGGTACTCGATTTTTGTCCATTGTACTTTTTTTCACCATATCATCTCTCATTTGTTTATTCTTTTTCTCTTTAATCGAAAAAAAATTCTCGTTTTTCAATAATCTATTTTCCAAAAAGTATACTAGAAAAAGTTCGCACGTTAAAAAATCTATTTTTCAAAGTTCGAAGAGGTATAAAGATCATTCAAGATATACAAGGACAAAGTGTTTTTTTTGGATATAATAAAAAACGGTGAGATGAAAATTTGGTTTACCCCGTTTTTTTTCTCTTTAAATTTACGTCAGAAGGCAACACGTCTTTGTTATTATGAAAAGGCAATTCGCTTTGTATCATCGGTATGTCTGAAGTCCCAAACATTTTTTTCTCTCTATACAACTTTTTTTTTTATTTCATTATATTTTGTTGAGAAATTCGCGGGACCTATTACAGGCATTATTGGCAGCACTGGAACAATAAACTGTATATTTTAAACTGTACTTCGTCCTAGTAAAAATTAAAAATTTTTTCTTTGCCATATTTTTTTATATATAATATATAATATATATAATCTTCAGAGAGCAATTGGCTGTCTTTGTATAATATAATAGTGAAACTCTCTTTTATTTATTTTTTTTTCATTTTCTTATTTAACATTTTAACCATTTTTTTTTCTCGACATATGTATAATAATTTTTAAGCAGATTGTTCTCATTTTTTTTTATATAATATGTACAAAAAAAGAAACTTAAGTTCAAAGGTCACACGCTCGCACAACATTACGACCCAGAGCGACAATAAGTTAAAAATTTTACTCCTAAGTTTTATTTTTTTATTACACCCTGGACTCAAGGAGAATTCTCGAAAACGACATTGATTTGAGAAACTATTGGAAGTTTAGTCGGTGTGCGTTTTTATTTTACATTCGCCAAATATTTTCTAACACGAAGAGACATCGTTAGAACGATGTCTCATTTTTCTCCTCTCTCTCTCTCCTTGAACGCGACACATAATCTCACAGAAACACAACAATTCACTCCATTTACTACATAACGTACAATATATATATATTTTTTTTTATATAATATATATATAATATTTATATAATATTCAATAATATATATATATTTATATATATGCTAAAAAGGTATACTTTTCTTTTTTATATGTACAAAGAGAATATAATATTTATCTCAAATAATTTGTATGAATTTAGTAAAACGCTAGGATGCTAAATAACATTCTTGGACCTCGTGTGTAAAGTGTATGTATGTGTGAGTGTGAGTGTAATAAAGCCAGCACCAAAACACATCATCGGTTAAAAACCCTCGGCTCAAGTGGAATAATTGCCACTTTTTTATATTTATAAAAAATATATTAAGTGTTTAATATTTCCCTCCCTGAGCTCGTTCCAAATTTCGAAACAAAAACAAAAAAAAAACCAGACACTAAAAAACGCGATCTCCCCCAAATTTTTTTTTCTCACAGCCCTCGATTCGTTTTTTTTTCTCGCGCTTATACCCTCACGAAAGAAACTTTCTCTCGTTTTCTTTACACAGAAAAAAAGCATTTTTTTCGTTTTCTTTTTTCAAACCGCCTCGCGTCAATGTACAATAAATAATTCATTGTGTTTGAAATGTACAAATTTTGCCTAGATACACGTATATAAATTTAAATTAAGTAATTTGTCCGTAGAGATTTCATAAAATACACATTAATATTCGCATCGCACTATTCGATACTTTAAGAACTAAATTTTTTTTTGTACAATTTCACTTTTTTTCTTCTTCGTTTTCCTCAAGAAATCAATGGTCCTAAGTCTCCAAAAAAGAGTTATAGTTACATATTACGCTCGCATTTTTATCTTTAACGAGAAAGTGGAAAAATAATATAATACAAAAGTCAAAGATCAATTTGTTCGAATTCGATCCTCACTCATTTTTTCTATAATTATAAAATGTCGAATAACCTTCCGATTTTTTTTATTTACGGAATCTTTCTTTTCATGAAGAAATCGGAAACTTCTTTTTAATTTTTTAATTTTAAGATTAAAAAGAAAAAATATTTTTTTTGTTAATAAATCGAATAATTTATTAATTATTTTAATATTCTCAGCAGGACGAGAACTGAAAATGTTTGAGAAAAGTTCCCGAATTGTTCATGAAATAGTTTTTCTGTAAAAGAACAAGATTTACAATATAATAATTATTCTGTTCTTTCTGCTCTCTAAATCTCAATTATAGTAGAAAACACATTTTTGTATCGACTCGACGATAAATGAATCACTGATTGAATTAATGATTCTTCTTCTCTTTATTTTAATTAAATGTAACGAATTTTCTATTAATTTTTGCAATTATCACTTTCCGTAAAAAAAATCAAATTTTCAATTTCATTAAAGAATAAATTTGCTTTTGGAAAAAATTATGTAATTGTTCATTTTTCTAAATTATTAATTTATACACTAATTCGAGATCAATTAGTAAGTCATCATTTTTATTAAATTGTATTACCTTTCTCTAATTAATTAATTTACGCATTTAATTAACTTTCAGTAATACATTTAATTAATTTTTAAAAATTAATTTTTAATCAATTAATGTTTCTTATTCAATTTACTATGATTAATTAATTTATAGTAATTAATTAACTTACAGTGAACTTACAGTGATTCTTATAATTTTCCTTACATTTAATTTTACATTCAATCATACGCGTTGCTAAAATTTTATAATTCTTTACCAATTTGATTAAAATTAGAATTTTGTCAACAATTTTAATAATAAAAATAGAAATAAAAATTTGAAAAAAACCCACAAACAATATCCACAATTTCCCTCAACAACAATAACAAAAATTTCTTCACTAAAAATTAGGTTAAAACTTAAAGATTAATTACAAATAAATTTTTTTGTATGGTAAAGAATTAGAAAATTTTGGAGATTAGAAATCAAGAAGAATTTTTAGAAAAATCGGAAGGTGATTCGACAGAAGAATTTTCAATGAATGATGTCGAGGAATAAACAAGGAACAACGGAGCCAGAGAGGGTTTTTCTTTCTCAATTTTTTTTTGTATTTGTGTGTAATTGTCACATCGCCTGAGGGATTATGAAATAGCTCGACGATTATTTTTCTTTTTTTTGTTTTTTTTCCTCTGCCTGTTTCCGTACGATCCGAGCTATTAATAATTGAACTGATAGACAATTGTTTTTCACGCACCCGTACAATCAATTTCAACGATGTCTTTTGGTACGTCGACAAATTGATAGACGAGCCTTTGACCATCGACTTTGGCGAGGATACCACGCTGATAATAATAACGTAATGCACGTCCCATTGTCTCATAATTCATGTCGGGCTTATTTTTATGGAGTCCCCATAATTTTGAGACAGCTTTACTGTCAACGAGTTTAAAGACACCACGCTCACGATTTGTCCATTTAATATAACGCGGACAATATTGACTGTCCTGCAATAATTTCAACAGGAATTCCCAAAGATAAGTGGTTGAGCCCTCACGTGATTTTCTCTTCACTGCCGCACCACCTTCGCCCTGTCGTGGCTTCTTTAATTTATTCTTCTTTGGCCTCGGTGGAAAACCCAATTCCAAAAGATATAAATCGTCAGAAACGGAACTTGTCGCCGCTTGAATTACACTTGTCGGTACACCGCCTGGTCCTCTCGGTGGACTCGGTGTACATGGTGCCGTGAATTGTCCATTATTTCCATACATCGAATTCACGTAGCTGCTGTAACTCTCCGATACTGAAACGAAAAATAAAATTATGTTAGTTTAGTTATTAATTAAAAAAGGGTTTTACCAAATTTTCCAAATAAGCATTTTTGTTTCTAATAAATCTTTTTGCAGGTATTATTAAAAATTATCTAAAATAGAGATTGTTGGGTCTGATTAAAAATCAGGTAAAAAGGAGGCGAGTTTTTTTTCGCAGTTGAGAACGACGACGGAAATTTTGCCGTACACACGTGACCAAAACGAATACACATATTCTCGTTTAATATTGCACATTTCTATACAATTTGAATGAGAAGAGGACAACGTAAATGCAATTCTAGTGCGTCAGAGTGAAGAAACGTGTGTTGCACTGCGTCCCTCTAGAAGTTGGCAAAAGAGAGAGGAAGAGCGGGGTGGGAGAGGTTAACCGGAGTGAAATGGTATAGAGAAGGGAAATACGATGCAGAAGAAGAACGGTGGAGTGCAAAGGGGGAGGATGGCTTGCAGTATGATAGAGGACTGACCCGAGCCAAGGTTGGATGGTGACGCCATCAAGCTACTAGTGCATAATAGCGCCGCTTTCAGAGGCCGTGCTAAAATCGGAACTCATCCTCCGCCTTCGTATGTCGGTTCCCTCACATCGCAGACAATCCAACAATTCTCTCTTCTTCATCAAACCAAAAGAAAAAAAATAAAAAAAGTTTCACGTTTTTATGTTTCGAAATAAAAAAATATTTTCCTCTGACATATAGTCGAAAAGAATTTTTTTTATTATCTTTTCCTCTTTTTTTTTTGCGCGCACACATCTGCCGCAGAATTACCGAGAACTTGAATATTATTCGACTTGAAGTTCATTTTTCAACTTTCAAGTCTTATCCACATTATTGAAGTTTTTCTACTTTAATCTCCGAAATATTTTTCGTTTATGCAAATATTTCCTGTTTTTTTTTTTCATTTTTTTCCCTATCGCATTTTTTAGAATTCGATCCAAGGAAAATAAAATCAATATATTTCTTCAGAGAAAAAAACTCCGAAATAATTTCTCCAACAATTTTTACTTTATGTCTTTTTCGAAATAATTTTAGAATTAAGAAACTTATGGAAAATAATTTCGAATGAAAATTAATTGCGAGAATATTAAGAATATCTATCAATTAATCGAAATACTTTGAAACAATTCAGAATCTGTGGAGGAAAATTCAAATCGAATAATTTCGAAACAATGTGTAGAGAATTCTGAACGAAAATTAATTTCGGAATACATAATTCCCAAACATATTGTGAATTAAGAATTAAATTTATTCGGAAATATTCTAAATTAGTGCAGAATTTCTCAAGGGAATGTAAATTTCTAAATTAGAAATTAAATTATAAATTTCCAAGTTAAAAAACACTGATTTTGAGATGAAATATGAAACGTTGAAATATTTCGAATTCGAAATATTTTGACGTTTTTGCAAGAAATATTCAATATAAAAAAGAAAATAATTTTACAAAACAAAAAATTTCTCAAGGGAAATTTGATTCAAAAATAAGAAATTGATTTAGAAATCAAAAGTAAAAAAAATCTGAGAATCTTAAAAAGAAAATCGACTCCGAAATATTTTGAATTTTTCACAAGAAAATTTAAAATCAAATATAATTTTCTAATTCTGTAGAGAAAATAATTTTACAAAATATTTAACAAAAATACCAGAAATAGACAGAAAGAAAAATAAGAATTCAAAATATTCCAAAACAACGTAACATAAACGAAAATTAATACAGAAATAATTTCACAATGGAAAACTGCAAAAAAAGAAAAATTCTAAAAAGATTTGAGAAATCTATATATGAAAGGAAATTTTACTCCAAAATAATTCCAAAAAAATATTTGAGAAAGGCAAAATTAACTCCAAAATGTTTTAAATTTTCTACAAGAAAAATTCAATTCAATAACAATTTCCAGGATTTGTAATAAAAATACTTTTCCTAAATATTTCCCAAAATAGTATAAAAATCCTCGGGAGAAAAATAGAAATCCTAAAAAATGTAAACAAAAATTCATTTCGAAGTGATTTCTAAACACATGCTAAGAATTAACTTTATAATAAAATCCGTTTTATTCCTAATCAATTCGGAACGTTTATAAAGACAAACTTAATTCCAAAACGATTAAAAAAAACTACTGAGAATTTTTACACAATTAACTTCGAAATATTTCGAATTCTTCACAAGATTAGTTGTCTATTATCAAATAAATATTTATTTGAATCAAACAATTTTTATTCAAATCAAATATTTTTTTTTGAAATCAAATAAATTTTATTCAAATCAAATAATTTTTATTCAAATCGAATAAATTTTATTCAAATAATACATAAAAATTTAATTAATTTAAACAAAAATTATTTGATTCAACTAAAAATTTATTGGATAGTAGAAAAACAATCGGTTTCTCGAAACAAATAAATTTTTTCCAGTGTATAAACAGAGTTTCCAAAATATTCGACGCAAAAATATCATAAATTCTTGCAAGAAAAATACAAATCCCGCAAAAATTTCGAAAATTTACCCAAACTAATTTCCAAAAGAAATACAGAAATAATTCCACAAAGCAAAAATTTGCAAATAAAAGAAAGAGAAAAAAAATTTTCAAATTCCCCCTGAGAGTATAAAATAGAATTTGAAAATAAACTCCAGGTACAAATAAATTAAAAATCTTCAATTTCTCTAACAATTCTCGAATTATATTGTATCCAAAGAAGAATTGACGCTTCTGGCTTGTTTCTTATGTCAGATGATTGTGAATATTGAGAAGGCTTGTATAGCTGGCGCTTTATAAGCGAGATATTCAACGAATTTCAGAACGTGCTAAAAATAGTGTTTCGTATCTCGGTGTGTGTGTGTGTGAGAGTGTGTGCAGAACCGTTGTTGTTCGAGAGAAGAGGCTCCGGGAGGCCGGCAGCGCAACAAGGTTTCGATGAAGCCGGATCAACAAGCGAGCAAAGCAGCAGGCAAGGCAAAACGTTGTCTGTTTACGTTGCACACTGTGTATAGCTAGATGAGTCAATCGTAGACCCGTTGTCTAGGAATCGCTGAGAGTGGGGCCACACTGACCTATACCACGACGACACAAACGGAAAGTCCGCTATAAACTCAACTTCCCTCTCTACGTAACTGAAAATTAGAAAATTAAATCATTAATATTCATTTTCGATTTTTACATTCTTTTGCATTACTATTTTAGGGTTGTCGACCAACTTCGACCCATGACGTTCAATTTTTTTTCACTTCACGAGGCCACTCATCGTGAGACTTAATGATTCTCGCATATAATACAATGTATGTTTGTGTCAAAAAGTCTCTTTTACCGCTTTGACCTTCCACTCGACATTTATTCATCGAAATTAATATGTTAGGAAGTGACTACTTTGCGTTTCTGATTAGGTAACGTTCCTTTGTTCGTTATTTATTTTCTCGCAAACTCTCTGTGTATTCTTTTTTCGAAAATTCAATTTATTTTCCCAATGAGAAGAAGAAGAACTTCGAAAATAGAATTTTGCGAGATAAATAATATTTTTTGTTCGCTCTCTCGATTAACATACGAATTGCCTCGTTTTTCGCAAACCTCTTCAGTCCGAAAACCTGCCTGTTTAGATCATTTTTATAATTGGCATCTGGAGAAAAAATATTTAATTCTTGATTTAAATTTTTTTCTCCGCCAAATTTTGAAAATCACTTTTTCGATTTTCTATGGAAGAAGAAAGGAGCAATTTTCGGAGAAAAGAAAATTAGGCAAAGAGATCGGAAGTTGAAAAAGTCGTCGTGGCCGCGTGCACGTAACGACTCCTCGATAAATATAGTTTACAGAAATATACCCGCGGAATGAAATCGGCGGAGGAGATTTTTGTAAATATAGCGAAATTCTCGAGGGGGGCGGAAGTATTGCGAGAAAAGGGAGAAAAGAAAAAAGTTGCAGAAGAGGAAAAAGAAGAATATGGGGCAGAAGAAAGAAAAATTTTCGAAAACGATATTTTTCCTCGAGAAAAAAGTTCACAGTTTCTCGGGGAATATCAAAATTGAGACAAAAAACGAATCAAAAATGTTGCTTCGCAACACTTTTCGATTCTATTTTTGTCTCAATTTTGATATTCTCCTGCGGCGAAAAAACAGAAGTTCAGAGGAAAATAGAAATAATAGAAATTATAGGTGAAAATAGAATTTTGGAAATTAGTTTGAGTATAAATTTTCGGTTTTCGGCACGCGGAATTCCTCGTTGTGGCGATGATCGTGACCCTTGGACGACCCTTGCTTCCAGTGGGTGCGTCGTTGATGGGGCGAGCGACAAAAGGTCCCCAAGGAGCGGATACGCCTCGGAGAGTGCGCGTAGCACAGTGCACACGGGAATTGAGAATTAAAGAGAGGGAAAGATGAAGAAGAGTTGGAAATAAGCGAAATAAGGATGAAGGTGGAAGAGAGAGAGGGGAAGAATTGACCTTCGGCTGAGCCGGGAAAGTCAGCCAGTCACTGACCGACAGACTAACTTAACTGCTCTATCCTTCTCCTCCTCTCTTCTACGCCTCTACCTCCTTGTGCGACTGTTAGTCCGATGCACCATGCACGGACCAACGTCACTCTTCCACCCCTCTTCTCCTTTTCTTCTATTACTTCTTTTTTTGCCTCTTCCTCTTCCTCTTTTTTAATACTCCTCGTCTCTCTCTCTCTCTCTCTCTCTCTCTCTCTCTCTCTCTCTCTCTCTCTCTCTCTCTCTCTCTCTCTCTCTCTCTCTCTCTCTCTCTCTCTCTCTCTCTCTCTCTCTCTCTCTCTCTCTCTCTCTCTCTCTCTCTCTCTCTCTCTCTCTCTTTATTTTATCTCCGAATCTGAAAAATGATCATTTTTGTAAATTCTCAATTTTTTAACATCATAAATTTTGATTTAATGTATAAATGAGTAAAATCAAAAAAGAAATTAAAAATAAAATATTCAAAAATATAATTTTAAATTTTAAAAAAAATTGAATTGATTGAAATTGAATGGAAAATTATTGACG